GTGAGGATTTGTGGTACATTTTTTTCATGATTTCAGAAAACGCCCGAATTTAAAAAAGCAAAATAAATTCCTTTTTAAAAAATTATACAAGCTTATTGTCAAAATATTTTCGAAAAGTTGTTAAAAAAATTACTCAATCAAATGAAAAAAAAAAAAATAATAAATAAATTTTGATTATAATTATAAAAATCCATAGTGAAATGTAAATGAAATTAAAAATCATTAAATGATTCTAAAATTTTTCTATAGAAATGATTTATATAGCAACATTTTACCAAAACATTTGCATTAATATAGAATAGTAATAGAAAATACAAATAGAGTTTAAAAATTAATAAATTCAAACTTAATTCGACAATAAATGCATTGGAACTGAATGATTTTAATTGTTTATATGGAACAACATAAGGGCTAAATAACTTTTTAATTGATAAATTTGGAAATTTTTTCAATTTTTGAGGATAATATCTTTAACTAGATAATAGTTTTGATCATTTGATGTATCGTTAAAAAAAGTTTGTCAAATGATAGTTAAGAAAATAAATGAGAACCATAAAAAAAAGAAATCACATAATACAATAATTTTAATATGAATAATAGATTTCATCGAACGAGGGGGAACTATAATGATAGGGTCCATGATATTCATTGAAGTTATTTAATCTAAATGAGATAAAAATCTATTGAGAATTAATACCTTTTTTAAGGTATTTTAAAATAAAATAAATACAAAAACGAGAATTTTCACACGAAAATAGCATTCAGTAGCCATTTTCACCGTGAAGACAAGTCCAGAGGTCAAATTATTTTTTTTCAAATTAAAGTATATTACATAAGCTTCAATTTAAGATATATATAAAAGTGTCAGACCTTCCGGAACACTTTCAAAAGTTAAGTTGAAAAAGTTCTACTTTCTATATGCATTTTTTATATTTGAAGCCCCCCCATATATAGGGAAATAGTCTGATTTAAAAAAAAAGTATATCCAATGAAAGATGTATATAAATACTACTTCTCATGAAAAAATTGTATTGATCCATACGTTTTTTAAAAAGTTATAGCACTTTAAAGTAAAAAATGTAAATTATAAAATCGAAAATTTTCACACAAAAATAGCATTCGGTAGCCGTTTTCACCATGAAGACAAGTCCAGAGGTCAAATTTTTTTTTTTCAAATTAAAGTACATTACATTAGCTTTAATTTAAGATATATATAAAAGTGTCAGACCTTCCGGAACATTTTCAAAAGTTAAGTTGAAAAAGTTAATTTTTTGTGAAAAAGTTGTCATTTTAAATCCCCCCCTGTGGGCAGGTTAAATGTCAGATTTACAAAAAAAATATATCAAATGATAAGTTAAGACATCAAGCATCTATATAAAAGAAATTTATATTGATATGTTCATTTTTGAAAAAGTTAGAGCATTATTAAGTTAAAAATATAAAAAAAAATTATTTTACAAAAATCGTAATTTTTTATTAACTTTGATGTCAACTTTCACCACGAAGACAAGTCCAGAGGTCAAATTTTTTTTTTTCAAATTAAAGTACATTACATTAGCTTTAATTTAAGATATATATAAAAGTGTCAGACCTTCCGGAACATTTTCAAAAGTTAAGTTGAAAAAGTTAATTTTTTGTGAAAAAGTTGTCATTTTAAATCCCCCCCTGTGGGCAGGTTAAGTGTCAGATTTACAAAAAAAATATACCAAATGATAGGTAAAGACATCAAGCATCTATATAAAAAAAAATTATATTGATATGTTCATTTTTGAAAAAGTTACGGCAGTTTTTAGTAAAAAAAATTGAAAAAATTTCGAAAATTAGCGATTTTTAAATTTGTAATTTTTTTGGAGGTTTCCCCCATTTACGGGGAACGAGGGAAATTTTTTCAATTTTTAAGGGTAATGTCTTCGACTAGATACGATTTGTGATCTTTTGACGTATCGTTGAAAGAAATCCGTTCGGTGAGAGCTGAGAAAAAGTGGTAACAGAAAAAAAAAAAAAAAAAAAACACATCATAGTAAAACCAATACCTTCTCAGCTTCGCATCGAAGCTAAAAACACATCATAGTAAAACCAATACCTTCTCAGCTTCGCATCGAAGCTAAAAACACATCATAGTAAAACCAATACCTTCTCAGCTTCGCATCGAAGCTAAAAAACACTTTCATTTAGAAGGTTTACAAAACGGAAGAAACTATTACAATTTATTATTGAAGTAAGTAAAGTAATTTCAACTTCTTTGTAAAAAATGTTGATTTCTCATTACTACATTGATAAAGAAATACTTAATATTAGTTACTGACTCAGCTCATTAAAACGTTAATATTAGTCTCATTTTTATTTCCAATCAGAGTTTCCAGATTTGAAAATTTTCCTTATTCTGTGTAATTACAGATTACAGATTATAATCTGTTTACATCATCAACATCTACAATATAAGAACTTCCTATATCAATTTTATATAATATATAAAGCATATTATAAGGCATTCCATTTTGTTAAACGTACGTCATATTATTTGTTATGTGATAAACTTTATCAATTTAATATAAATACACCGCAGTTATCTACGAATAGATAACTACGATTTACACGTTGTCTGCATTACTTATAAACATTAAAAACGATTACAAAAAAAAAAAACACTACGTAGTATTTAATTTACTCTGTCAGAATCAATATAGCAAAAATACCTTGGTAATTTTCCATGAGACGTATGTCAAAGTAAAATTAATATTTCGTAGTACTATGATAAAAATTAAGATCTTATTCAGATTTTAATTAAACGGCAATACAACAAAAATAATTATGCTGAAGGCTGTGATTTTGATTGGAGGTCCTTTGAAAGGTATTTAAAAGTTCTACTATTGTTATTTGTTGACTTATGATCAATTTTATTTTTATTTAGGGACAAGATTCAGACCTCTATCATTAGATATACCAAAACCTTTATTTCCTGTAGCTGGTTTACCTCTAATTCAGCATCACATAGAAGCATGTATCAGAGTTCCTCAAATCAAAGAAATTCTTATCATTGGATACTATCCACAAAATGATCTCGCACAATTTGTACATGACATGACTAATCAATATTCTAATCGTCTCAAAATAAGGTGTGTTAATAGTAAATTTAATTTAAAAAAGTCAAGGTGAATTTTGATCAGAACATTTCTATAAATTAAAAATAATATATTATTACCTACTAAAATACTTTAATTTTATGATTATGATTGATGAAATTTATGATGGAGAATTAAAAAAAATATATGTATAAAATTACCTTCTAACAGCATTGTCTTTAGATAACTTGTAAATTTTTCTCTGAAAAATTGTTTTTTGATATTTAAACCACATTTATGTTCTTTCTTCTGCTTTTGTAAAGTATTTTTTTTTTTTTTTTTTTAATTATTATTCATCTATAAATGATATTTTTTCAAAAATATTTTTAAATATTAATCAATAGATCCATAAGATACGAGTAGAAATTATATTCAATATTTCTTGACGCCAATATCTTATAATTTTTTTTTCAAAAACATAAATCTGTTTAATAATTAAATAGATTATCAATTGTTTATGGAAATTGAAAAATATCCTTCATTACGAATAGTGTTTGTTAAATACCACATTCATAAATTAGACGAGTGATAAACTTTTAAAAATTGCTATGATTAGTGTTAATTATTAATAGAATTATGGTTTTTTAAATTAATAAAAGTATTATTTTGATCCATTTTATATATTTAATACATTTTTAACTGATCCTGTGGTCTATTAATAAAAAATAAAAAGTCTAACAACTGTAAATATGTAGAATATTTAAATAAAAAACATTGTTCAATGAATCACTCTTATCTGAAAAAAAAAAATTTCATTTACTTATTTTTAGCTGTTAAGGATGGTTCAACCCTTATGGAAAAATTAAAAATGCATTTACAGTTTTTAATAACCTATTCATAATTAATACAAAAAGAGGTGAACTCAAAATAAGATGGAAGTTACAAGAGTAAGTTTAAAAAAAGAAAATGTAATTGACAACTCAGAATAATGGGTATTTGGTGGAGTAGAGATTATCACTAACTGCCTTTTTTCCATCTAAAAATTTATAAAAATTAGCAGCTGTGAGCTTTAATATAGGAATAGATATAATAAAGCTTAATATGATCGTTGGAATTAAATAAGTACTAAAAAAAACATAAAAAATCTTTTATTGAGACATTTTCTACTCATTAAAAACCATTTTTGATGAAATATAAAATAAAACATCAAAATATGATTATAAAAAATGAATTAAATTAAATTTTTTTTTTTATTAATCATTAATTGTATATGTATACTAAAAACATCATTTTTTTAATTTGTGAGATATATGAAAATTTAAGCCATTTGTTTATTCAAAGAGTGCAGTAATTTTGAAATAATTAAATTTTTAACAAGTTAATTTTTTATCATCATTAAATAGTGATGCTTTTTAGCTTTAATTACAATTAAATAATTGTCACTTTAATTTAACAATTGTTAAAGTTAAATTAATTTATTCTATTTTCTTCTAAAAAATAACAATATAAATCAAATAAATTTGGTTTTCAAAAATGACTAATTATTATAAATTTGTTATATAGATTTAAAGTATATTTAAGATAATTTCAAAACATTTTTTGATTAATAAAAATAATGAACATTAAATGAGAATACAATATAGATTTTTATTTTTAAACTTTAATATTTGGTAGATACTTGCAAGAATTTACTGCCTTAGGAACAGCTGGAGGTCTTTACCACTTTCGGGATCAAATTCGATATGGTCAACCTCAGGCATTTTTTGTAATGAATGGGGATGTATGTGCTGATTTTCCTTTAGCCTCTATGTTAGACATTCATATGTCAAAAGATAAAGCTCTTATAACTGTACTAGCAACTGAAGCTACTCGACATCAATCAATGCATTATGGTATTTATCAAAACAAATATTTAATTTAACTATACAAAAATATTTCTACTTATTTAAATGACAATTTAAAATATTGTGTTCTATGCACTTGGTTATTAAAGTATGACAATTTATTCTCAATAGGATGTATGGTGACTGACAAGGAAACGAATGCAATTGAACATTACGTAGAAAAACCTTCAACTTTTGTTTCGACTTTAGTTAACTGTGGAGTATATCTATGCTCTACAGAATTATTCCAAACAATTTCAATTTTTGCATCTGGAGCATGTTCAGCTTCTATTGATAATGAGAATTCATATGTTTTTGGCAGGTAATATAATTACTTATACCTTATATATTTATATAAAATTATACCTTGTTAATAGTATTTATTTATTAACTTTTAGCAATCATGATGTTATAAGACTTGAGCAAGATGTGCTTAGACATTTGGCAGGTACAGGTCGTGCCTATGCTGCACCTACATTGAATTGGTGGTCACAAGTGAAAACAGCTGGAGCTGCAATTTATGCTAATCGCCATTATCTTGCACTTAAACATAACATGGGAAATTTACCCTTGAATACAGATGGATATACTACCATTGGTCATGTATACGTACACCCAACTGCAAAAGTTCATCCTACAGCATTGGTATGAAATAATATCTATTTTATATTGTCAAAAGATTTATAAATAATAAGGTTCCATTTTAGCTAGGTCCCAATGTCAGTATTGGATCTGGAGCACAAATTGCAGCTGGTGTTCGCATAAAAGAATCTATTATTTTACAAGATGCTTGTATATCTCAACATAGTCTAGTAAAAAATTGAATATTCTTTGTATTTCTTAGATTTTTTTTTAATGCTTAATCTATTTTAGGTTATGCATAGTATTGTTGGTTGCTCAGCTAAAATTGGTGCTTGGTGCAGAGTTGAGGGCACTCCATGTGGGGATCCTAATCCTAATAAACCTTTTGCCAAAATGGATCAATTACCCTTATTTAATCCTGATGATGGCCGTTTAAATCCAAGTATTACAATTCTTGGTAAATCATTTATATCAATACATTATAACATTATATTTAATAAAAATTATTCTTAAACATGTTATATATATATATAATAAATGAATTAATTTTTTAGGTTGCAGTGTAATTGTGCCATCTGAAATAATACTGTTAAATAGTATTGTATTACCCTACAAATCATTAACTAGAAGTTTTAAAAATGAAATTATTTTGTAATAATTTACTTATATTACATCTTATTATTGTTTTAAATAATTATCTTATTAAATATATAATAAAACACTTAATGCTGATATGTATACTATAATTGTTTGTATAGTACTTTTAATCAGGGACTGAAACCATGTTTTTTTATAGGTTTGGGGTCTTTAAAAAAATATTCAAAGGTACTGGTTTGGTTTAAGTTCTTTTAATAATAATAATAATAATAATAATATAAGTTCCGGTTAGATTCGGGTTCTTGAAAATAAAAGTTCCAGTTCCCAAAAATAAAGTTTCCATCCAAATTGTTAAAATTTAATTAGAACTAAAGCTCAATTAAAAAAATTCTTAGAAAATAGCAGATATAGAATTTAAATGTATTTCTATTACGTTGTAAAATATTGGTTGCTGTAAGGCGTTTATAAAGGTGATAGGTGGATCACCTTTCGCTATGGCACAAAAATTTCTTTAAAATATAGTAATATTGTATAAATATAATAAAATAAAATACTTTAATTTTAACCTAATTTTATATATTATAACTTTTGTATTATGAATAAAAAGTATTTATTCTATTTGGTACATAAATATCCAACATACATATTGTACCTATTAACTTTTTTTTAGTCATCTCCCTCCCTTATACTATCAATTTTTGGTATTCATTCGCATCCATTTTTAACCCATGTATAAATGTAATAAAGTTATAATGTCTATATCTGTCAATCACAAAGTCTCGGACACACAATCAATATATTTAAAAGTCAAATTATAAAACATGTAAAATCTAATATTGATTAAAATTTCATTTGACTAATCATTATAAAAAATAATCAGGTATAAACATAAATTTCAAAATTAATTTTGAATAAATTATCCATAAAATTTATTTTATATTATAATAATAATCTTAATACCACCAAACCAATAGTTCTTAATTGAATATTTTCATTTTTTATATATTGTATATTAGTACCTAAAAAACTATTACACCTGGTAGCAACATCGAATTTTAATGTCATCATTTTATTTATTTATTCAATCATTTTGGTCATTTGATAAAATTGTATTCATCTTCAACATACCTCCTAATAAATGTATAATTTTATAAGTTATACAAGAAAATTTTTAACTAGGAAGTTAAAAATTACACGATGATAAAATGATAAAAGTAGATGTAAGTAATAAAGTTAAACTATATTATATTAACCTGATTGAAATAGAATTCAAAACTAACTTTTTTTTTCATAAAATAGGATTTATAATTTTTTTAAACCCATTTTCATTTATAATACTTTAAGAGCATCCATTAACAGTAACTAATCCTACACAACAATCAATTAAATATTTTTTTGTCATAGTTATTTTTATTATATTGGACTTGAACATAACAACAATTTTTAGCTTCGATGCGAAGCTGAGAAGGTATTAATTTTACTATGGTCTGTTACCACTTTGTCTCAGCTCTTACAGAACCGATATCTTTCAACGATATGTCAAAAGTTCACAAATCGTATCTAATTGAAGACATTATCCTCAAAAATTGAAAAATTTCCTTCGTTCACCATAAATGAGGGAAATCTCCAAAAAAATTACAAATTTAAAAATTGATAATTTTCGACATTTTTTTACTTAAAACTGCCATAACTTTTTTAAAAATGATCAAATCAATATTATTTTTTTTTATAGATGCATGATGTAATTACCTATCATTTGATATATATATTTTATAAATCTGACCCTTTACTTGCCCAAAGGAGGGGATTCAAAATGACAACTTTTTCAACTTAACTTTTGAAACTTTATGAGAAATAATATTTATATACCTCATTCATTTGACATACTTTTTTTTTTAAATCGTCCATATCCCTTAATACAGTAGGGGTTGAAAACATAAAATGCATATAGAACGTAAAACTTTTTGAATTAAATTTTTGAAAGTGTTCCGGAAATATTGACACTTTTATATATATCTTAAATTAAAGCTTATGTAATATACTTTATTATGGAAAAAAAAAAATTACAGACTTTATAAAGTAACAATAGAAACCCATTTCCTTGCTTACTGAACATTCTATATATAATTTCAGCAATATTATATCACAATATCGAAAAAAAATTGTTTCTGATATCCTATAAAAAAATATATAGCTACATCTCATAACGATAATCCAATATTTTCAAATTACTTTTTACTATGAATAAATTTTTTTTTTTTTTTGGTACAAGACTTTATCATTATAAATTGACTATGTTAATTGGATGAATTTGTGTTTTTTTTTTTTTAATAATTCTATTATAGTTTCCGTGTTTTGGTTTTAAATAAAAATAAAAACTGTAATTGCGCTATTTATATTTTTTATTGCTTTAAGTCATAACTGAAAACAATTTTTCATCTTTTCAAAAATAAAATTTAAACTTTTACAAAATAAAGCATTATTATCTGCATCTCTATCATCTATTTAAAAATCAATTAAAAATAGTATGAAATTGATATTTAATAATTTAGTGTAGTAATTTTTACAGAGAAATTATAAGAAATTTAAAAATAATTGTTACTTTTATGGCATACGTGTATACAAATTGGAAGGGCTTGATACAAAACTTTTCAAAAGATAATTTGACGTTAATTTTGAATAAATGGTCTGCAAGGAATTTTCATCAGAGTCAAAAATATACTTTTATTGATTAATTCTTTGAGATGATTTCAAATCTGCAATTAGATTTTGTCTATCACTACAAATATTTGATATTATTACTAATTAGTTAAAAACTATAGGATATAATTGTACGAAATATATTCCTGAATATTTCAATAATAGCATCCATTTAAACATCAAGAATTACATAAAAATTATTAGTATTTCTATTAAAATGATTTATTACGATATAAATACAAAAAATATAATAAGTGATTTTAACAAGATTTTGAGTTTTTCTTATAAATTTAATGTTAATAGTAATTATATAAATTCCTAATCACATATCAATCTAAAAAATACAATTTTATTTCTCATAAAATTTTCTATTTAATGATATAAGTTCTAAACTTTCAAGTTGAGCTTAAATAATAAATTAATTCTCGTCTATTACGTGCGTTTTGCGAGGACTTTGGAAGTGATCACATTTTTTTACTCTTACACATCGAAGTTAGATGGCTTTCCCATGGTAAAGCATTGACACGCTTGTTTGAGTTGAAATCTGAAGTTCAAGCTTTTTTTATTGATCATCCGATTCGTTTGTTCTCTTGTTTATTCGATGATCTTTGGCTACAGAAGCTTGCATACTTAGCTGACATCTTTTCTAAATTAAATGAATTGAATCTATCATTACAAGGCGTAAGTGTAAACATTTTCACTGTGTATGATAGAATTGAGGCTATGCTAAAGAAGTTAAATTTTTGGATCCAATGACTGCAATTAAATGAGTACGAATGTTTCGGTTCTCTCTGCACTTTTTTATCAGAAAATTCAATTGTACTTGACGAAAACATTAAAAAAATATATTCGAACATCTGAAGCATATTCAATTAACTTTTGATGACTATTTTCCCGATAGATGCAATATATTCCGCTCGAACAGCTGGATATGTAGTCCTTTTACCCTTTTGCACAACATATCTACGTGAAAAAGGATTTTCAACATATACTTATTTGAAAGATAAATACTGAAATAGATTGAATGCAGAACCTGATCTGAGACTGAAATTGTCCGATATTGAGTCCAACTTTGCATTGCTTTGTTCTATGAAACAGCCACAAATATCGCATTAAGAATGTTCTTTATACTAGTTAAGTTAATTCTTATCAAATATGTTTTCGTTTCTTGGTTAATTTAAAAAATAAATGTCCTTCAAAATTTGATTGTTTTTTTTTCACCTACCAGTATAGACCAGGGGTTCGCAAAATTCTTCAGGATCTCGGGAGGGGTTCGCGATGAGAAAAAGGTTGGGAAACGCTGTTATAGATCAAAGGTAAGTAACCTATTTAACCACCATTTTTATAAAAAGAATAATAAGCGAATACCGAGGGCTTAGATTTTATAAGTGTAATTAAATAAGCACACGGGGGCACGTGCTGATGTAAAAATGTTTTCTGACTTTGTTTTTCACTAATAATTGGCTTAAAATAAGTAAAAAAAACATTTATGGTAGATTATTAATTGAAAAATGTTATTTGTGCTTCTCTCCCATTATAAATTTTTAAATACGCTCATGGGAACACGCATTAATAGAAAACTAAAAGGTAGGAAAATTACGTGTATCCTCAATTATATCATAAATTTGTAACCAGTTAACAGAAAAATAAATTTTCTTTAGTATTATATCATACTTTAGACACAACAAACGGTATAAACACTTTAATGAAGAAAAAATACTTAAGGTCAGTAATTGTTTAAAAGTTCGTATCCAATTTGAATCTATCATAAGTTCAGTTTATCATGACTTGGTAAATTTATTTAAGGTTTCTAATGACATCTTGAGTACTTTCAAAATTTAATAACGGAAGATAATGTAAAATGAATGCATATAATTTTACTTAATACATATTTTAATTTATAAAATTTTTTTCGGTTTTCTATCGGTGAGGTTTCAAGCAGGATTGTTTTATGACAGTATCGATAAATAATGAGTTTTTAACGATGCTGTCGGTTACTAATTATTCAAATTTCAAATCTCTCAGTTAATTCAAATAAGTTATCCACCAAGGGTGGTTAATTTTATATTCATTGAATCGTATATAACTGAATAGGAAATACATCTGGGAGAGAATATGTAATTTACTATAGGTCTACTGTATTGATCCCTTTGTGTTATGTTATTATAATAATTCATAAATGCACTCCAACTAGACCAGTTTCACTTAAGGGATTTTTTGGGGAGCTTGTTACAATCTTCTGACACCTGGCTTACAATAAATATAAGGGTTTGTAAAAGTCTTACATTATTATAAAATATATGGTAATAAATTACTTTTGTTTAAGTTTTTACTATTAATTAATTAAAAAATTTATTTAGAAATTATACTTGACAAAGTTTCTCTACAAATAATATATATATTATTGTTGAAGTTTCATTATTTACTAATAAATCAATTAGCAAGTATTATTTCAATAAAAACTGAATAAATTACTTATATAACAAAAACCCTTTACTTTAAGTAATACGTGTATTATAATCATATTTTAAAACATCATGAACGGCTATTGGGTTTTATGAATTTAAAATGGATCAAAATAAAATGTTTATAGATAACACTCAATCACATTTTTTAAACTTGTGAAAATCTGATTAATAACATAAGTAAAATTGAAGTTTAATTTTAATTATAGATCATATTAAAAAGTTACATTTTATGACAACATTATAATAATGTTAATCCATTTAAAAAAATATTGAACTCTAGTGTATGCAATATGATTTAAATTAAAAAAAAATGTTTTATCGACTTTTCTTCTATATTTTTTTTATTAAAAAATAAAGTATATAATTTAAAAGTGTAAAAATGAGAAGCCCTAAAAGTAACAAAAAGATTGCGAGGCCCGGCAATCTGCCGAGTTGCCGGTTCACTTACAGCACAGTTAATTTACTGTTCATAAGTTATTAATATTCATTATATCAACTACACTAAAAAAATTTAAATAGTAAAAAAAAAAACAAGTTTATTAAATTTACTTTAAAATGAAAATTTTTTTTAATAACATATTTTTATATATTTTATGTTGAACGATTATGAATCAATGAAAAATTTTGATAATATACCTTTTCAAAATCCTTGAAAAGTTTAAATTAAATTTTTTTTCAACTTGCGAGATATATTGTTTAAGTACTAAATAATACACACCCTGTTACTTTAGATAACGTAACGCAACGATCAAAACATACCTCTAAACTTTTTAACGTTTAATTTCTTTTCTCTAACAAAAGTAGCATGTAATAAAAAAATTATTCCGAATAATATATTGAATTTCAGTGTATTTTAAATCAAATAGAAAGTACAGGATCACAGCTTTAATAGTGTTTAGATTAGAAGTTGTGAAACGTTTTGTTCATATCGAAAATATTGATTTAATCAATTATCAATTACTGAGCGGTCGTTAATCTTCTATAGGTGCCTAAGACCGCTGAACAATGAAAATTTAAATTTAATTTCAAAAAATTATTTTCTCTTTTTATTTATTCCACTGTCGTTTTGAAAGAGATTTTACACGGTTCAAAGAATATTCTTGAAAAGAGGGTTGCATTCGACAGTGATTGATCCATCATTCAGCAACAATGAATGCAACCGATTTAGTAAGTTCGTCAAACGTCCAATGGATCTAATGAAAATTCTATTGCTAATAACAAAATCAGTGATCTTATTTGTAGGGTTATACACAAAATTATTTGGGCCTGGAGTATTTCATATGCTTTTCTGATGGCTATGTACAAATATCACTCTAGGTCTTATTAAAACTTAACTAATATAATTAAAAACTAGTTTGTAAAAAAGATTAGAGCTTACTGCTTTAACTAATAAAAATATAATTTAGAGTTCAATTTTTAATAACGATAACTTATCAATATGAAAATTTTGATAAGTTTATTTCAATTGATATTGTTGTTTCTACCGTTCGTATTACCTGCAAATCCAAATTGGATGTAAGTCATTTTTAGTTACCTTCAAATAAATTAAAGATTCTTGCTTCGATCTAGTTTTTTATAGTAATTGCTACTGTTATTTTTACCCATCCTACTGTTATTATTTTTAAAAAATGTTTAGAACCTATTAATAATTTGTACTGAATTAGTTTGTATTAAATCATAAAAGTCTAATTAAACATTGTTTCTTATAGATATTATCCTATGATGCTTTATGGATTATTAAATTTTGTCTGCAGTAGTACTAAGTTTTGTTTTTATTTATTTACTTATCTTTATATCAAGCAATTATCATAATTTGGTTAGCTATTTCAGGTTTAATGTTTACACCAGTAATATAAAAGAGATATATTGACTATCCAAATTGTATTAGTTATAGTTTGTAGAAAGTATAATTTGATTTTAGTTTATATTCAATTCTACATTGATGTAGAAATTAAGTTATAGAATTTATTTAAATTCTTTGAGAATGAAACTTTAGTTGAAAAGCTCAAATGCACTATTATGTACGATTATTCAGTTTTTGTGTATTTTGCAAATCTCATTAATTAGTGTATAACAATAATTTCTCAAAGTTTTATAAGTTGATAATTTAATTTAGGTATTTAGGAGTAATTGGTATACCACCTCCCTTGCAACAACAGCAAGCATCACCAGGAGCTGAATACGAAGATCCAATAAAAATACAAGCAAGTGCAGTATGTGGTTCATTACCAGGACTAGCATCAAAACAAATAAACCTTTGTATGAAACATCCAAGTGCTATTTATTCAGTGTCTGAAGGAGCAAAAAAAGCTATTGAACAGTGTCAATTTCAATTTCGTGATGAAAGATGGAATTGTTCTATTTTAGAAGATGAACAAAGTGTATTTGGACCAACACTAGACAGGGGTTAGTATTTTGCATTATATAATTATTAAAATATTTATAAAGTAGTTATTTTTTTCATTTGCAGTAATTAAAACAAATAATTAGTTATTTATTTCTAAAATAATTATATTAAAAATAAAAATTTATTTCAATATCATATAATTGTTATTTTTGTTAAATTAGTTAATAACCTGTTAAAACTATAGAAGTATATGTTCTTATTAAAATTGTATGTTATAATATTTAGGAAGTAAAGAAACAGCTTTCATATATGCAATAACAAGTGCGGGTGTAGTATTTTCTATAACTAATGCTTGTAGTTTAGGTAGATTTACTGAATGTAGTTGTGATTCGATGCAACATGGACAAACTACTCCAGAAGGTTGGAAATGGGGTGGATGTAGGTAAAGTAAACAATTGTGAGATTTTAAACTCTTGTATTTTATATTTTCATTTTATAATAGTGATAACTTAGGATTTGGATTGAAATTTTCACGTAAGTTTGTAGATAGTTCAGAACCAGAACGTCCAAACAATTTCAAAACCACTAAACAAAAAAAAATGTGGTCAAATAGATTTAAAATGAATTTACATAACAATGAAGTTGGAAGACAAGTATTTAAAAATTATAATAGTCTTGTGTTTTTAGATTCTTATTCTAATTTTTGATTTCAGACTGTAATATCATTAATGAAAATACATTGTCGTTGTCATGGTGTATCAGGTTCATGTGAGCTAAAAACTTGTTGGAAATTCATGCCTTCATTTAATGAAATTGGTAATGTTTTGAAAAAGAAATATGGAAAAGCTATTTTTGTAAGAAACTTTAATAATTTATTATAACAAAATAAAAAAAGTTCAAAATTACTATAAATAGTGAACTCACTAAAAAATGTATTATTATAATAATGTAGAAAACTTATCCACAAGAATATTAAATACTAATTTTACATTTATTATTTGATTTTGGCAATTTTTTTAGTTACTTATACAATTAAAAACATTTACAGATAAATCACTTAATAAATGAACCTACAAAGAACTCATCAATGATAATTCATAATAAAAGAGATACACGACAAAATAAAACTAAAAGACTATTATTAGCCCAATCAAATGAGTTAGTTCATATTCAAAAATCACCAAACTATTGCAAACAAGATACATTAAAAGGAGTTTTGGGTACAGAAGGTCGAAAGTGTAATAGCACATCAATCGGACCAGACTCTTGTAATAAATTGTGTTGCGGCCGTGGATATATAACTAGGGTAATTGACTGACATAAAGTTATATTTTGATTAGAAATTAAATTAAAAAAATATTGCAGATAGTAAAGCAAGATGAGCTTTGCAATTGTAAATTTGTTTGGTGTTGTTATGTCAAGTGTGATACTTGCTACAAACATGTTGAACAAAAAACATGTAAATAGATACAACTACATTTTTTATATCAAGTGCTTAAATATTTTGTTTGAGATTCTAATCTGCTATGGTTTTTCCAGTGGTAAAAGTACAATAGACTTTTTGTATACATATCATTAAACGCATGCAGTAATCTTTACTCTAATTAAATTCTAGTCACCTTTTTTTTATTAAATATAAGTCTTCCATAATTGACCATTATTGTTAGCTCATATGTAATAAATAGGAACAATAGACATGTTTAAATTATTTTATGTTATATATATACTTAAAAAAAAATTATCTCTTTTAATAGATATGCATTATTAAGATATCATAGTAAAATTGCTTCTTAATATAATTTATTCAAATTACATATATAATGTACTTTAAAAAAATACACAACATTATATTTAAGAAATATGCATTTAATCATAATACATTAGCTTCTATGTTGTGATATTAAGCCATATAAATAATATAGGAAGCGATTAAAAATTAACAACAGAGATATTAATAAATAATAAAACTGTACAATTAAAACATTATAAATAAAAATAAATTAATATAATAGTTTGATCTAGGAAGTACAATTTTATCTTTTCTGCTAGAAATAGATATTAATAACTTACAAGTCATTTATCATAATATTAATAAAAAAAAAAATCACTTTAACAATAATTTTATTTGCCTTTTTTGGGTAAATAATAACAATATATCTGAATAAAATATCCAACATACATTATATTATGGGCATCTGAAATACAAAATCTTATTTTGTAAACATTTTTAAAAAAGTATGTAAATAATGTATACAAAAATTACTACAGGCACAGAGGTATCACTGATTAGTTTAATCAGGATCTTTAATCCATCTGTAATTACCACAGCCATTTTACAAAAAAAAAAATAATAATAATAAATAAGTACATCTTAATATCTATGAACACAAGTTATTTAGTCAATTTAAAAAATGGTGTTCACAAATTATTTGATTCTGTGTATACTTAAATCTTAGAAATACAACAAAAATTGGTATGTATTGCTATTTAATCAGTAAAATGAAAACAATTTATAACATAAGATTTATTTTATATTCATTCTAGAGAATCATTCAATTTTAAAAATTGCATTTGTTAAATTTTTATATATTAATTAGTATGTGAAAAAAATTAAAAAACACCTTTTCTAAATAGTTTATTAGTTTAAAATATAAAAAAAAACATAACAATTTATAGACAATATGTAGAAGTATATAATACATAAATACACATAAATCTATTTACAAAAAAAAAAAAAAGAATTAAAATAGGAACAACCAATGATTTTTTAAACGGTGTTTGCTGACTAACAAAGTTGGTCTATAACACCAATGAACCAAAAGGAGTTCACCCAAAGTATGTTATAAATATATAATAGTATGTTTAAAGATGATACATCATATAATATAATTAACACTTTCACAGTATAATTTTTAATATAGAGAACAGTATAAATTAAATTTCATAACTGGCTAAAGTAGAACATTTAATTAATAGATCTATCAAATAAACATGCTTCATTATAAATTTGTTTTAAAAGTATGTTAACTTATATTTAATTATAATAATTCATTAGAAAAATTATAATTTAAAAAGAATTGCCTTAAATTTATTTTTTAATTATAGCTACTCAATTTAATATTTATACTAAATAATTTTCAACAATTAAAAAAAACTAATTTAGAAGAATTGGTATAAATATAATTCTCAAAAAGAAAAAAAAGAAACTTAAGTTTTAGGTTTAAATTAATTATTGATAAATTAAAATTGAAGATTATATTCCCTATCATAATAAATGATTATCAATAGTTTTAATTTTTATATAAATTAATTAAATTTATTATAATTAAATTTTGTAGGTAATGAGTTATTACTAATGGTGTTTCACTATAATAAAATATAAGTAATAGAATTAACATATATTAGTGCTCAAAGTACAGACGCCAGTTTTTTATATCAACTTTTATGTTATTTGTTTAAAATACAAAATAAGGAGACTAAAAGGTAATTATGAAAAAAATTGATCAATCCTTTTAAAAATAACATAATAAAATAATAATAATAATGAATAATTAAATCCAATCTAAAAGAGATTCTTAGACTTAATCTATCACCCTGTATATAACTCATAAATTGTAGTTAAGTAAAAATTGGCAATATTTATGAAAACTTAAGTTATAAAATTATTTCTTCATTATATATTTTAACAGTCAATATCCCTGTGATTTATTTACTAGTTTTAAAACAGTATATTGAATTTAATATATCACTTCATTATTTTAAAAATAATTCAAAATGGCAATAACCTTAAAACGTTAAAGGTTTAACATATAGAATTTATAATAAAAATATCTACAAAAAAAAAAAAAAAAGGTTAATTTTACAAAAGATTAGGCAATAATTTTAATACAATAATTAGTAAAATTAAAGAACTTGAGAATATTTACTGAATTTAGTAAATGTTTAAAACCATAACATAAAATTTTCAACAAAAAAGGATAATTATAAGTAAAGGTTCCAAATATACCCCCACAAAAAAATTAATGATAACCACAAACAAAGCTTGTTCACAAAGTTTAGTAATGAAGTTCAAGACTGTAAGTATTTTCTGTAACAGGAAACTAATTCAAAAGTTGTAACATCCAAAATTGGTAGTCCACACAAGCAAGTTAATTATTAGAACTTATAAGTTGATTGAATTGATGTCAACAAAAATAAGTGACATATATGCACCTATAAAGCTAATAATTAAAACAATAATTTACTAAGAATACCTCCATCAGGCCCATCAGTTTTATAACCATATGTGCTGTAACATTTATGGAATAATTCTCTAACAGCAGATAAACGATTTTCCCGCCTACAAAATATAATTATATGTAATATTAGAAAAAATATTTTAAGCAAAACTTACGATGAAATTGGTCGAAACTTATTTTCCATTAAATCATTACCATTTAAACTACCTGTTTGAGTGACCATTGACCATCTAGAAAAATTATTAATTTTATGATGCACACAGCAATGTTTACATTAAGACTTACTCGTCAGTCTCGCTTGAATTAGAGCATGTTCGCAATCGTCTTTGAGACGTTGGCATATCAACAGGCAATGTTCTTTCTATATTACTTGTAAATTCAAAATCATCATTATCACAGTCCGAATCGGGAGATCTCACTGAACGATAACGTCTTCGGGGAGAGGAACACTTATATCGTTTTGTTTCTACTTCATCAGTAATAATGAAATCTTCTTCGTCAATATCTTCAATGTCATCCATTTCATAAATGGTTTCTTTAATAAAAAACTTTTCTGTAGGCTTCTTTAATGACTTTAACTTAGTAGTAACAGTTTGATCAAAATCAAGCTGTGTATGATAATCTTCAAAACTATCATAAATTTTTCCAACAGTTAGATCTTCATTGCTACAAAATAAATTATTTTTAACAAAACTATATTGAATAGTTAACAATATTACTCACCTGCCATTACTATTGTTTCTTGATCGAATTTCTAGATGGTCTAAATCAGATAAATCAAATTCACTCATATAAGAAGAAAATTTCGGACTATTAGGAGCAGTCACTGCACAACTGTAAGAAAATAAAATTCACATATTATAGACTTATACTACATTTTATCATAATTAAATAAAAATAATTAACTTACGGTATGCTAGGAGTCTTGAAGTCATCACTAAAAATATATTTTAGAAAATGAAAACAAAAATGCATAATATCTTCTCCTTTTTCAAGTCGATTTTCAAGGTTATGCCCAAATAAATACCAATCATAACCTAGTGTTAAATACAAAATCTGGCTAGGAGATAATGATTTATGAATCACACCATCTGCCCACAAAGACATTCTTATTAGTGAAATGAATAAGGGAGTTCGATCCCAACCACTAATACAATGTATTAATATTCCTTTAGATGAACACCAAATATATTTTAGCATCAAACTCAAATAATTTTCTGTAAGCTGACGCAAATCCCATTCCTAAAAAAGAATAAAAATTGACTTATTTAACAATTATAGTTAAAATAATTGTATTTTTTTCAAGAGGTGACATTCATTAGTACATTTGTTTTTTTTTTTTAAACGAATCAGGCCGACTCCTAATTTGACTTCTAAACATTTAAATTTTTTTGAAGCAATGAAAAAAAGATTTTGCTCACCTCCTCAAATACAATACAAAATTGTCTTTGTACACATTTTTCTTAATCCTATTTAGTAAAAGAAAAAATGTCAAAATTTGTTTGACTTTTATCTCATTTAGATTGAATTCATATATTTTCATTAACTTCAATGAATATCAAGGACCCCATCACTGTAGTCTCCCCTTGTAAAAAAAAATTTCTTTTACATATCAAAATTATTTTTTACTATATGGTTTTTAATTTGTGTCATTCATTTTTCTTAGCTCTCATTTGACCAAATTTTTTTCAATGATACATCAAATGATCATAACTTGTATATAGTTAGATATGCTACCCTCAAAAATAGATTGATCCTAATAAAATTTTAATTAAGTATCATAGATAAAATATTCTTTCATCGAGTATGCTTCCATGGCAAACCAAGAATAACCAAAGTACAGGAAGTGTTTAAAATAAAACACCCATACAAGTTAAAATTATTATTTTTTATCTCAATTATTGGATGTTACGGAATGACTGCATTCTTTAAACTTAAAAATTAATGTTTTTGAAATGTACTATAAGATAAAAAAAAATTGTCCCAGCAACTGTTTTACTGTGAGAAATTGGTTGTCAAAGTAAAAATATTCACAATTTTTTTAATAAAAATGTAACTCTTGGTGTTTAAATAGATTCTACAGTTGAAAAATTTAGAACTTGATGCAGTTGCATCGCACTTCTGATATTATCTCTAGATGGTGATTGTAGCACTTTCTTTTCACATCTAACGTGTTGCGCCATATGCGGAGGCTAATGAGCAGTATGTACCAATCATGCTTACACCACCTTTGCCAAATTTATTAGAATCTCAGCTTCATATTGACCTTGTAATATTTAACGGTCATTTCAATTTTTTTGTTTCGGCATACATCTTGCCTACATGGTTATTGTAATAATACATATTATCGTGTAATAAAAACTCACATTCAATATTAATTACCCTAAACACAACTAACTATATTCTGTATAGATATATCCTTTAGTATTGTATTATCATATATTGATATTCCAAAAAATTACGAACCTAGTTTCACCTATGAATTGGTCTACTGATGAGTTGTTAAATTTTATTTTAACTTATATTTGTTCGGTTATTTTTTTTTTATATGTTAATATTCGTTATTTAATAATTAATAATTATTTCAAAAATAGGAGGTGATAGAAAAAATCTAATTGCAGATTTGAAATCAGCACGGAAAATTTATTTAAAAAACTACATCTTTGATGAAAATTCCTTGTAGATCAGTGTATTAATTCATAATTAACAAAAAATTATTTTCTGGAAAATTTTGTATGAGGCCCTATAATTATTTATAATTTTTCTATTGAAATTATTGACTATCAATTTCATACCAAATTTTATTACTATTATTAGTATTTATTCATATATTATACTAATAAATCAAAGAACTACTATCAGTATATATTTAAAGAAATAGGAGTTTATGTTGCTTTAGTAATAATCCACCGACTTCTCAAAATTATTTACTTAACTATCTACAGATTTTTTTTTCAAATATTAATACTCATTTACCCTGCCCTTTCTTAATATGCCAATGCAGTTTACACTAATTCATTAAAAACACTTTCAAATGAGTTTTTGTACAACAGTTAATTAAATTTTCCCAATTTTTACACAAAAATCATACTTTTTGAACAAACAATAAGAACAATAGAATGCTGTTTCCGTACTTACTGAACAACTATAAATAAAAATGTCAGTATTTCTAGAATATTTTCAAAAATAATGTAGAATAAGTTCATTTTTAGTGGAAAAATTGCAACTTTGAATCCCCTCCTGTGGGCGGGCAGTTAAAGGGTCAGATTTCAAAAAATAAAATAGTAAATGATACATAAATACCTAAAGTATCTATAAAAAAAAATTGTTTTTATTTATTCATTTGTCAAAAAATTATGGCAGTTATAAGTAAAACAAGTTAAAAAAAAGTTGAAAATAACCAATTTTAAAATTATAATTTTTTAGGGGATTTCTCCCATTCACGGAGAACAAGAGAAATTTATTTCAATTTTTGAAAGTAATGTCTTCAACTAGATTTGTGATATTTTGATGCATTTATTAAAATTGGTTCAGAGAGATCTGAGTAGTTAGAGACACAAAAACACACCTTAGTAAAATTAAAACCCTCTCAGTTTCATAGCTAAAATATCAATGGTAATAATGTACACTAAATATTGCCCTAAAATATCACCTTGTATTTATTCCATTGAATATCAAGTTGATCAACAGCAGGATTTGGTTTTACATTTAGTGTTGAATTGATAGTAGGATCAGACCAATCAAACATCAAACCTTCAGAATTATAATTATTCTTTTTAAAATCGTAAAAAAATTCACAACCCGGATATGGCGCTGGAATAATTCTAAATACGGCATATTTTTGTGTATCATCCACTTTTTCTGATGAAGTAACTCTATAAAAAATATTACAAGATTTTGTTTTTATAAAATAATATAAAAAATAAAATATTTCACTAATACTTCAATTAACAAATGATTGAAATATAATACTTGACAAATATGATTGGTATTAAGAGTTAATAAATAAAAAATACTCACGCAAAAAGATATTTTTGTTTCTCATTTTCAACCATTAGATCAATTATTGTTCCTACTTTCCATGCATTGAGTAATTCAACATCACACTTTCTTTTACTATCAAGCTGTCTAAACTCTTCAAATGATAATCCTTTAGCAGTAGCTGTTCCCAACCCTATTTCAGTCATTCTAGCTATCGTAGAAGATCTATAATAACATTTTAAATGTTTATAATTATAATGAAAATTACACAATAATAATAAAATAGATAGAAACTGTTTGATTTAAAAAATAAAAATACCTGCAGATATATTTTCCTTGGTATAATATAACAGGTACAACAAAGCGGTTCCGACATCGTGCAAACTTTGCTTCATTAATTAAAGTGTCAATAGATACTATATCAGTACCAATAGTGTCACTAGTTTTTTTAGGGCTATGTCTAGGCGACTGAGATCTGATAAAAGGTTCTGGTGAAGAATGATTACTAGATGATGGAGCTCCTAAACTATTTCTTTTTCGATTGCATGTTCCTAAAGTTGAAATTTCTTCAGAAGTAACTGATGTCCTATCAATTCTTGTACCTCTTGGATATTTTTCATGTTGTAATATAGGTATTTTATGAGGATATTGCTCATTTATACGACCTTTACTATTGTCAATTATCTAAACAAAAAATCAGTTTGATAAAAAATTTGAAATTAAGAGATCATAATAAAATATTATTATTTTAAAATTATATAAATTTACACTATACTAACTATTACAATCATATTTTGATATTATATTATTTATTTTTACTACCAATGTAGAGCAATAGTATAATTTATACATTATATAATGAAAATTTTGAATAGATTTTAACCCTATACAGCACAATGGAATGATGTCAACCATCAACATCAAAGCACTAAGCTATTAAGTTTACCAAAATCTTTTAAATTAATGATTTCACTAGACAACAAAAAATCAAACATTTTTTTGTACCAAACAATATGGTAGTAAATTCTAAGTAAAATTTTGTTGCTCACTCTACTCTAGCCTTAGAATTTTCAGATTGATTCTAGTTTTTGAAATAATCACAAAATAATAAAACATAACACAGTGGGATCGCGGCACAGTGGGGACGTGGCATAGTTGGGTCCATTATAGATTTAATCTGACAGTGATTAAAATCTTTATCATTATAATTGTAAAAATTCATTGTTAAATTCAGGTAAAACTAAAGTTATTTTTTTTTAGATTTTTGATTTATATAGCAACATGTTCCAAAATAATTTGGAATATTATAGACTGGTAGTAACACACACAAATAGAGTTAAAAAATTATTAACTTTTGCAGTTGAATACTTTTATCATATCAAATGTAATTTGACAATTAATACATTAAAAATATTAGAAATGAATCATTTTAATTGTTTGTATGGATAAAGCTGTTTAAGGTACTTTTTATTTGATTAAGGGATTTTTTTTCAATTTTTGAGGGTAAGATCTTCAACTAAATATGAATTGTAATCATTTGATATATCGTTGAAAAAAGTAGGTTTATTGAAGGTTGGAAAAATAGATCGCAGCTACAAAAAAAAACACAGAATAAAATAATATTAACATGATTAAGAAATTTCTTCTCATGAGTGGAGACTATAATTATGGGATCTTTGATATTTATTGAAGTTAATGAATTTAAATGAGATAAAAATCAAATGATTTGAAAATTTTTATAAGTTAAAAAAAATGCAAAATATTAATTACCACAAGAGAATTTGAACCTGGAACCCTAACCGTGAAATCACAGGTGTTACCGATTGAGCAACTGTTAGTTGCTTTCGCCAATTATTAAAATTGGCAATTTAAGCTAATTCAAATTTTAAAATTATTTTTTTCAACTTTAAAAAGCAAAAAAATTTAAATAAGTTTAACTAATTATGACTTATGAAATTTATTCTAAATAATAATATAAGCTTTAATTTAAGATTAAATAAAAGTCTCAATATTTACGGAACATTTTCAAAAATTGAAAAAGCTTAACTTGTGTGCAAAAATTGATTTTTGAATTCAGATTTAGAGTTTTAGAGGTTTAGTCAGATTTTCAAAAAAATTATATCAAATGAAAGAAAAATATCTAAGGTTTCAATATAAAAAAATAATTTTAATTTGTTCATTTTTCAAAAAGTTATGGCAGTTTTAAGTATTAAAATATTTCATGTTAAACAGTGATTTTTACATAAAAATTATAAGTTTCGTTAAATTTGACAGCTATTTCTCTATAGAAGAAAAGGAGTCGGGACAAATTTTTTTTTTTGAATTTATAGTATTTATTATAAGTTTTAATTTGACATATGTTTAAAGAACACAGTATTTTTGGAACATTTTAAAAAGTTAAGTTGAAAAAAATCTACTGTTTATACATATTTTTCAAGTTTTTAACTTCCCCTGTATAAGGGGAAATTATCCGATTTAAAAAAAAAGGATGTCGGATGAAAGGGGTATATATAATGTATTTAGAAAAAAAAATTATGTTGATACATACATTATTCAAAAAGTTATAGCAATTTTAAAGTTGAAAATATAAAATCGAGAATCAAAAATGTTAACACAAAAAGTAGTATGTTTTTAACTACGACAGTTCTATTTGCACGTAGAAGATAAAGTATCGGGACACTTTTTTTTTTTTTGTTTTATAGTACATGATAAAAGCTTTAATTTGATACATGTTTAAAATATGCAGTATTTCCAGAACATTTTCAAAAGTTAAGTTGAAAAACCTAGTTTTTGTAAAAAAAGTTGCTATTTTAAATCGACCCCTGTGAGCAGTTTAAATGTTAGATTTTGAAGAAAATGATATTGAATGAAAAGGAAATATCTACGGTTTTAATAAAATAAAAAATTAAGTTGTTTTGTTAATTTTTGAAAAAGTTATGGTAGTTTTAAAAAAAGTGGAAAAAAATGTTGAAATTTACCAATTTGAAGTTGTAATTTTTTTGGAAATTACTCCCATTTACGGGAAACGAGGGAATTTTTTTTAATTTTTAAGGGTCATTTCTTCAACAAGATACGATTTGTGATCTTTTGACATATTGTTTATCAAAATTCGGTTAAGTGAGAGCTGAGAAAAAGTGGCAACTGACACAAAAAAAACACATCATGGTAAAATTAATATCTTCTCAGCTTCCCATATCGAAACTAAAAATCAGGTAACTGCATAATTAATTACTCATTAAACATTTTTTTTCCAAAACACTAGTGTATTTTAAGTATTTAATGAGTTATATACCCTTAAACTTGACAAAAAATGATGATACATGAAATATTTTAATTAAAACATTTTTTTTGCTTTAAAAACTATGTAGGATTTTATTTTAAAATAAATTTAATTTTAGAATTAAAAATATTGTGATAAAATCACAATTTTGAGCTTTCCATTTTTTTAAACTGTTAACATCAATTATTTCAATATTTATTTAAGCTAAAAACATGAAAATATATGTTTAAAATTCTTATAAAATTTCTTAACATAAAAAAAAAAAAAAAAAATTAAAAGATGATAATTTAAGGTATACGTAATTTTTTTTATTGATTTTGGATTTTTATGAAATAATGTTTGATCAACTTTGAAGTTCATATGAAATGGCTTAAACTTGAGATATCTTCATTTTCCTTTACTTAATCTCAACTACTTGGGGTCGACCACCCTTATCCTAAACTTCCATTTGATACAATCTTCCACATTATCTACGCACACATCAACAGCTCTCATATTGCATTCAATAACATTTGTTCATCTATTTTTTGGTCTTCCTCTACCTCTTCATCCTTCAACATTCATTTCCATAACTGTTCATACAGCTACTGATTCCTCTCTCTATATAACATGACCAAACCATCTAAGTCTATTTTCTCACATCTTATCCTTGATTGACGCTATACCGATACTCCCTCTTATATGTTTATTCTTTATCCTATCTTCTCTAGTCATTCCAGTCATCTAAGCATTCTCATCTCTGCTCTACTTGTCAACTGTCTAACACTCTGAACTATAAATTATAGTTGGTCTCACTAAAGTCTTATAGAATATACCTTTCAACCTTTTTGGAATTCTTTTATCGTATAACACACCATACGCTTCTCTCCACTTAACCACAAGCATTTAATCCTGTGTCTTACATTTTCGTCAATACCACCGTTATTTTGCACAACTGATCCTAAATACTTAAAACTTTCCAGCTCTTCTATCACGTCCTTTTCTATTATCACTGAACTCCTCATTTCACCTATATCATATTTTATTGTCAAACTTGAGATATATACCTCAATATATGTAAGTATATTTTAAATAAAGCCCAATAAAGTTTTAAATGGGTTTTTTGATAAAAAAATTTCTTTCTAATGAGTAATTACATAATTACCTGATTAATTAGTGATTATCTCAAAAACTAGAATCAATATAAAAATTTTAAAGCCATATTCGGAATCAGCGATGAAATTTCATTCAGAATATACTATCATATTATTTGGCACAAAGAATTGTTATGCAGTGTTTTCATTTTAGAAACAGGAAAATTAAATAATTACCATAAATTTGTAATCCAGCCTTAGAAGATTTAAGCATTTATCCACAACATCATAAGCCTATAAGATAAAAAAATTGTTTTTTAAGTGATCATAAAAAAAATGTGTTTTAATTAAAATCATTGTAGTACTCAATTAAGTATTGACAAAAAAATTACAAGTAAAACACTCGAGAATATTTAATAATAATTTTATATTTATGTTAAACTTTAGACTAGTAAAAAGATTAGAATGTATAATCTTTAAATTATAAATGAATTTACAAGACTTTCCTAATAGAGAATTGGAGTATCTGTTCATTCATAATTTTTTTGTCTTTACAATCAATATTTTTTAAATATTTAAAAACTTCATTAAATTAGAAAAAAAATTTCAGAGAGATAGGATTTGCAAGACCATGCCCAACTATATTCTCTTGATATACTATAAAAAAAATTCTTATAAATATTTATTTTATATTTTCTAAATTTATAGATTTTTAACTTAAATATGTAATAAATTGACTTGGAATTCTAAATTTTCAAACAAACCAGTTATTTAGAGTTTTAAGATTGGTTTAAGCAGTGAAAATCCTGAAATGGTTTCACTGATTTTATATACGAAGAAATTTTTATTTTACTAATAGTTTTTAAATGTTTAAAATAAAATATTTAATTATAAATTATCATGTTTACAATTAAAAAGCATAATTATACTGACAAGTATATTTTCCTTGAACTAATTTATCATGTAATTAATGCTATAAAAAATACAACTATAAATAGTTAATAGGGTTTTAAATAGATTAACAAAAATAATTCAATAAATAAATTATTGGCTGATAATCATGAGTCATGTATTGTTAAGGTCGTTCTGATAAATTAATTATGATTAGTTTACAAAAAATTTGAGAATCATTAACTTGAATTATTGCTTCACATAGTTATGAAATTTACAATGAAGAGATTATTGGCAAATTCTTATGACAATATAAAACATAGTTAATTCTATGTTAATAAAAACATGTTGAAGAGATTTAGTGAATATAATCACACAATCATATACACAGAAAAAAATCTCTATATACTATTCTGTTATCTAAATTACCAAGAAATCTAGATAAAGTATTTATCAATTTTAGAATAGTTATTTTCGTGTTTAATAAATATTGCCTTATAATTATTTATTATGTGAACTTACAAAAGGATCATTGTTGGTACATTTAAACGTTTCTTTAGCAAAGTGTCCTATAAGAGAACTAATGTCATCTTCGGACACAACATTTTTGTCCATAATACCGTCCTGTCTATCCATATTATGGAAAATCACCAATATTACACAAATCAATTGACAATAATTCGCAAAAACGTCATTCTGCTAACCTCGTTAATACCATACGTAATCGAAATAATTTAACTCATAAGAACATAGGTTAATAACTACTGCGTAAAACATACCGCACACCCAAACACATACATCACGGATACAAAATCTCTAGCCAACAAAAAACAAGAAAGAAAATCAGACTAAAAAAAAAAACAAAACAACGTGCTTCTCATGAGGTCATACCCACATTATTGCGAAATACAAATCCCGACGTAGCGTTTTCCTCTGATACTGCTATCATGTAAATTTTATCATCTACACTACTGAAATTTGATAACAATAATACAGTACACAAATTGTGAAAATTAATATTACAAGTTTTTTAATAACATTGATACATGCATATATTTTATATTTTAAGAAGGAAGTCGACTCGACGTAAAAAAAAATATTTTACTTCATAATTATATTCGCTTTAATAGAACTATTACGGTAATACTGTTAAGTATTTGTAATTATTAAGATTTGTCATTTAAATCTTACTCGTACATAAGTTGGTGTCTATAATTTGTTTTTTGTATATTTCAATGTAGAATTACTACTGATATTAATCATTTTCTTTTTAAAAATAGATTCCTGAAAAATCAACTATTTGCTACAGAGTCTTTTAATTCTATGATAAATAATGGTTATTTGTAACTTTTTATATAATATATTTTATTCTTCAATTTTTGATGTACACAAAAAAAAAATTTATTATTTCAGAAAATTTTGCCAAAAACTAAAAACATAAATTGAGTTCAATTTATAACTATTTGGAAACAAATATTATTTAGTGTAAAAATCAAATTAAGTTTGATATACTTGAGATGTTATGACACAAAATAATTTATATATTTAAAAATAAAATTAAAAATATTTTTTTTAATTTTCTTGCTTAATGAGTTCTAAGTCCATTAAATAATTGAAATAATGAATCTTTTTTTTTTTTAGATTACCAATTAAATTAATACTATTGATCATACCTTATTGTAATATTAGAGCAATGTTGACGGCAAAGCTAATAGCTCTTGATTATCCACAGGTTGACACAATTGACATAAATGGTACAAGATTTTTTTTTAAAAAGTATTATTAAATTGTTATTTAGTTTTATTTTAATATATCAAAAGGTCTTGTGTGTTTAGGTCATTGTCAAATTTATTAATATTTACATTAAATTTTGTCTTTAATTTGCATTTCCTACAGTTTTATTTATTTTGTACTAGATTTAGTTTTGAACTTGTTTAATAAATTACTATTGTATAATACAAAAATATTTACTTGTTATTTTATTTTATTTTTTTTAGATGAAAAATGCTTGCGTGAAATTGTAGTTTGGTTAGAGATTAATAAACTAAGTCTATTTAAACCTAAAGACTGTGCAGAGTTAAAAAAAATTAATTCTACTACTTGGGAATCAACATTTAAAAAGTACTGTACTTTGTGTTCAAGTCCTATAAAAAGTACTCAACTTCAAGAACATTTAGAATGGCTATTGGGTTTTGCAATAAGAAAAGAATATACCAAAAATAGTAAGATTATAAGTTTTAAAATTTTAAATGATATTACTAAGTAATTTTTTTATTTTTTGATCTCATTGAAACTAATTATTTTATTTTATAAAACAACTACAGAACAAGATTATGAATCAAAAACTAAAGAAGTTCTTAATAGTGTTACTGATGTACCAATGGTTGTACCATCTAACAACCCAATTGATAATTTGGATTGTATGTATGAAGAAATTGTCTGAAATCATATTATTGTTACTATGATAAAAGTGCCCAAGTGATTTTTTTACCTTAAAATACCGTTAAACTTTCAAAACTAAAAGAATGAATCTTTTTAACAGATATTATTAATAAAATCTCCTAAAAATCAAAATATTTTAGTTACCATCATATGATGGGTAGTGAAGTATTTTACAGATTTTAACACTTTATTTTGTGAATGAATATTTTGTGTTTCTTAAAAATACTAGTAAAATTTTACTATTACTATAAATTAAATTAAAATTATAATAGACATTTAACTCCTCCAAGTTTGCCTATTTGAGGGTATTTAAATAATTTTTAAACAAAAATATTTTTGTAAAAAGTCTAATAGACCTTATAACTTTTTTCATGATATCAGTACTATGATATACAAAATAATGTGTATATTAATGTATAAATTATTTTAGGTAATAGCCAAGAATTTAAAGAAGGTGTTGAAAAACTAGCTGACTTATTAAATATTTCCAAACATCCAAATCATCTTGTTACATTAGAAGCTATTCGTAATTTAGTCTGCAAAAGACTTAGTGATGATTGTATAAAAAATCCATCATCTGTTCTCCCTAAGGTATTAAACAAGTGAAAATGACAAAAATGTGTAATTCAGGATCTTCTAGTATTCTTACATAATTTTTATAACTAAAATCCATAAAAAAATTATTTTTATTTATCTTTAATTTTACTGGCGGAAAGAAATGTTTATTTTTGCAAATAAACAAAAAAATAACATTGTTTCTATGATAAATTGATAAATTTTAAGAAAATTAATACTTCACATAATTATTCATTATTTTTATACTATTTACTATAATTTATTTATTTATATTTTTTTACTAGCATGTTTTGTATAATTTGCTTTTTTTATATGTAAGTTAATATTTTAATTTTGATCAATTTATTTAAATATATTTTCAGGGAGAACCATTTCCACTAGACCTTGTAAAAAGTTTTAAAAATAAGTCCAGTAATCCAGCTGTTGAACAGGCTTTGAAGGTTTTAAGACTTGTTCAAGTTCACAAGCTACGGGATTTACAAACCTGTATAAATGAATGTATAGTTTCTATGCAGCAAATTACATCTAACCCAAAAACTGATACTAAACTTGGAAAAGTTGGTTATTAATAAACTTAAGAATAATTAAGTAGTGAATTCTTAATGTTTTTATTTAAATATTACTTTATTTAATCATAAAATATTTTAATCTCTCAATTTTTACAATATAAAGTATATAATATTATTTAAATACTTTACTGTTCAACAAAATGCTAGTTTTAAAAAATATTGATAATATATTCTCCTAATAAATGCTTATAACTCATAATAAATGGTTTTGGATTTTTTAATTATATTAAATATTGAGTATATAAACATAAAATTACAAACTCATTTCTACAATGCATATATTTATTTATTTTATGTACTTATTAAAGTCATTATAAATGTATGGTACCAAAAATATATAAATGAATAGTGATATTATATTGTTAATTAAAGATTTGAAAAAATTAAGGATGTCTATTTATTTGTTGGCACAATCTGAGCTAGAAGGGTTTAGCTCTCCTTAATTCTGTTCTCCAAAAATCATAAAAATTACATAGAAATTTCTATAGAAATATAAATTTAGATTTAAATAAATTGCTTTAAATTTAATTTAAAGTAATTTAAAAAATAATAAAATGACTACAATATACTTAAATGAATTCAGAATTATGTTACATAACCTAGTAATGTTATTTGGCACAGGTTGACGAAAGAAATCTTAATAATCAATAAAAACACTCTTTAAATACTGTATTACTAGTTAAACCTTATAAAATTTATAATTTTTATGATATTATTAATTTTAGCTTGATTTAATTAAAAAGTAAAGTTATTTTAACGATAAATTAAACTAGAAGAGTAAAAAAGTTTTTAAAAAAATCAACTTTTTAACAAGTTAATGCCCGCCTTTAGTTTTGATTGTTTTCCTCTGTAATATTCTTTATATAAGCGGTCGTATTTTAATTTAGAACTTAAAAAAATAACGGTCATTTAGTCAAGTGTTAAAATTCTTCTAATATTATAATTTTTCAATATTCCCAGTATTGATTACGTTACTGATAAGAAGAATGCTGGTTAAAATATTTAAAATATAATAAAATTGCTTTGCTATGAAACAAGTTTTTGTTTAAATGTTACAAATAAGGTTTTCTGTGTAATGACAATGTTCAACTTATCTAAACTTGCCTTTTATGCGTGTAATGAAGAACAAAAGAATATTTATAACGATTGCGAGACTCCATCTATAGATATAAAACTGTGCTGCTCTACTTTATTAGCAAATCGTACTAATAAAATTGGAATTGTTAACAAAGTGTTTTCAACAGACACTGAATGGTTGAAGAATACAATCACTTTAGAAGCAGCGAAAAATGGTCATTTAGATTGTCTAAAAGATGCTTATGAGTGTGGGTATTATTGGGACTCTAATGTTACTTTGGAAGCTGCTATAAATGGCCATTATGACTGTTTAAGATATGCACATGAAAATGGTTGTGCTTTGGACTACTGGAATGCTCTTTTATCTAATGCTGCTATTGGAGGTCATTTAGATTGTGTCAAGTATGGATATAAAAATGGTTATCGTTGGAATACATTTATTACTTATCAAATAGTACAAAATGGACAAATAGAATGTTTAAAATATGCCCATGAAAACGGTTGTCCGTGGAATATTGACACAGCAGCAGTGGCTGCTGAAAAAGGATATTTAAATTGTTTAAAGTATGCCCATGAAAATGGGTGTTCTTGGGATAAAGGCACTGCAGTAGCAGCTGCTGCATCTGGACATCTTGACTGTTTGCAGTATGCTCATGAAAATGGATGTCCATGGGATAAGTCTGTCACAATTTCAGCTGCTGCGGGTGGACATTTAGATTGTTTAAGATATGCACATGAAAATGATTGTCCATGGACAGAGAGCACTACAGAAGCGGCTGTTGCAAACTGTCATTTAGACTGCTTACAATATGCACATGAAAATGGATGTCCATTACAAAACCAGCTTATGTGGTTGAGATTGGATGTCCATAAGTTAAATGAGTTAATTAAAGATAAAAACATTGATTGCTATGTCATATAATATTATCTTTAAGACGAGATTGATCTTTAGTATTTTGTGATAATGTATTATTTCCATTATTGTAGGTCAAAGTAATTTTTTATCATACCAACCACTATTTTTAATAATTTTGATGGTAAATTCAAATAAGAATTATTTCTAACAAAGATCTTGTACTATATGTTGGTTAATTTTTAACAGCCCAATCTGTGGATAAAATCTTGAAAAATGAATAAGTAATTCTTCTATTTATTGAAATTGATAATATTTAAATTGAACTTTTAAAAACATAACTATTAGTACAATTTATTAATTTGTAAAATATATTAACTTAATAAATTTAGCATTTCAACTACTCAATTGATACCAAGACTTATTTAATTGTATAGGGTTTTATTTATTTTATTACTATATTAATAGTAATGAAACATAATATTTTATTGTTTTGAATCAAAACAAATTTTGTTAAAGAAGCCACATGAATTAATGAAATGCTTAAATTGAAAATATATTTATAAGAAAATATTTTTTAATTAAAAAATGTTATCACCTGAGCTTTTAAAAGGTTTAAAAAATATGTTGTAATCATTTAAATAATTGATTTAATTGCATAAAATATAGTTTTAAAAGAAATAAAGGCTTTATAATTATTACTATTAATATAATCAAATAAATATGCTTTTATATAGGTCAATTGTGCAAAGAAGTTAAAAACAAATTAGAGTAAAATAGCTATGAATTTATTTAACACATTTTTTCAAATTGATAACTCAAAGTCTCATTCTTCTGATTTTTTCACTAAGCTTTTGTGTTAGAAATCATTTATAATTTCAATAAAAAAAATAATTTTTTAGTTTAATTTTATTATGAATGATTAACAGTTTATATTCAATTTAGGCATGGTCAATGAATTTTCGTAATATTTTTTTTTAAATTTAAAGTTCATTTATATGCCGTTAATGTTCTACTGTTATAGTCAAAAAGTCTTAAATCAAAAAAGTTGTTTATTGATATACCTTATTATTATGAAAAAGCAATTAAAAATTCTACATAGGTAAAGTTTCTTAAAATTAATAAAACAAATATATTTTCTATAAGCCGTAAATATAATTAACTAATATATGTTTTGGCAGCATCTAGCAGTACAGTTTTTAATAAGTTTATGTTTTCATCGGTCACAGTAGTACTGGCCAATAGTCTTATGCTGGGTTTAGGCGTTTTGCGTTCCTTATAATCCAAGTAAGATGCCACAATCAATGCTACTCCTTTGGAAATGCACTACAAAATATATCATGTGTTATTTATCATTGATCAAGTAATAATTATTAATGTTAAAAATGACTAGATGATTTAATAATATTCAAAAATCTATGAAACTCACATAATTAACAATGTTTTGTAAGCATTCTTGTTGTTCAATATGCATTAAAAAATCGTCTTTTAAGTATAAATGTTTGACTGGACTGATTTCATCTGCTCTTAAGGTGAAATAACTCATCAGAGAACTATTTGCAATGGTTTTATGGATTTTAATACTACATTCACGGAGTTCCATCAGCATGTTGGGGTTTTTATCAATGCGGTCTAGAGCTTGAATAGCAGCAGCTGATAGCAGTGGTGGTGCTGAAGCTGAGAAGCAGTAACCTGAAGGGTAGAAAGTTAACTTAATACATAGACTTAGTTTAAAAAATATGTGCATAGATTATATTAAAACCAATTATAATACCAAGTCCAGAAAGTCTTTGATGGTTTATCACGAATCTAGAACCCACACAAAAGCCACCACCTGCCGCTAAAGAAGTTTCCAAGCTTCCGATGATTAAATCCACTTCGTTCTTCTAAAATACAGTTTATTATATATCTACACCTCAGTACACTATGAGTATAAAAAATTTATCGTAAAATTGCATTACTGGTATGTTGAAATGTTCGGTTACACCACGGCCTTTTGCTCCTAATATACCTATGGATATGGTTTCATCGATAAATATTCGGATTTTGTGTTTAATCCGGATATCAATTAATCTTGGCAAGTTGCAAATTTTGCCGGTGTTTATGTAGATTCCTTCAACTATCAGAAAAGCCTTTCGGGGTTTGTTTTTCTTCCCCATCTGCAAATATAAGATTTCACCTAATTTGTAGTGAGGCAAGACGTTTTTTATAGTAAGAGTTCGTAGCCTGTAAATTAGGGTAACATTTAAGTATTTTTTTCAAACTACGTTTAGATTAAAAAAAAATGCTCATAGGATAGTGTTTAAAAAATGAAAAAAAAAATGGAGATTTGAGTTAATGAAGTAAAATAATCCCCTATCCCTTTTTTAAGGATAAAACTTATTTTTTTTTGGTTATATTTTGAATACATATTTTTAATTTATTTAAACGTTGACCGACTTTTAAGATTTCTTTAACTGTATAACTTTTTTTCATTATATTTAGGTTTGGGAAGGAATGTTTTTTATATTTTCATTTGATTAAGATCTCACTAATTCATAGTGATAACTTTTCAATATAATACTTACGTTTCCCTTTTTCTCATTTTCTATTATTAAACGTTCTAAGTCATCTGGGCTATTGTGTTTGAAATATATTACTGTTGCTTTGGTTGGTTGCAACCCCTGTTGAATAGCAAAGTTGACTTCTTCGTCTCTACAAGAAAATAAATTACACCATTCATTTATTATGGATAATTCATCGAATTTTCAGGGTCACTTACACAAATACAATATCTTTAGACTTGATGTATGCCTGTATAGCACTTGTAACTGTTGAGAACCCATAAGAGTATAGTACTGCATCTTCCATGCACATGAATTTTGCAATTCTTTCTTCTAATTCTAAGTGAATATCTGCACACAAAAAAATTGATATATTTTTTATGTATAATTATATAAGAGAGGTTCTTATATTAAATTTTTTTAACGATTGTATAGAGGTTATAGTCATTAAAAATACATCTGAAATGTTTAACTAATTTTACCAAGTTAGCTTTAAATTCCAAACCCCTATTGGTCACATTTATAGTTGATTAAGTTTTATTTGAACTATTCTTAAGCATGTTATTTAGACAACTTAAATACAGCGTATACATACAAATCAACTATAAATATGGCACTTATAGTTTTTTTTTAAAATCCTTGAAGACAATGTTACAAGGGAAATTTACTAAAAATTAGATGTATACAGAATTATTCTATGTTTATAAATTATTAAATTACCCTCAATTCTTTTTTTTTTTTTTGTTATACATATTTTTCTATTATATAATATATAATTATAAATATATAATTTTTTAATAATATGTATTACTCTATATTTAATCTGTTTGATGTTTATAATGAATTATATTTAACGCATTTATATCTGTTGTTGTAAACTGTTTATGCGTACCTAGTAATGTAAAATATATATTATTGTATTATATTCGCGCATTAACGTATTATTTAAAACAATGAAATACAAATGGTATTTTTTATAAAAAAAACCCAGCACAGGGAGGTAGCGGCACAGTGGTGACGTGGCATAGTTGGATCAAGTATAATGATATCTGACAGTGATTAAAATCACTATCAAAAAAAAACGCTTCGATGCAAATCTTTAGATAGTGTTTAATTTTAAAAAATTGGTGGATTATTCCAAAAGCTTCATAAACTGCTAGTTCCTTATTAATATCCTGATTAAGATAAAGTATGTCGAATGAAAAAGGGATTATTAAAAAATAGTATTTCCCATAAAAAAATTATATTGATCAATACACTTTTCAATAAGTTATAGCATTATAAAGTTAAAAATGTAAAAAATAAAATTGAGAATTTTCACACAATAATAGCATTTGGTAGCCATTTTCACCGTGAAGACAAAATAAAGTCCGAAATTTTTTTTTTACATAATAAAGTAGATTACATTAGCTTTAATTTAATATATATATAAAAGTGTCAGACTTTCCGGAACACTTTCAAAATTTAAGTTGAAAAAGTCAATTTTTTGTGAAAAAGTTGTCATTTTGAATCCCCCCCTGTAGGCAGGTAAAAAGTCAGATTTATAAAAAAAATATACCAAATGATAGGTAAAGACATCATGCATCTACAAAAAAAAGAATTATATTGATCCATACATCTTTCGAGAAGTTATAGCATTATAAAGTTAAAAATATAAAAAAGAATTTTTTTACAAAAATCGTATTTTTTTTATTAAGTTTAATGTCTGTTTTCACCATGAAGATAAAATAAAGTCCGAAATTTTTTTTTACCATTATAAAGTATATTACATTAGCTTTAATTTAAGATATATATAAAAGTGTCAGACCTTCCGGAACATTTTCAAAAGTTAAGTTGAAAAAGTTAATTTTTTTTGAAAAAGTTGTCATTTTAAATCCCCCCTTGTGGGCAGGTTAAGAGTTAAATTTATGAAAAAAATATACCAAACGAAAGGTAATGATATTACACATCTATATAAAAAAGAATTATATTGATATGTTCATTTTTGAAAAAGTTATGGCACTTTTAAGTAAAAAAAATTGAAAAAATTTCGAAAATTAGCGATTTTTAAATTTGTAATTTTTTTGGAGGTTTCCCCCATTTACGGGGAACGAGGGCATTTTTTTCAATTTTTGAGGGTAATGTCTTCGACTAGATACAATTTGTGATCTTTTGACGTATCATTGAAAGAAATTGGTGCGGTGAGAGCTGAGAAAAAGTGGTAACAGACACAAAAAAAAAAAAATAATAAACACATCTTAGTAAAACCAATGCCTTCTCAGCTTCGCATCGAAGCTAAAAATAAATAAAATTAAAGACTTTTTTGCATGCTAGTTATCGGTATCTAAAAACGATAATCATACAATTTTTAGTGAATCTGATAAGTCGTTGTAACTATTTTTGAATATTGTTTTATTATCATATAATTTTCGGTTGTTATATTTAAGATAAGTATCTATGTTCCATCATACTTGTTTAAAAATTCTACGAATGTACTGCAGGGAAGTAAATATCATATCGACATTTTTTCATCGAAATTAAATATTATAGTTTTTATGGTAAATTATATTTAAATTTGACATATTTATGTTCCATTTCCAATACTCATTGTACAACTAAAATACAATACTTCAATACATAACCAATGTTGATTTATCGCATCGAATGGCAATGGTAAGTGATAAGAAATTCATAGCGAAAACTTGATCGCCCTTGTTTATCGAATATAGAGAATGTATTTGCACTACTTATAGATTTTATATATAATACGAAATGAAAATATCATTCAAATGTGTTGTTAAATAATGGGCATAATCGAGCTACGGCAATTTCCAATAAAATATTATATTCTCAAAATTTGAATTTACTTAAGAAAACGTACGGAACACATACATATAATATATTTTAAAATCGTAAAGGAAAAATGATATAGTGGAGGAGTTAATGAGCATATGCCTTTTTAATTACAGTTTACAACAAATACTAATTACTCAAAAACTAAATAGTTTTCTACATTTCTTAATGTTTAATGTAATTTCATGTTACAAGTTTACATGTTATTATTGGCTGCAATTATACAATTACGGATAAATAGCACCAAAAATTATAATGACATGATTGTTTGATTTGTTATCAGTTTGTATCTTTTTTTTAGTAAGTGCTTTGAACCAAAATAACTTATAAAAATACACGTGAAAAATAACTACAAAGGCTGTATGCTTTTTGGATAAAAAAATTATATTTAAAACCGTGTCATTTCTGTTTATTATCATTATTGTGCAGTTTAGACTTATTTGTTAATTGAAAATAATTGACGTTGTTGGTGTATCTCTAACAACACTACCTTTTTACCCAAGGGATATGCCAAAGACTTAAGATTATATGTACCATTAGTGTTTAATTTAATTATTACTTGTTTTGGTTGAAAAATATGCTCATGTTTTTTTACTCAATAAACTAATTAAAACAATTGAGCTCTACACGATACTGCTCAAAATGTACATCACTCAATAAGTAAATATTGATTTTTTGAAAATATCTTTAGCCGCCGTGTATTATCATACAACGCACGTCGTTTTCTGTAGCTGTAGTGGAACAAAATTGTCATAAAGGGTATTCCTTAGGTTGTAGATATTGGCAATGATGGATCAGGGGATAAGGTCATAATCCTGGCCCTGAAACCCTCCTTACGTAGTTCATTGGTCCCTTAAACCGTACATGACAAAATATAGTGAGCTTACAGTCGACCTCGGTTCCGGAAATAGTAAAACTACCCACGATTTGTATGTAAATCTCTACACGATCCAAATAACACCAGGATTAAAGGGTCTTGTGCCTTGTGGTACGCGAACAAGGAAATTACTATACAATCCGATTAATACAGGGCCATTTTAATTATTATGACCGTCGAAATATTTTATAACAGTCAGTGGTTGCAACAGAGGGACTCGTAACTATTTATCGCACGTGTTACTCATCCTTGCACGATTTTTGTTCAGTTTTTTTTACCCGAATTTACAAAAAAACCCGAACGATTGCCATTCGGTAGTCAACAATTTGTCTGGAAAAATAACGTTGTTGCGCGTGAGCTTGCTATGATAATCTCCATTTTATTATTCAAATGACGTTGGATTCGCTCAGAATGCCTTTTCTTTTAACAGATATGACTTGCATGTCAATCCCTTACCCCTAACCCTTAACACGAATGTGTTGTAAATAGTTCAGCGGTGGAAACAAAGCATATAAATCCTATACAAATAACAACTGTATGCTATCATTATTTTATAGTTAGAAAAATAGGAAAACTATTGCATAAATATTAATTATCCTAATTATCCTAATTCATTTATCAAAAATAAGATTACGTAACTACAAAATTATAAATTATATAATATAATGAATAGTATTGTGTAATTTTATGATATACATCGTTGAAATATAATATTATAATATATTTTTACAACTTTTTTAAATGCTTAAGCACAGATGGGATAGGAGTAAAACTCTTCCTTATAGTAAAAATTAATACATATTAAAAATAAATTTTCATTCTGGTTGCAATGGACAATAAAACATTTTCTCATGTATAATTCTAAATTGAAAAATTCATAAGCACGTTTATGATTTTTGGTACTCTTCAACTAATTTAGCTAACAATAATTATACAATTGTTTTTTGTTTTGTTTAGCTTTAATTATCTAAAAGGATTTTCGACAAAATATTTTTTACTTGATAAAAGTAAAAATAACATTTCATTAGTACAGTAAACGAGTATGCTTTTAGAAAAAATAACATCCTGTTATTCTAGAGATTATAAATAAAGATAAACGAGAAAAAATCGAGCCAAGGACTAAATAACTTAATTCAGGGACAAATAAAGCAAACGTAATACTCAATTTATAATTTTTCAAATTATGGAAAAAAATATCATATTATCTTTCATTTTTTAGAAAGTTAAAATAATTAGAAATTTTTACACGTATATCCTGCAGCAAAAAAAAAAAATATATATATATATACAGAGTGTTCAGTAAGTCAGAAAACGGGTTTCTATTGTTCTCATTGTTTGTAACAATGAGAACAATAGAAACCCGTTTCCTGACTTACTGAACACCCTGTATAATGTATAATATATAATATAAGATATTTCATATTAATTATTTTAATTAATTTTTTCTTGGATAAATATATTTGTCATTTTATTTTAATTAATCGCGTTAAAATCTGTCGTATAGTGAAGGGTATACGCGAATGTTCGGCGGGTATACCCAACCACAGCATCTCAGGTTTTTGTATATATTCTGTTGTTTGTAATATTTTGGTCATTGTCATAGTCACCGAAATCTGATAACAGATATTTAGGATTCTAAAATTTAGTATCTGTTATTTAATAATTATTTTTGCTATTTTATTATGACATAAAGGTTGTTATTTATTTATAATTGGAACAAATTGCTGTAACAGGTTTTCTGGGAATATTAAAATTATTATATGTAAAAAATTTGAATGTATAAATCAATAATTACGACGCAAGAATCAAGAGTTCTTTCGAGGTGGGGGCAAGATTTTTATAATCATTATTTAATGTTTTTCATTTCATGAAGCGACTTTTTTTAATAGGCGTTCATTATTTAAGGGGGGTATATAAAAATATTGTTAAGAAGTGATGGGTGTGTGGATGGAGCACCTCATGAGTGTCTATCAATATTTTTAAACGAATACTCACTAATAATTTTACGACTACATCACTAGTTGAAATATAATTTTGAAAAAAACAAACTTGTTTTTGCATAGAATTAGTGATTATTTTATCTATCTATTACTAATGTGGTTAATTTTGTTTTATGAATGAACTTTAACTATGTAAAATTTAGCAAACTTAAACCACATCAAAATGAAATACAAATATTTTATTTTAACGTTCAGGGGAAGTGGAAGTTTGCCGCCCAATGGGTAATGTCGCACAAATAGATTATTAATCTTTGAATTAACTTGGTAAAATATTGTCAAGACTAACAAATTTTATAATCTTTTAGAAGTTTATCAGATGCACTTTTTTGGATATAAGTATCAGAAAGTGATAAGGAGATAACGGTGCCCACTAAGAATTTTCTATTATTTGAAATTTATATTATTTTTTTGACGTTTTTACTAAATTTGTGAAATTATGATATGATAATTTGATTTTAATATTTTTCTGTAATTTACATGATTATATTTTTTTGACAAAAAAAGATTATTGGTAATGTTGTGTTTTGAGATAAGTACATAGGCGTAATATGAGAGGATACTAAAAATTTTAGCCGCAGAGAAATTTAACAAAATTATATGCATAGTTATATAAACATTTTTTTTTGGAGGACAGATGATAATAATTAGCTCCACCAAGACTACGGACTACGGACTACTCTTACGGACAAGATGATAAATAAAATATTATTAAATTATCAGTTTTAAATTTGTACATTTACAATCGATTTTTGACTCGAACATCTTAGATTCAAATTTATCATAATTCTTAACATCTAAGTGAAAAAATATGTGCTCTTATTGAGCACAATTAAATAAAAGCGTAAGTTGTTAGTATATGTGTTTGGTGAAGTTAAAACATTATCTATTCGAATTATTTGTGTTCAGTATAAAGTACCTTTGAAAATAAATCTCTTAGTACAAGTATAGGTGTTTTTATTGCAGTTTTTTCACACGTACCTACCACGGATATAAAGATACTAAAAACTTAAAACAATAAGAGTTGTTTTCATGTAAAAAGTTTTTGTATTCTGCAATACCATTAAAAACAAGTTTATAACTATAGAAATGTATAATAAGGAGTTGTAAACTATTTTCAATTGTCAATCTATGATAAAAATCACGAATATTTATAAATCATTTTTAGCCGATTTAAGCTAAAAAGATTTTTATAATAGCATTGGATTACTAATGAAGGGAACACATATCCCTACATCCCAACCTATAATACAAAATTGCAACTTTTATAATTCATTATGAATGAGCCATTCATAATGAATAAGCTATTCTCATACCAATCCGTTTATCAGTTATGGGTTTATCGAGTATAAACGATCTAAGGATGTTATATTGAACTGTGATAATGAAATACTTACCAATTGTACCGTAAAATGCTCTGGGGCCGCAAGAGCCTACGCCATATTTATGCACTGTGTCAATAATAACTTTTTCAATACCTTTATCGTTATTGAAATCATAATAGTTATGTGTAGCAAAATTTATACATGATTTTCCTTTGAGTACAACATTTTTGCCAACCTGTTAAATAATTCAAACGTAATTTTTTGTAAAAAAAAAATCGTATTTAACTATATTAAATCACTATCATTAAAACACATGACTACCAAGTGTGAATTTAATAATAAAATACTTTTAAGTGGAATCTACTAGATAATATTATAGAAATTTGCAGTAGCCACTCATAAATACTGTGGTTTTACATGATTACTATATCCCTTCAAATTTTAATGAAAAATTAATACCTTCTAAATCATCTACAGCAAGTATATTTTAATAAAAAATACTTAATATATTTTTTTTATAAAGTTTAAGATTTTTTTATCATATTAAAATAGAAATTTGAATAATTTAAAATCAGATGTTAAAAGTACATCTTTTTTATAATATTAAATAAAATAAAATAGCCAATATGCATACTGATACTTTTAAATTATAATTAAATCCTAATAATTAGTTAAATTTAATGTGTCTTATATTAACACAAGACTTTAATCAATTTATATAAAAAAGTTTTTTAAGTAGTTCTTCTATTTTTTATTATGTAATAACAGATAAAGATAAAATAGCTAAAAGAAATTTAATGATACCAGAATAACTTATTATGTAACTAAGTATAAATGTATGGTCGTTTTTATTTTTCAGTCTGAATTTGTAAGGTATTTTTTAAATGATGCTAAAAATAAAATGTTTTGTTTAGTTATTTCCACTTAATTGTATTAAATATTGAGGGACAGATTAGGTCTATATTTTCTGTTAAATTTAACATTGAAGGAATAAGATCAATTAAAATGAAAATAACTGAGAATTAGCATATTTTACTTTTTTTTAAGTTGTTTTTACCTTGCTTTCGACTACGTGATTCGCTAATGAAGTAGACGGTGTAAGTCGCTTACTTACTAAAGGCTGAGGATTCCATGCATTTATCTTTTTTTCTAAGTCCTTCAAATAAAAAAAAACATAATTAACTATTTTCAGAGGTTTTCAAAGCGATAGATAATGAAAACATAACACATTTGTTAATAATTAATAAGCCATAAATGAATTTAGTAAAAGTATATTTAAGTAATAATAATAGATGATAATTTCGTTTACATTTTGTGTTTTATAATGCGAGAAGAATATTAAATGTTAAATTATATCTTTAAAGTTAGCTAAGTTTAAAAAAAATTAAAAATTGTCTTTATGAGCCATTTTTGCATACCGTTTCATTTGACTCAGCTCTGTTAGATTTTCCTGGACTAGCAGCTTTCTTGATTAATATCCACAATAAAACAATCAAAATGCTACCCTCTACGTAAATGTGACTCAATAAATGCACCTATAAAATAAATAATGATAAAAATACAATAATTGCGTGCATAAAATAATATATTTTAGTTATAAAAACTTTCATAAAAGGTCGAGTTAAATCTTATAAAAGTAACTAAAAGTAATATTCTGTTAATTGTTAGTGTTTAATTCAATAGTGGTTGTCGAGTTTAAATAACTATTTTTTATTATTGTGATCGATGTGTTTATTATTGATTCATTTTTGATCAAAGACTTTGTTTATTATACGATTACCAATTTAATACACTTTGTATGTGATGATGATCTAGGTCAATTAAAACTGAACAATAGATTGTTTTGTATTTGCATACATGAATAATAATACAACTATAAATTTTTCTGCAATTTATTTTTGTACAAATAGACATTTATTATAAAACGCAGTATAGTTTGGTATAGGAGAAACTAAAACAAAATAGATTTATATACTTTGAAAGATATTCTTGAAAAATCTCATTTATATAATTTCTGAGTAATTCTGTTTGTAAAAAATGTTAGCTTTCAACCCTAAGATAAATTTGATCGCATTATTAATTTTTGTTTTAATTAATATATTAATTGTAAATAACAGCTATTAATAAACAGACTTTCAGGAAATATACAAAGAACAAATGGATACTATTTAGTATAAATACGTTTTCAAACAAATGACAAATGAAAACTCATTTTGTTTAAAAGACTACTTATAATATATTTTGACAATAATAAATTAAATGATAAATTATGTTTTAACTTGTATGAATGTAAAATAGATCTAAAGCATTTTAGGTGCAGTTTTTTCAAAAACGATACCCTATTTGAATTGATACTCAGAATGATACATGATCTTATACCGACCCGACAATTTCTTTTGAAAACAATCTGCAATTAAGAACGAAACCAGCTCTTTACATAAAGCAAGCAGGGGTGTATTTTTGCGATAACATAAACGCATTTATAGAAGGAATCAAATTACTGGGAACTTTGTCTAAGTAGACGTATCGTGGTTGTGTGGAGCTTTTGACGTTTGTTTTTACAGAAATACAATATACTAGCTGTATAACGACAAAGAAAACAAAACTTGAAATCTTTTGAACAACCACCTCCAACTTATATGTGTATTCAACGACGCCCTTTAAAATAAACTTTCTTAACGATTCTTGGGCGCATTAAATAAACACTGGTCGTGCAAATACATCGGTGTAAGTATACGAAAATAGCTCTGTGTACACTCGACAGTCGCCCGTGTATTCGCATGACTGGGTTTCATAACTCATTGTAGCGTTTCTAAATCATGTGCTCATGTCCTCCGTATTAAGCTTCAAAAGAAAAAAAAAAAGCTTTTGATTGTGTATGTTTATACCCCGTTCTGTTGATATTGGCCACAAAAATTCGTGACACGAGAGACTATTCCTCGAACAAGTCATTAATACAATTCTTCTTTTAACTTTTAACCTCACGAAACCAAAAAAAAAGAAAGCGTAAATAATATCAAGAGTGAATTATTTTTCCATAAGTTTTAGTGTAACATAACATGTAAAATGTGCAAGAAAACACGTTGTTTATCGACTTTTATTATTGAATGTAACAATTATATTTTGACATCAGTTGTCAACTTATTTCCCTGTGGCGTTATTTGTTTTCAGTAGCTGCTATTGTTAGTTGACTAACCCTCCTGCTGCAAATATCTAAACCTAATTAATACTTGGAAGTGGTGGTGACAGGAGGGGCTAATAGAATTGCCTGAAGCACAGGACCTTTTTCTAATGATCAATCATCTGAACTAATCCCCACGTCCGTCTAGTTATGAGTATAAGCATTATTATTTTTACTATCAGCCTCGTTATTGGCTATTGGAATAACGACAAAGAAAATAGGGATAACACAGAAAACTTAATTCTCATTTCTGCCCTTCTGCCCTTCTGGATGCATTATTCAGTGAACTGCAACCGTACAATTAGTTCACTTCAAAGTTCAAACGCATGCTTATAAACCATAATGAGCATAGGTAAGTAATCCGAGAATAACAACTTATTACTCGTTCGTGGAAATATCCATTAGCTTTAAAGGACGTAAAATATCAGAGTGAACAACTGTGCGATCGTTTTATGTTAAACGACAGAAAATTCCATTAAATATAAAATAAAAAAAACTATTTCCTCGGAGGTTATCTTGTTTACTTTTTTTTATAATTTTGTACAATTTTAGTTTATCACATACATTAGCGATTTTGTGGAATTTTTACATAAATTGTTTACTTTTTCACCATGTTTTTAAATGACAAAGTTTATTTTTAATTTATACGAAACGAATTTATATTACTTTTATAAACTGTAATACAAAAGCCCTAGGACAGCATTTTTTATTCAACACACGAATGAAACAATGTATTATCTGAGTAAAAAAGGGTCGGACAAATTTTCCCATTTCTCTTTTATGTGAAGTAAGCATTGAATACGTCAAATGAAATCCAATTTTTCCTTCATACTACAGATAACAAGACTCACTCAATGTCACGAATATTTTTGGCAGTGAGCAACATTTTTGTAGATTTTTGAAAAATTTCATAGAAAATTACAACTACAGAGTGGAAATTTATGATCCTAACCCTCATTCAGTGTAATATTACTGTATATGATATAAATTCCAGCAAGCTCAAAATAAAGCATCATGTGATAAAATAGGCAATAATAACAATAAGGTGTCTATTTTACAAAATCAGACAGTCGCACAAACTAAATGCTATGCTGCAACTAATAAAATCCATTTGGTAGAAACTCATGCAGCAATTTAACTCAAATCTCGTCCAAACTTTTCGAACAAGTTAACAAGTAAACAAAGCCGCAGAAACTTTATTTAGCTATAGGTTAGTGCAAGATCTCTACAAAGGACACTATCTAAAATTATTCAGTGAAGATCACTAAACAGGTATCGGTTACTAAAATAATATTAACAAGCATGGTTAATTGTAAAATAAGTTACTAGAAAATTTATTAGAACGTAGAAAACATAAAGCATCTAAAACCTCACCCTTTCCATGATTTTTAGCTGTCCTAGTTTAAAGAAAAATTATATTGTTCCCAGTATTGAGATTTTGTTTAAATTTAAGCGTTGATTTAGTTAAAAATAGTGAAAAACTTAAATTACAATATATGGTCATAAAGATTAATAACACATTTTGTTGTTTACCATAAAAGTTAGGGCTATTCCATTAAAAAATTAATTTAACTTTTAATGGCGAATTAATTAAATAGTACGTCGATTTAAAAAGTTTTAATTTGACTATCTTCTTCGAAAAACTTATTACAAAAACAGCTTAAAGTTTTAAAATTATCTGAAGGTTGCTCACTTGAGGTATTTCCAATTTAGTAATGCAAAACTTTTAGAAAAATAAAAAAACAATTAAAAATCATTGAAATATGACTTTAACTTATAACAAAATAAGTAATTTTAATAAAAATATTTTTTTTCAGTAAGTTAAAAGTTATTAATTAATAGCGCAATAAATAGTGTAATTGTTTAACTATTTTAAAAACTATCTTATCTAACTAAAAACTAACTTATCACAATTGAATATTATTTGGTTATCGTTAATTTTGTTCAAATTACGAATTTACAAAGACTCGATATAAATTCTTAATTGTTTTCCCAAAAAAATATAATAAGAAAAATTGTATAATCTTATGATCTGTTAAAAGGTGTATTAGTTAAACTGAAGATTAAAAATTTAGAACTAGAATTAGAAGCTTATAATGTATCGAAGATATTTAGGTACTTTAATCTATCAATAATAAATATAAATTAAAATATTATTAGTTTTTACGAATATTTTATTTATTGCTTCATACAAAAATAAATCTCATGAAAGATAATTTTTATTTATGTAAAATTTTATATAAATAACACGTTTTTATGTTGAAATGTTAATTTCTAACGTTTACCTTTGTTGACAAAATAATAACATTATTATTAAGCTGTGCTTTTAAAGATATTTAAAGTATTTCATATTGTCAATCGCATAGCTTTCTTATACTACTCATTACTTACATACTATTTTAAAGCAAGTTATGTTTAAAGAATGTTTTCACAAAATGCAATCCATGAATTTCTTAGTTATTACTGAAATAATAATCAAAATCATTTTATTGACAAAAAACATTGACATTTTTTATCAAAATTCTTATGAAAATCAAAAATTACTCTCGAAAGAGGAAATGGTATAAATTTTTTTGTGGAGGTACTAAAATATTGAACACTAATTTACTACAAAATAGTATACTCTTATTTACTAGTAAAAACTATGAGTCACAAAATAATCATATTACAAATTAGAAAATATTGATATTATAACAACTGTAGTTGTAAATTATAGATATAAAATATTACATAGTATCTATTTGTGACTACTCTATTCTTGATTTACTATTTTTATAATTTGAAAATGTATAAGTGATACAGAGCACATTAAATAATTTAATCTATTATAAAACGATAGAATATTTATAATAGAACAATTAAAATATTTTAATTTTAACTCCTTTTTATATAAATTTAGAATTTAATGAGATCTTTGAATATTTTTATAATTAAGATCGCTATTCTGGGTTGGAAATCTATTTTTATAGTAATAGTTTAAATATAAACTATGAAATTAGCTAAATTTTAAAAAATATATTTAGAACCAAAAATAATAAATAATTTCAATATTAAACATTGAAAGTTGTTAAAAGTTTTTGTTTATACTAGGGAAATTTACAGAAAGGCAATATTTGTTTGATTTAATTAAATGTGCCTGCACATCAGTGAAAAATAGATAACATAAATTACAATGGGCCACGTACGTTGAAAATATTTTTCTTTTCCACCTTTTAAAATTATTTTAATTTAGAGCGTTTATGCAAGATCGCGATACTACTCTAACCATCCAGTTTGATAATGCTTATTTATTTATATTAATATAGCATGTACATTCTGAGAAGGATTAAATTTTCTAAAAAAAAAAAAAACAATATTTTTGTATATATACAGAATGTAACACATTTAACTGACAACTCTTATAACGTTTGATTTAATAATTATTTTAAAATAATTATTAATTTGAAAGTGACTGATTCTTTCTTTGTCGGCCAATTCAGGACATAAACAATAAAATTAAGTAAAAATGAATATATTTGTTATTAGAGAATATATATATCATAAATAACAAAAAAATTATATGAGTGGTTATTATTGGTTAATAGTTTATTAAAATGTTTTTAAAACTGCTTAAAGTATATTATAGTAATGTAATAATAAAATAGTAAACTTTAAACTTAAAATACCTTTTTATGAAGTAATTATTTCTAAGATCACCTCATAGATATATAAAATTTAATACTTAAATTGATACCTAAAATAACCTTAAAAAATAATAACTAATTTTTTTTTACTAGTACATATTAGAACCAGTTCTTAACCGGAGTAGACTCAATACTTCTTAATCTTTAAATTTTAGGTATATCTTTAAAATCGGTTCTTAAAAATTTAAAAATTCCAATCCCTAATAATTATTACGCATACTCCATTTGCGTTATCCTACTCCATCCTACTCTATGTGTTAAAGTGCTCGTTACTTAAAATATTACATAAAAATATTTATGATAAAATTGTGATCGAATCATTATACATTTTTATAAGATATGTGTGTAAAAACTGACCTTTTTTAAATTTTGAAAAAATTTTAGACTTTTTTTATTTTAAATACAAATAATAAAAAAAATGCTTTTAACATAGTCTGAAAATGCGAAAGTCGTTAAATAAAAAACAAAATTAAAATGAAATTTTTATTGTATTATTAGTTATAGGAGTTGCTAGCTAGATGTGTTCCATTTTATATATAAATATATTTTTTTATTATATTATACACCTATTATAACAAGGTTAAGTTCTTAAAAATACCTTTTGACAATTTGATAATCAGAGAATGTTAGAAATCATGTTTTATTATCAATGATTTTGTTATATTTGCATCAAAACTATTAATTTTTTTCGATTTATAACATCAAGAATTTTTGAAATTAGTCTTATGTTCCTAATCAGTAGGTACATATTTTGCATAAAATTCAATAAATTCAATACATTTAGCTGTAAAAAATTATATTATATTTTTTATCTTCAAATAACTTAAAATAATCTAAAAACTTGTCTTGTTTAAAAAAATCAACCCCATTTTGCTAGCACAGTCAAAATAAAATTAATACTGTTAGCTTACTAGAATCTTCAACTACCACGGTCGGACATAATAACATAGTCACGTTATTCCTTACAGTTATTATATAGGGTAATATGTACAGTTATTGGCAGGGGTATAACTATTAGCATAATTAAAACTATTTTACTAATAAACAAAAGTGTGTTGATTTTTAAAAATTAATTTTTTTTTAATAATTAAGCAGATTATTCACTATATATATTTTCCAAAAACTGAAATTTTTATTTAACAGCGAAAGATACTAAATCAATATTAAAAAGGGTGCCAGTTAAAAAAAAAAAATAACTGTCTAAACTAAATAACATTAGTTCTTATGGAAAAATAATGGTGTCAATAGCTGTATATTTAAAAAAAAACCAATAATTTAAAGAGTAGTATCAAACCTATACAAATTAAGATAGCAAAATTCGAAAGATAACCACATTTTTAGTTACGATGCAAAGCTGAGAAGGTATTAAATTCACCATGATGTATTTTTTTTTTGTTTCTCTTGCCACTTTTTCTTAACTTTAACTAGACCGATTTTTTTCAACAATACATCAAAAGATCACAAATCGTATCTAGTTGAAGTAATTACCATTAAAAATTGCAAAATTTCCCTGGTTTCCCGTAAATGGGGGAAATTTCCAAAAAAATTACAAATTTAAAAATTGCTAATTTTCGAAATTTTATTACTTAAAACTGCCATAACTTTTTAAAAAATGATGAAATCAATATAATTTTTTTTACACTTAATCTGCTCACAGGGATGGATTTAAAATATCAACTTTTTTACAAAAATTAACTTTTGAAAATGTTCCGGAAATACTAAATCCTTAAACGTATATCAAATTAAAGCTTTTATCATGTACTATAAAACAAAAAAAAAAAATGTGTCCCCATAATTTTTCTTCTACGTGTAAATAGAGATGTCGTATATACTTCTTTTATATGACATACTTTTTATTTAAATTGGACAATTTCCCCTTTTACAGGGGGTGTTCAAAATTTGAATCATACACATATAATTATCACATATAATCTCCTGTCCACAAGGGGATTCGAAAAAGCAATTTTTGCACACAAGTTAAGCTTTTTTAAATATAATTTTTGAAAATGTTCCAAAAATATAGACACTTTTATTTAATCTTAAATTAAAGCTTATATTATATACTTTACTATGAAAAAAAAAAAAATTCGAAATATACATTTTCTTCATGGTGAAAATGGCTAATAGCAAAAATAGCATATTTTCGTGTTAAAATTCTGGGATTTGTATTTTATTTTATTTTAAAATATCTTACAAGAGGAATACACAGACTTTCATGAATATTATACAATTTAATTGACATAGAATAAAGTTCATAAGACATAAGAAGTTAACCTTATTTAAATTTTTTTGCTTTTTAAAGTCGAAAAAGTAACTTTAAAATTTGAATTAGCTTAAAATGCCATTTTATTAATGGACGAAAGCCATGAACAGTTGCCAAATTGGTAACACTTGTGTCTTTCGCGCTAATAACCGAGGTCCGATTTCGTCAGTGTCAATTGATATTTTGCATTTTTTTTGAGTTAGAAAAAAATTTTCGAATCATTTAATTTTTATCTCATTTAGATTCGATAACTTCAATAAATATGAAGGATGCATCACTCTAGTCTCCCCTCATGATAAAAAATTTCTTATTCATGTTAATATTATTTTACTATGCATTTTTTTTATGACTGTGATTTATTTTTCCAACTTTCCCTTAACCTAATTTTTTCAACGATACATCAAATGATTAAAATTCGTATTTAGTTGAAGATATTACCCTCAAAAATTGAAATAAAATCCCTTAAACAAATAAAAATTAGCTTAAACAGCTTTAGCCATACAAACAATCAAAATAATTTATTTATAATATTTTTAAAATATTTATTGTCGATTAAATTTGATATGATAATAGTATTCAACTACAAAAGTAAATAATTTTACTTTGTAATATATTAATTTTTTAACTCTATTTGTATGTGTTACTACCAGTCTAAAATATTCCAAATTTTTTTGTAACATGTTGCTATATAAATCAAAAATCTAAAAAAAAAATAATTTAGTTTCACCTGAATTTAACAATGGATTTTTACAATTATAATCAAATTTTATAATACGCTCAATTGAGTAGATCGTTTTAACAACATTTTTTTTATTGGTTTTTTAATTAAACTAAATCATTAAAATTATTTAAGTTCTGAATATTTCAATTGTAGAATTTTTTTAAATACCAAAAGTTGATTATATATAATTACTATGATTTATATTTAAGTAATCTATTATGATAAAAATGCAAAAAAATATAAAAATAGAGCTTTCCTGATAAATTTACTGTAAATAGTAATTATAAAATTTTCTGACTACATATTAATTTTGACAATACCATATTTTTCTATTTAGTGATGTCAATTTCAAACTTGCAAGTTGAGCTAAAAGTTATGGTAATAAATTCATTTTTTTTTTTTTGTTATAAACTTTTACTTTAAAGGGCAATAATAAGTAAGTAAAAAATGATTACTTTTAACATATTAAAAATCAAAATCAATAATAATTTCAATACAATTAATTATAAAAATTATATAATCTATAATTAAAAAAATATATATATATATTATATTTTTGATTCTAAGAATTACTAATCTGGATATAATTAAGACAATAGAAGTTGATGTAATTATTCACCAATTTCTTAGAATTAAACACTATCTACAGATTTGCATCGAAGCGTTTTTTATGATAGTGATTTTAATATTGTCAGATTAAATCTATACTGGACCCAACTATGGAACGTCCCCACTGTGCCGCGACTCCCCTGAGCTGAGTTTTTTATTCATAGGTATTAATGAAACATTTGCAACAATAGTAACAGATTAAATAATACACTGATTAAAACCTGTACTTTTCTTAAGGTGCCAATAACTGCACCCATTTACCCTACGTATATTTAGATTTTTGAATATTACAATAGTCACGGTTAGGGTGGGTCGTATAATGGTAGTAAACGACCTCGATAGAGGTCGGTAAAACTCGCTTCCAGGCAACGCGAATAACTTGTCAGTACTGACAGATAACGTTACTTGATAATTGTGTTATTATGACAGCAATAATTGTATGGCAAAAAACTCACTTGGCTCAGAATGTTGTTAATTGACATTTCGGCGATGGTGCGGTACGGACATACGCATTTTACGGCAAACGGCCGTACAAAGAAACAGTATGGCCTGGTTCGTTGACGGTCAGCAATACCGGACTCTTTATAAATTACACACTTCAATGTGCGTTTGTATAGGGTCGACTGACCGGCGGGGAAGCAACGGAAGTGATCAAGTGTCAAGGACTTTTGAAAATATGCAAATTCACTCCCGTTGTCACTTTTATACGTCTTTGTACACCTGAACACTTTGTTGTCACGATTATTAAATTCGGGTGCAACTAAATTAACACGGAAAAACAAAAGCGGCACAAGACGACGGCAAATGTGATTTTATTTCACATACAGAGCAAAGATGGACGACCGGCTAAACAGGGCTTAGCGCTGGTGCAAACCATGTGTCGCTACGGCGGCAGCAATAACCGATCTCTTCCCTTCGAAACGCGACCGTTTTTATTCAACTTCCTCCCTCCAGCTGATCTACTGCTTACAATAGGTACTCAGTTATACACAGCGATCAATTCTCCGCCGATTCTATGCACAACATGACATGTTGGGATTCAACGTCAGTATGGACCGACCATGTTGATTTTTTTCCATTCATTGTCCTATTCAACATAAAAATCATATACGGTAGAGTACCTGACCTAATGATACGTGCAATACTCAAGGTTGCTTATACATGAAAAAAAAAAGAATTCGTTGTATACGTCGACTGTTTACAAGGATAACAATTTTTACCAAACAAAACAATACTATAAAAAATGTTTGTTTGAATTATAGAAAAAGTATTTAAAGAAATATATTTATTAACTATGAAAATTTAGAATGTATGGCAAAGGAAATATTTGATAGGTAATCGAGGCGATCACTCTGTAATTTTAGAGCCAAAGGCCAGTGACCCTATGGTAGTATAGTCATGTATAACAAAATACGGTAGTCTTAAGTATGTATTCTTTACCGATTATATCAATTAATAGGCACATCCATAATTCATACAGAACTTGAATTATATTCCCACGCGAATTGTGATAACGTGTTTGAACATTTAATAAGCTCATTGAAGGACTACAAATGCAATAATACTTACTTTTCAATTAATGAACAACAGAATAATATTTTTGGGTGTAAAGAAAAGTACAAAAAATTATAAAAAAAAGGTTAATTTGTCTATGATAGAAAAAATATAGATATATTTATTAAGGTTAGTTAAATACAAATATTATAATTTTGATTTTTTTTTTTTTTTTGCACCCAAGTTAAGTTATTCATATTTCGTGTTACAAAATATGACACATTAAATCTTTCCTATCGTGCCCGCATTAAGTATTCATTAAAAAATATGTGCTTATAAATATATAAATTAAATGTATGTACGCATATACGATTAGCGACAATTACACAACCTCACAAATTACTTTTTTACCACATTTAACATTGGAATTGGTCGGGATAATAATTATACATGATCCCTTTTTTTTAGTCAAATATATTAAGCAAGGTATTGTTCACGCTTTTAAACACGTTTTCTTTCAGAACCCTATTGACCCTTTTGGTTACTTCTAGTTGTTGGTCACGATAAAATAATTATTTGCATTAAATGCAATTTGAGCGTAAGAACATGATTTATGAAAAAAATATATGTTTCCAATAGATTTTTCTCTTTATTCAGTAGTTCTTGGTTGTTAAAATTAATGCAGTCGGGTTTAAATGTTCATCCCTCCCATAAATAATATTTACCAACACCCTGTCTCAAGAGATATATTCAGTAGATATTCGATCATGATCTACTCTTATTAAAAGGAAATACTTAGAAATTAAGTAATAAAATATTTACTATAGTAGTTTACTCGGACTATCAATTTTAACATATTGCAAAAAAATAATTTTTTATGAACTAATTTTATATGATTTTTTTTAATTTTCTCTTGAGTAATAAAATATTTTTTACTTTATAAGTTAACATATTAACACGAGATGTTAGTTCATAATTTGAACTTAATATATTCTTAATAAATCATACAGTATATATTATATATACAGTGTGATTTATAAAGAATAATAAACCCAAATTTGTTGTTAAGTTATGATTTTTTAAAGTAATTGTGCAAACATTTTTTACAGTAGAAAAAAAATTGTTTAATTCTTTAAATTTTGCATTAAAAGTAAAAGTATGGTGATTTTCACTCAAACATAACTATATATTTTAATAATAAATGTGATTTTAATGTGAAACTTTTACTGCTCACTTTAACCGTAATTATACGAATGAAGTTTTCTCGAGAAGTGTTTAGTAATTGTATAACAATTTGCACTACAGTAATAATTTTGTACATTTAGAATTTTCAATCACAGTTTCTTACCTGAGTTTCGTTATAAATTATAATATATTCATTCAACTTGTTGAAACATTGCACAACAAAGTATATCGTTCTAGTTCTTCGAAATATTATTAATGTGTGAAGTTAAAAGTTTTTGTTTTTAAACAATGCGTAAAAGTTAATTAGATTCTATTAAATATAAATAATGAAGCATATTTCATTGAATGACTTCTTTGATTTCGAGTGAGAAATTAAATCTCTCTTAAAATTAAAAATTTAAAATTTAAACTAGTAAATTTAAGCTAATAAGATCAGTAAATAGAATTTGTGTAGCTATCAAATTTATAATTGTCGGCATGTACGAAAAAATAATTATTAATTATTTTCACGCATAAAAATATAATTATAATCGATAAAAAATAAGTTACAGTATAATTTTACCTGTATTGGGAAGCTGAAAAGATATAATTTTGTGATAGAATGCATTAATTTTAATGATCAATACGTCAAGAGAACCCAATTTAAATTTAGTTGAACTTACGTAGTCGATAATTGGAAAAAAACCTTTAATTATAGAAATACAGAAAAATATCTGAAAAGTACGCTACCGTACTTTTTGTATTTTTAAACATTATTGTCTGCATTTTAAAGCTGCTCTAATTTTTCTTTTAGCACAGATCTTTATGAAATTTTATTACATTATATAAGACAAAATTATCTTCCAAATATAAATTTGTAAAAAAACAGGAAGGGTTTGTAAAGATCATCCACGCATTTAAAAATATTTTTTTAACTCAATTTTTGAAAAAATTGAAACAACTGCGTTCGGAAGTTTTTATAAAATTAAAGCCTTTATAAAAGTATTTTATACTTTCAAAAAAGAGAAGCGTTTCCGTGTAATTTTTTCTATTAGTTATTTGTCTAAAAAGCCAAAAATTACAACATTTTTGTAAAAATTCGTAATACTTTTTTAATTTTATTTCATTCTTAAAAAAAAACACTGTTTCTAAAGGAATTTGAATAAACTATATTCTTTTAGTACATTTTTTGTGAAAAATAAATGAAAAACTTAAGGGTTTGAAAAACACTACCTACAAATGTAAAAAAAATTACTCAAAAAACACCATGGTATTTCCAATTAAGCAAATAATTTGACTACCATTTAATATTTGAATGAAATTAAAAAACACATAGGGATTTTAAAATTATACATAATAAATAATTGTAAAATTTAGTAGATTTGCGTCAAATAATAATTTATACTAACTGACCAATAGTTTTAGTTGTATACAATAAGTAATATAAAAATATACAATTTTATGAGTTTTTAATATTTCTAAATGGAAAAAGTTATTTAAAATCTAGAAAATTCACTAAAAAAATGAGTTTCTATTTTTATTATTTTATGATCCAATGGAAATTTATAGAAGATTTCTTTTTTAATGATAGGAAATTTTTAATTAGCTACTTATATTGTTAAATAAAAATAGGGTAATTCTGTTATCGTGAACTACATAATTAATCAAAAATAATATTGTGAATATTAATTTTGTTTTTTTGTAACTGTATGTTTATTTAAAATTGTTTATCATTAAATATTTTAATGTTCATCACTTATGTCTTAAAAAGGTAGTAGTTTAATTTTTCAAATAGAAACATAAATAATAATGCATAATATATCATTTTATTTATTAGATAATTATCTATTTAAGAAAATATCTAATTAATAACAACTTTTGGATTTGTATTTCGAAAATTATTACAATTTTTATACCAAAGTAGGAGGAAAAGTGAAATGGAGAAACGTCTAATAATAAAAAACAACATCACCACCACCTCTTTTACTGATCGAGATTAATAAACTTAGAAATGCCTGTAAATAAAATAATATTAAATTAAAATTAATTTGTGGTCACGATAACAAAATTATCCTGAATATCGTAGTACTTTATTTCGAATTAGATGTTGAATCCTTGTATAGACTTTAATACTTAAAGCTAGCTTAAAACCAAATATTTTAACTTGTCAGTTGGTAGTGAAGTTCAAAGCATCCAAAGGCGCTATTTATGCCTTAAGCGAACGTTTTTGTCATTGTTACTACAAAAAAAAGTCAATCAAAGTTTCGTTTGACAGTTTAATTTTCTTTACTGGTCATATATTTTATAATTCCTCAGAATTTTCTTTGCCAATACTTTTTTTGAAGTTCAAATGATATGCATTTTTGTAAACTTCTACAAAATTTAATAATAATCCATAATAAAGTATTATGACGTCCAATTAATATTACTATACTAACACCAAATATAAAACTAATAGCGTAACCAGAATTTTATTATCGTGGAAGAATCAGAAAATTCTCTAACAAAACCATTACATTAATTATGTAACCATATACAAATTTTTTTTTGAAATTTATTCGTCCACCATATTATTAAATAAAAACAGGAATCCCTTTCCATTATAGGAAATTATAATTAAAATTTTTTAACCTTAAAGCGAAAAAAAAATAAATATTATTTACGACATATTACAGAAGATTTATTTAAATCAAACAGTATTTTTCTTTAAAAAATTTAAAATTTTCAGTCTTATTAATAAATGATCACTGTTTATAATAAATAATAATAGATACTATTTATTTCAACTATGAGGCAATAAAAAAAATGATCATTTAAGCAACATAAATATTTTTATGGTAAAAATTGAAATTTTTCTGTGAATGAAATTGCATTAAAAATTTAGAGAAAATGATTGTTTATTTTTAATCGATCACTTTGTATAGCAGTGAGGATATTAAGGTTTTATTCGAGGGTTATATATGTAAATGAGAAAATTTTTTATTCTATACTCTCTGTGTAAAATTTTATTTTTTTGGTATTTATTCCCTTATTATTTCTTAATTATACTCCTGATGTATGGTGTGTCATAATAATTTTTTAATTTATGCAAGATAAACATATTAATAATATTATATAAAAAACAAGTATGTTTCTATGACATAAAACACTTACGTAATTTCAAAAGTATATTAATAGATATTTTTAAGAGACTTTTGTTGTATAACATATTATATCCTAGTACATCTTATATTATTTTCTCTGATTCCCAATCTTATCTTATAGCTATAACTTCAAGCCTTTTCTCAGCCAATTCTTTCTTATTATTATTATAACAGAACTCTTACTTTGTTACCAATTCACTCAGAAAATCAGTTCTCTTTCAATTGATTCCTAATCATGTAGAAATTTCAAATAACGAAATAACTTACTCCATTACCACCTCTTCTTCTAATTGTTACTACCATCAATTAATTATATTAAACAAATTTTAAACTTTTTCTGTTTTTTCCATAACTCTTTCTGAGTGCTTGGCGATATAAATGTTCTTCATTACCTTCAAACTTTGTCAAGTGATATAGAAAAAATTGTCTCATTATACCCTTTTATACTTGATTTTATAGCTCAATGTTGTCGTTTTAGATATCGCCACAGTTCATTACTAGCTCATTCTAATTATTTATCTCTTAATTCTTCTCCTTTTAGTACTTCTCAGGATGAGGAACATTTAAGAAACTTTTTTCATTATCACTTAAACTGGACTTTACTCTCTAAAGATAGTGTTAATCAATTCTTTAGTGTTTCAAAATGTATACACTGTCTTTGCTTATATCATTTTTTAGTCTCAATCCAACATAGTTATTTATTTTATTGTTTTCCTTCTACAAAACGCAAATATTATTTAAATTAATTTATTTAGTATTCAGTATTTATAATAGTTAAGGTGTAATATTTTGAAATTGGATAAAGAACTTTAATAGATCAAAATTCTTAATCGTTTTTTTACTGGTGAATTCTTCTTATGTACACGTATATTTTGACATAAAGCATCGAAAATTTGTACATAAAACATTTTTCAAATTTTCCTTTACATTGATTCATAAAAACTTCCTTTACATTTATATGAATTTTCGAACGTTTTTATTTTTAAATTAACCGTTAGAAAAGAAAAGGATCATAATTTTAATATTTTCTTAGAATGTATTTTGTAACATTCATTATTTAAATTGCAGGTCATCACTTTAGAAGCATAAAATAATTCTTTCAACTTAGTTAAAATTTATGTTTTTAAACTTGGCAAATAACGCTAGTTAATATTAAATGAGTAAAATTACACACGCAATTATTAGATAAATAAATGTTAGCATTTTAACTAAAAAATATTCAATTTTATACAAATTTTAAGGGTGCTTAATATTTTTTTGATTTTTTCCGATTTTGTTAAATTAACACTGTTAACTTTAAATATATTAAGTCTGTCGACTATTTGAAATTATTTTACATATGAAATATTTTCATATGGTCCATTATTATAAATTATATTTAAAGAAAAGAGTCAGTTAAATAGAAAGTTATTAATTTTCCGTTATAAATATTTCATGCCATATTTATTTTTAATGTCAAGTATAAATTTTACATTTTAAAAATTTGATTAAAATATCTTAATTGGAGTATATTTTATAATAAATTTTTTGAAAACAGTTAATTATAATATTAAATATTTGTATTCACGGCTACTCTATTACTATTTAGATATTTTTTGAAAATTAGTAGTTTCATCTATTTTCATTTTCGGTTAAAATTTAGTAAATTTTAATTAAGATAACAAAATATATATTAAATATTGACCGTGTTGATTTTTTCTTTTACTTATAAGGTCATACCATTTTACACATGTCCATTAGTCTTTCTTTGGAGAGGGAAATTTTGTGAAATATTTTATCACTTTTTACTAGTTTCATCAATTAATTACCTGTATGTATTCGTTACTCTGCATATATTTTTTAAAGATGTATAAGAAATTTATAATAATTTATTTATAATTTCTATATGCATTATAATAAATTCTAAATTGAAAATTTTTATTCTTTAAAATTTGGCATTTCACTCATAACGTTTATACAGTGCTTACTTTTTTCTATCTTTCGTAAGCATTTGTAAAATACCTTCAGTAATGGTTCTTGTTGGTCGTCCTGGAATTTGATCAAGTCGCAAGTAAGGTATATTGTGTGGGTTATAGTTAACATACTGCAGCTCCATATGAATCCATGGAATTTTATCTCCAACAAATTTTGAAAGTATTCTAGCATCAGTTGATAGTGGATCAACATTCGATGCATTTTTCCAATGTCCACAGTCACCTTTTATGTAATTATCGTATTGAGCATCAAGGGGATATCTATGAAGGAGGTCACCAGTGTGTCTAGCCGCATTTTTAAATGTTTCCCAAAGTGATTCGTTGTTGCAAAAAGTAGCTGAAGCTATTGAACGTAGATCAGAATAGCCTAAACCAGGACTATTCATAAGACTTACAATTGCAATTGGTTTTCTATCTCGAGAGTAAGTCAAGGCATCCATCATTGCAAGTACGTTAAAGCGACGAGGATCAGACACTTGAACAATAGTTTCGTCCATTCCTTCAACTATTTCTTTTTCGCAAGGGCCATTTGAAATCTCACACAATGGAATTAACCCACGGATATTAATAGGTTTTTTTTGTTCAGCTATCATCTTCATAGTGGCTAATACTGTTGCTGCTCCGATTATATGAGTTTGTGCTTTGTTAGATTTACATACTGGGGAAGTGTTTACACTTGTTACACCTTGACCAATTAAAATAACTGGTGCTGGTTCTTCAGAACATTTACATCCAGTATATTCTATCTCTAGGAAAATCGGTCTTCTGCATGAGCCTTTACTTAAAGCTACTAATCCGTTCATATTTTTTTCTATGATAATTTTTTCTTGTAGAATGTTCATACTTAACCCTGGAATATCTGCAATAGTTTTAACGGCTTGTTGTGTAAATACTTCAGGAGTCATCATATTAGTAGGTATAGATGCTAAATCTCTAGTAAAGTTTTGAGTTTCAGCGCAATCTCTACCCCATAACCACTGGTCTCGTCTAAAATTTTATACGTATAATTATTATTAAATTAAAGTACTTCAACTATTGACTAGATTTTAAATTGAAGTAGTATTACCTTTGCTTTATTAAATTAATAAAATTCAACTCACTCAAGAGGCTCACACTTAATATTCAAACAACAATCTTCATAAGAATTGATTATTACTTCTGGGATTTTTCTATCGCACTCATGTTTAAATTTTTGATAACAATAACTTGCTAAATGTGCCCCTTCACTGGTTGCTGAAAAATCATTCATTTTTTCCACATACACTTCTATATGGCCTTCATCTTGAGCAACTTTAGTTCCAACACCAGCAGCTATTCTCGAGTTTTCCTTAAGTTTGCAAAATTTATTTTTCGAATCATAACCGGCATCTTCTTTTCCTAAACCTGATAAAATAACTTTTCCCGCAGTGGGATGAAGGTCTTTGAAGGATGTGGTCTGTCGTATATCGGGTAATCTACCATCTCGATTTAATTGAGTAATTAATTTATTACAACATAATGCATCAAAGTGTTTAGTATTTTGAGTAAATTTTATATTTTGAAACTGTGAATTCAAATGTTGATCATGATAATTTCCTAATACGATGGCTGTCTGCCTCGTATTAACACCTAAACAATTAAATTGTACTTCAGGAGTTTCAAACTTTTTCGAATGACTCGCTACAGGTTCTGCAATTTTGCTTGAAAATCTTAAAATTAGATCTAGAAAAAAATAAAAGCTCTATTATTAATTTTTTAAAATGAATTAACAAAATATATATTTTTAATTTTATCATTAGATTAAATAAATAATATATTAATTGTAATTTATCAGTCAAATTCAATTTTTTATATTTTTACTTTTATTACTTTATAGAGATATAAGTCTCTATAAAGATATTGCAAGTATATTAAGTATAAAAGTTAACAACAAAAAATAAATATTAATAATAGACATTACACTTAATAAAGTATTCACTATTTTCAATTATAATTCTTAAATTATAGTTGCTTTTTTTACCTCTTTTTGCTCATAAAGTTCATTCAAGGTACTTTTTCATAAAAAAAAATAATGATTATAACCCATGTAAAAAAATTTTTTTGGGTTGTACAATTGATAGCTAATAAAATGTTATAAGCATCAAACACTTTTAATACGTCACTGATTTATAATATTCAACAGTATATCAAATCCTATTTTTCCAAGATTGGTTCTGAATATATACTTTAAATTTAAGATTTGTAAACTTACTTAAATTTTTTATACGCTTAGAAGAAAAAGTCTTAAACAAAAACATATTAAAATTTAAAAAAATTTTCTAAAATACGACAAATTTATTATTAACAGCTAGTTAGACAATTTTCATTTGATTCAAACATTATTTTAAAAATGATGTATTTGCTTGGTGATGTATATAAAGCCAGAATTTATTCCTTTATAATTGTTATTGGAATATATTTAGATTACTTTCAAACTTTTTGCAACACAGTTAAGTTATATATACCATACATGGGATCAAATTGAATATGGAATTTAAAAAATCAATGTAATTTTAAAATACTCTGACAATTAGAATTGAGTTTGTAAAAGTAATTTAACAATCCAAAAAGTTATTATTCACGATTTTAAAATAATTTTTAGACGTGTATTCAAAAACTATAATATTTCTAGGACTTATATCTAGGACTTATTATAATTTGTATAGGAAAATGTTATTTTATGATCTTAAAAATTATAAGTTAATTTTATCGAAAATATATGTTATTTGTATTTCAAAAATATCAATTATCCGTAAAATACAATTAAATGTTTTTATTTTATCTTCTATCCGAAGGTGAGAAAGTATAAATTTTATTTGTTCGTTTTTGCTCTTCTGAAAAATTGCTAAAAGTGACATTTGGGAAACAGTCATAGATTTAATTTATGGTATCTGAAGAAGAAAGAATATTTAAAAATTCAATTCTTTTGAAGTCATTTTAAATATTATAGAATATAGCCATATAACCGTAAAAGCTATGGATACCCATGTCATAGTAGAGCTAAAATGTCAAATCCTGTTTGTTTTCTATATCATTTCCAAAAAATAATTTGTTATTATTCTTAACTATTTTAGCTTCAATGCGAAGCTGAGAAGGTATTAATTTTACTATGATACGTTTAATTTTTTTTGTGTCTGTCACTTCTTTTTCTCAGCTCTCACTGGGCCGATTTTTCTCAACAATACGTCAAAAGATCACAAATCGTATTTAGTTGAAGATATTATCCTCAAAAATTGAAAATTTTGCCCTTGTTCCCCGTAAATAATGAAGTCCCATAAAATATTAGTATTTTTAGAATTGGTAAATTTCGACATTTTTTTCTAAAAATTGCCATAACTTTTTTAAAAATGAACAATTTAAACCATAGATATTTTCCTTTCATATAATATAAATATTTTTTAAATCTGACACTTATGCTGCCCACAAAAGGGGATTCAAAATGTCAACTTCTGCACAAAAATTTAACTTTTTCAACTTAAGCTTTAAAAATGTTCCGGAAATGCTCCGAGCTTTAAATATATGTTAAAATAAAGCTAATGTTATGTACAATAAATTCAAAAAAAAAAATTTGTCCCGACGACTTATCTTCTATATATAAATGGTTGCCGTAGTTAAAATACATGCTATTTTTGTGTTAAAATTCTTGGTATTATATTTTAATTTCATTTAAAATACCTTATAAGGGGGTACAATCATTTTAATGAATATTATACATCACTAATTGTCAATTTTTTTTTTTTAAAGTCGAAAAAATTAATTTTAATTAGCTTATATTGCCAATTTTATCAAAAAAAGAATGCGACGAACGTTTGCCTATTCAGTAAAATTTATTGCCTGTGGTAATGATTTTTTTGCAATTTTTCTGTAATTTTTTTTAAGTTAAAATTTTGCTTTTCAATAATCTACCAATTCCTTAAAATTAAACACTATTTACAGATTTGCATCGAAGCGTTTCTTATGATAGTGATTTTAATCACTATCAAATATCATATACACTAGTCCTAACTATGCCACGCTCACACTGTGCTGCGACTCCACTGTGCTACCATTTTTTATATTGATATTATGATTATACCTAGGAAATCACATTTTGGAGTAAGCTTTTCGAAAAATATTGGCTATCTCTGTAGCATAATAGATTATTAAACACAATATTTCTCATGCCATCTTTTTATGGTATATTTAATACGAAGTGTAAAGTAATAATATTACTAAATTATAATTTTTTCTTGTCGTTTTGAAAATCAATTTTTATGACCAGTTCTGTAAATGACTTTTTTAATAGTATCGTTTTTATCGATAATCTTGTACTCTCGGGAACGTTTTTCAGGCAAGCTCCTTTATGTTATGTAAAATCATGCTTACTTTTAAAACTATAGGATCAGATAAAAACACAAATAGAAAATAGATAGAATTTTTTAAATTTCAAAATAGAATGATTAATATTCATTATAAGGTTCATTATAATTATCATTGCATTTTTTTCAATAACGTTAATTAACACAATGATTATTTGTATTTTGAAATGAAAAAAGTTTTAATGAATGGATCATAAAATTAGTATAAGATCATGAAGTAATGAATTTGTCATTAATATAAAATACTTAAACATTATTTTATAAAATTCACTCACAATTGCGCTTCTTAAATTGGACAAAAAAAGTCGAATAGAGACACAAAAAGGTCACAGTGGGAAATGTCATACAAAACGACCTTAGGCCCAACGGAGTTATAGATTTTCCACCCTCTACTTTTTCAAATGTACTCCCTTGTTGCACACGCGAATATATAGAAATCGGCTAATTTGAATCTGGACGAAGCAATGCATAAAGGAATATCCCACTGAGACTGTTTCTTTTTACCATTTTCCCATGTTGCATACTATGATGTCTTATATCTCTGAAAACTATCATAAGATATCCCCGTTTTGGTTTTTCATTTTCTAGTATAGAATCCAAAAACTTTTTTATAAAAAGAATAATACAATTTTCTTTCAAAAATGTATTATAATAGTTATTAGTTTATATTACTTTCAAATTTAGAAACACATGATTCCTTTTAACGTGAATATTTTGTTTAAAAGTTACAGTATAATAACATTTTAATTGATAAAATACTTAAATACACTTTTATCTTCAATCAAATGCAGTTTCCCTTTTTAGACTTTTGTTTTTATAAGAATGGGCTCTGTCTTCAAAGCACTTAACAGACTTCATTAAAAAAACAACAGCTGTTACTTCGTATATTCGTGAACTCTTTAGTTTTATGTTATTCACTTATACATAATTGTATAACCGAGTAACCGCACTTCAGCATTGAAGTAGTTAATTCAATTTTTCATATAAAATAAAGTGTTTATGGTATGTTGACTTAATCATCGATTGTTCCTTAAATATTATTTTATTTTAAATAAGTAAATTTTGTTCAAATATTTAATTAAATATATTTTTTGGGAACATACTTTTATTACCTTAAAAAATATTAGTCCAATATATTTATTATTTAAATATTTTAAATTTATTTCTTGAATTATTTTACCATCCAAAAGATACAATGATCTATATTTAATAAACTTTTGTTACATTTGTAGGAGTCATAAAAAGTTTGAAAAAATCATTTATTATATATATTATAAATTTCAATTCTTTCCACAGTTATTTCATAATTCCTATTGCTTAAATTATTAGCACATTTTAAAAGTTATAACCCTGCGACCGGTAAATGATTTAAAAAAATATTCACGTCCCAAATTTATTAATTCCAGCAAAATATCAAAAACCTGCTCATTGTGTTCAACATTTGCAGTCTTTTTGAAAAGTCTTGTGTTGTGGTTTTTGAAACCTGATTATATTTTAAGGTAAAACTTTATCGAAAGAATAAAAACACCGAAAAACGATTCAATGAAATAAAGAATTTAATTTTTCTTTAGATTTTTTTTATGAAAACTATTATTACACAATTTTTGAATTATTAATTTATTAAAAGTCATTTGATTAAAATTATGATCAAATACATTAACATTACATTTATAATACAACAATGTTAAATCATTTTGTTTTTGTTAGTGGTTTTTATTTTTGTAATGAATATTTATTGATATTGTTTAGTTAATATTATAAATACAAATTTTTATGTATTTATTTATTAAAACCATTTACCCAGAAAACAGTCAACTCTCGGCTCCTTTATTTTGCATGTGACCCTATTGTTAACCTTTTCAAAATTGAAATTCCAAGTGGTTGTACACACAAACTTACCTTATGCTCTTGATATAGCTTATTCATTATGCATGAAATTTATAGTTATCAAAGAGGTAAAATACAATAATTATGTACTTAGGCTTTTAGGGTGCATATTAAATTATTTATAAATAATTATGCATTATATACCTACTCTAGTATTAAAAGTCTCTTAATTATGGTTAAAAACATTATTTTACCTTAAAAACTTCATTTTACTAACTACCGGTAAGTTCCTTATTAGTAAAGTTAATTAACAATTTAGTGCCTTGATACTATTAAAGATTACTACTTTGGTCATAAAACCATTTATCTAATTATTTTTAAAAAAAGTAGTTGTTTACGAGTTTTAATAAATAAAGTCCTACACTTATTGACTTTAAGAACAATCCTATAACTTACTAATTAAAATACGTAAGATTAATTAAATATGGAGTACTTAAAAATTTAATTGTAGAGTTATATAGAAACAAAACACGAATTGTTGAGACACAATGATTATTGTCGCATTTTGGCAACGGTAATGATTTTATCTGTTTATAAATAAGCTCACTTTGCGAAATAGGCAACAAGCATCCTTGTGCAAATCTTCATTGCCATTGATGATTCTATTTCATGAATCGTTGACATTGATATTCAAATTATGCTCGACTAATGGCTTAAATTCAAAAAGAATAATTCATTAACCGATGCTTGTTAGTGTATCACCAAAGCGTGACACCTAAACATCCTCTTTGACTATTAGCATTCCAACCACCCTGTTGTTTTGTTTAAGATATTCGCCATTATGTATCCACCGTCATCTCAGCAAATTGTAGAAGCTTCGAAGACGTTTCCACCAAACATTTTCAAATCTTCTATTATGGCTGCCGTTTCAGAGGGTAATTTATTACGTTTATTAATTTATTTTATTTTTTATTTGTTAATTAAATTTAATAAATCTTTAAACAATAATTAAACTTTAGTTACATAGATAAATTTGAAAAATAAAAAATTAAAATAACATTACCAAATTTGTGTAAGCTGAAATTGAAATATAACTAGAAATATTGTATTAAAATATAAAATAAAAAATAAATTATTTGTTTGTTATAGTTCTTTTTTTACATAATAATTATAATGGTTTTTATATTATACTTCAAACTCGAATTCCTTTGATTTATTCCATTGTATTTTTATCTTCACTCTGATAATAAAATATTTATAATAAAAAGTTTATTAATATTTAAAAAAAATTTCAGCTTTGAAATTATAACAATAATATTATTTTATAATAATAATAATAATTCAACGATGCATTAATTATCAACAATTTATACACTATATAAATTTGAAAATATAGATTTATATTTCCTTTAAAGAAAATCTTTTAACTGTAGATAAAACATTCATTTATATATATATATCTTATTCTATAGTTTTATATTTATCTACAATGTACTTTATATAAAATTTATCAATATGTAGATATTGTGAACATATCTAAAAACCAATTGATTTTTAGATAGCTGTGATTTTGGTAGCAACAAGTATTTTTTGTTGTGTGGTCTGGGTGGATTCCTGTCATGTGGTATTACTCATACAATGGTAACTCCTTTGGATTTAGTCAAGTGTCGTTTACAAGTTGACCAAGCCAAATATAAAAACGTCGTTAATGGTTTTAAAGTAAGTATTCGTATTCTATGTTTATTGATATTTAAACATATTTTTTTAAATAGGTTTCTCTAAAAGAAGATGGTGTAAAAGGGTTAGCAAGAGGATGGGCCCCAACTTTCCTAGGATACGCCGCACAAGTAAGTTTTTGTGTAATTTTATCAGCATTTAAAATAATTAAGTATTCATGTTAAAAATCTACAGGGTTCATTTAAGTTTGGTTTGTATGAAGTTTTCAAAGTTTACTATTCAGACATCCTTGGCGAAGAAAATTCTTATCTGTACAGAACTCCTTTGTACTTGGCAGCGTCTGCCTCAGCCGAATTTTTCGCTGATATTGCTCTCAGCCCTTTTGAAGCTGCTAAGGTAAGTTGAAAAAATATAAACAAAACACAGTAGCACATTCCAATGCGACAAAAACCTGATTGATGGAGTGTTGGTTGTAAGTAAAAGTAGATTAGTTTCATTTGCTCGTCTAGCTTAGCTCTTTGCAACGCTGAAAATACCACCGGGGAATAATATAAGAGTTAAACAAAACTTGAATAGTTTTTGCAATTGAGATAGGATCGACCATTACCAGATGAAACTAATTCAGTTGAATTTGTAGTTGAAGTCTATTTTGTACCTTAACGTGAAAAAATACGATAAGTTACATTATATTTCTTCTCTGTGTAATCTAAGTATGCGAAAAACCAAATATAAAAACAAATATACGTGCCAATTCTCACGGGATAGGACAAGAGTAAGACTTGAAATTAAATATTTAAGAGATTTTTATTTTTCAACGAATTGTTCTGAGAAATAATCAACGAATACATTTTTAAACACCCCCGAGGTTTACTGTTTATGAGGTTTTTCATTGGCAATATACTAAAAGTTTTATCTAACATAAAACTATGCCTTGACAGTAATTAAATGATGAGAGTTATGCGCAAATAAGAGTTCGAAATTTGAATGTTATGTTGAACATCTATGAAATTCTTTTGTTGAATTTGAAAAACAATCTCGGGTGTTGTTTTTGAAGCTCAATTTTTTTTTCTGCGAACGTTTTGTTAACAGTTAAAGTGTAAATGATGTGCGCTTGTTTCGAACGAAACGATGACAAGGATAAAAAGTTTACATTGTTGTTTTTAATGGTGCGAGTCTTTTGGAGAAGCTGTATTTTAAGGTCTTGTCAAAAAATCAATGGTCCCTATTAACGGAAACAACCCTACTCGTCACGGCCAGCGATACACGCACAGTCCAAACAAACGATATTTAACAATATTATGGAAATATGAACTGTGTCGTTAGCTTGTTTGTAACTGTTACACGAGCGAGAAAAGAGGAGAAAAAAAGTATTAAATGCAACATTTCCGGAAGAACTACATAAATAACATTGTATTATATGAAAGTCTGGGTTGTTCAGGAAATAAACACACTGTGCCAAAAAAAAAAAAAGCTGTTAGTGTAGGATTAAACGGTTTTTTTACTTCTTATGTCTGTATTTGTGTTGTTATAATTACAAGACAACAATAGGTGCTTTAAAGATAAAAGAAAAAACTTTTGAGTTCTTTTTATTGTTCATTATATTATGATACCACATTGTCATCTAGCAGTATTTCGGTCGGCTTTTAAAACCATGATATTTTTATGATAAAAAATTTGATAATTTATTATATCTATCATGTTCTTATAAAGTGCTTATTCAAAAATACAAGAAATTGAGTTTAAATTTAACAGCATTTGAACTATAAGAACGCAAATTAAACACCTTAAATTTTGTTCGTACAAGAAAGAAATTAAATTTTTCAAAATGAAAACTTAACTTTAAATGGACTAGAGTCTTATTCAGTTTTATACACTTTTTTAATGTTTAAGTCTATTTTTATTAGTTTAGTAACAATATTTTTTGAATAAATGACCGATTGAGCTATAAGTGAAACTGTCTTTTTGTACATACGTATTTTTTATTTTTAGTGTTTCTAATTTGTATTTATCATACATGATGATTATGATTATGATTTATATATTTTTTTCAATAGCTTCGATTGTAAATATTATGAAATAATTAAATACCAATAACATTATATCATATAACAGAAATGATATTCAACTTAAAATGTACAGAATTTTTATATAAATGCCAAAATATTATCTTCTATAACGTTAATATAGGTAATTTAGCTAGTAATACGAAATATCAACGAGAATACTTTTTGAGTAATGTTTCGTTGTTTATAAGCAACTCGTCTCTCAAAATATTTTGGCAATATTTTCTTTATTTCGTAATAAATAATGCTTATCCTTAAAGAAAGATAACATTTGACGGGCGCACCCTCAGTAAATGTCATTAGAAATTATGGCGATAACGTTTTGGTCCCGGTTGAAAGCATTGTAAAACTTTATAAAAAAAAAAAATATAGAGATAATATAATAAGTCACATAACTACTCAACAAAGTACCGGCGATTTTTATTTTTAGCGTCTATGTACACTATGAGTACACCGGAAAATAAAGAGATTTTACCTTGAGCTGGAAAAAATTTGCTATTGTTGTTGTTCAAAGGTTCCGTGGCGTTGAACTTTGAGTTGAATATAAAATTTTATTTTTCCCTATGAAGTAATATATTCTTTACAACCCCTTTTTATATTTCAATTGGTGAGAAAAACAGCATGTGCGCTGAATAAATACAATGTATACGCCTGAATAACTATAATATTGAAAACATAATGACTCTTTTTAAATTGGTAATATTATGCACGTTTTGTTCTTTAGGTACGTATTCAAACACAACCGGGTTTTGCGACCACTCTGAGAGAAGCAGTGCCAAAAATTTACCAAGCTGAAGGTTTCAACGGATTTTACAAGAGTTTGGTACCTTTGTGGATGAGGCAGATGCCATACACTATGATGAAGTTTGCCTGTTTTGAAAAGACTATTGAATTGTTATACCTGTAAGTTATCACATTTTTATAATCACTAAAAGTTACAAGCATATACAGTAAGCCGAGTTAATACTCGAACAAAGTCTAGAAAAGATAATTTAGCGGTTACTCCGTGATATTTTGTCAAGAATAAAATACAAAACATAAAAAATCAAATCATGTAAATTACTTTTGAGAAAATTCACTTCACGGGTTTTAATGAATGTCAAAATAATTTCACTGTAACCTTTTTAAAAACAAATTTTATCGGTTTTTATAAATATTTCCACGAATCGACCGCACAAAAAGCTGCATAAAGTTTTTGCGATATATTTACTTGGAAATAAAACAGCTATTCAATTCAATTCTAATTGCAATAAAGAGAGTTTTGATAGATGCTTACCACGAGTCGAAATTATATTTTTATTTAATAGTATTACAAGAACAGAAATCATTAGTTCGGTAACATTTAGCATATATAGATTTTAATAACAGTTATGAATACAATATATAAAATTTATATTTTTTTATTGAAACCAAAAGAGAGGTATTTTGATTAATCTAAATATAGTTTTTAGTTACCAATATAATTTGCATTTTTAATTCGAGTTAAGTTAAAAACATGATTCTTTTTTACATTAAATAGTTCTTTTGGTCTGAGGTTCTGATATTTAGCTATAGTATATTAAAGTTAGTACAATGAACAAGCATATTTTGTGTTATAATCGGATAAAAATTCAATTACAATAAAAAATAATAAGCTACTTATGAATAGTTGTACATAAAAAACACCAATTACTGTATACTATGAGTTCAAAGAAACTTAGTTCAAAATAAAAGCCCTTAACCAATATACCAGCGCGATTTATTTTTTATACATACATATACTTTTATTAATAATATACCTTTTCTATAAAAAAAATCCAACACGCCTTATTATAATTGGAGAGAACACAATAAAGCGTCATTTTTACATAGCAAACTGATTTTTCGTTTTAAACTACATCTTTTTTTGTTCGTTTTTCCGATTATATCAAAGTTATTTGATCTTTTGTATGTTTGTGTCATCTCATTAAAACTTTATATTTGCTAACAATGTTTGCTTTTTTTAGATATGTTATTCCAAAACCAAGAGCTCAGTGTACCAAAGGAGAACAATTGGTTGTAACTTCAGCAGCTGGTTATATTGCTGGAGTATTTTGCGCCGTAGTGTCTCATCCCGCTGATACATTAGTATCCAAGTTAAATCAAGCTAAAGGTGCTACTGTTGCTGACATTGTCAAGAAAATTGGTTTTATGGGTAAGTGATCATACCATTTTCTTGAATTTGAGACAAGTTTACATAAAATTTTGCACGTTACGTAGGATTATGGCAAGGGTTAGGACCCCGAATCATAATGGTTGGTACACTAACATCAGCACAATGGTTCATTTATGACGCAGTCAAAGTTTACCTTAGATTACCTAGACCACCACCACCAGAGATGCCAGAATCATTGAAAAATAAATTACGCCAATAATAATTATTACTGAATTTATTGTTGATTTTGTATAATATATTATTTATATCCTTTAGTTTTGTGATATTTTAAAGTTATATTAAATGTGTGATTTCCAATTTTAGATCATTATAAAAACCATTTTAAAAAATACATGTTTGTTATTTTATATATGAAAATTATTTGTGTGGTAAATAATGAATTCAGTTTGATAGTGTGTTATTTAATTAACAATATTTCATGTAATCCATAAAAAAAACTATAAAATGGCTATATAATTAAGAAAAATAAATGTTTATTATATATTGTAAATATATAATGAATATTGATCACTTTTAAATAATATCGTTTAAGATAAAAATTATATTAAAAATATTTAACTCAAAAAGCCATAAACAATATATAATTAAAAAATATTTATTAACTAAAATAAATATATTTCAGTAAGTTAAACAAACTTAATAATATTTTTATTAAATGAAATAGAAAAAAAAAATCATGTGTATGATTTTTGACGTACGAGAGAAGCAAAGTTTTTGTTAAGAGCTTAATCAAACATATTTAATCATATTCTGTTATTCATCTTTTTCGCTGTCGTTTTTATTATTTTTATTTTGCTAATTATAAATTTCAATGATACAAAATATTCTTTAAAAAATTTTCTACGAGTTTTTTTTTACTTTATAGTTTTATATTATTTTATTTTATTGCACTATTTATTTAGATTCATCTATGATTTATTAATCTGATTTCAAGAAATACATTAACAAATACCCTTCCTTTGTGGTAAATGTCAATAGAATGAAGGAAACATAGATGTAAAAGTCTTATGTTTAGGATATCTAAGCAGAAAAATAGTTTTGAAATTTTAATTTTAAATAATAATTCAGTTAGTTGGTCAAGTTGCAAATTTTTGTGGTATTTAAAAATTTTTAAATATTTCAAGAAGAGTGTCTTTAAATATAATTGTTTTTAAGAGATCAGAAACAAATAAAGAAATCTTGCTAATCAAGCTTAAACATGTTGAAAAATCTTTCTTAATGATGATTAATAATATTTTATACGCTTGATTAGTGGTAAAAAGTATAGTAGCACTTTGTGATAAAAAAATTCTTTTATAAGAATCTTGTAAAAATTAATGACATTTAAAAAAATTCCAGAAAATTAACAAATTTTATATATTAATTTTTAAGAAACATTTATAAAACACAATATACTCCTAGTTTTTATTTTATGTTTTCTTTCAGTTTTTACTCTGAAATTATTGCATTATGTTATCATAGAATGAAAAAGTTTTAGTGCGGATTTTCTTTAAAAACTATGTAAACACATAAATACTAAAAAGCCATAAAAATGCTTCATTATTAAGAAGCCATAGTATCATATACTGACTTGATTGGGCCGTTAACATGAATAGATACACACACACATTTTAATAATAATAAAAGCATTAAATTTTATTTTTAATCTTTTCCCGAGTCCTTCCGTCATAGTACTACTAGTCAAAAACTGATCCTTCAAACTAGGAAGCTCTTGAGTAGGTGTACTCTAGACTCGTCAACAGGGTCAAGTTCGAAAGTATTAGGTTAAGAGGTGACTACTTATCAGTCACCAGCAAAATTACTTTTTCTTTTTATCTACTATAGGATGGGTTCAGCCAAAAACTATCCAACTTGCACATCTATTATTAGGATTAACTAAAGTGTCAGTATTATAACTCTAGCTGGCATACACAAATTAATAATAATATTAAAAAAATATATTAATTATGAGTCACAAATATGTAACACATACAAAATTATTAAAATAATAATAAACACCCGATTTAAATGACATACCTATGAATATAAAAAATTTACGATTAAGCATAGATGCAGACAATCGTGGTCAAAACGGTCATTCCTCACTTCATAATTTTTAACCTTTTTATATTTATCGCTTCTCAAACCATAAACATTTTTAGCTTATCGTGTTGCTTTAACAATTCAATAATTTTGTTTACTATAATAGTAAACAAATTATAAAGCTATAGAAATTCAATAAACACTAAGAAGCCATAAAAAGGCAAAAAAAATTAGAAGTTAAAAAATCATGAAAATAGTTCAATACAACCAGACAATATTAAATTTGTCAACAAATAATTTAAATAATCTTTTTTTTTAATATTTAAACAGTATGCATATTGGGCATTTATAAAATTATAGAACATTTTGATTCTTAAATAATTTTTGAAAACAAAAGTTCTACTTAGTAGATGACTAAAATAACTAATCTTTAATACATGCTTAGATAAAATCTTTTGGTTAAAATGTATTTCATTAAAAAATAACTCAAAATAGAGTAAAATAATTGAATATAATATCCAAAAATATCATCCTTAAATAACTTAATAAAGGACCTTATCGTTATCTTGTCATGATATTTAAATTAAGGTAAAGGGTTACACAATAAAATAATCGAGATTTTGAGCACTAATCTAAAGGTGCGTAATCATACTTTTTGATAAACTATGTTTTAAACAGTATTAAAATATTTAACAATTAAATAATTAGTAACAATGTCATTTTTTAACGGAATCAGTGTTAAAAAATATTAACTTCCAATATCTGTAGTTGAGCAACAAATAAAATTAGCTACAATAAAAAAAAATTATTTTTTTTAGAATGAAATATTTAAAAGAAAAAGTAGATCAAGAATATTTTTTGATATACAATCCATAACGAAGTGCAATGTATAAATAACATTCGATAAGTTAGTTTTGGAAACTTCATACGAGTGCTTGGGAAATTTTTGTTGTAATTAAAGTATATAATAAGACGGAAATTTAACTAAAGGACGAAGTTTGGAGTATAATAATAGTTTGAGGTATTAATTCCCATAGTTAACCAAGTTGCCTGCAGTTGAAGCTCATGCTTTCAATTTCTCAGTGGTTTTATATGTATATACAGTGTGGTATATAAATTGAAATTTGAAAATCATCTACTATTCATTAATAGACTAAGAAAATTAAACAACTTCATTGTCTGACAAATATTCATGTCCGCAGAGAGTAGTGACAACTCAATAAGTGTTGAAATGTAATAAATTAATACCGAAGCGATTGAGCTATTTGTGGTTTGCTAAATTTAAACAAATCTAATAACAACCTTGGCATAAAACTTTAATTTTAAAACTACTTAAATTAATTGAAAATCTTTATTTGTTAACAAAGGTAAAACTAAAACTTTATCACAGGTATTTATATGAATAGCAATGTTTTTAGATATGTATTGTTAAGATGTACCAAAAACAGACAGTAAATATAAAGATTTTTTTCCATTTTTTTTTACCAAGTAAATAATAAAACTTTAATAGGTTATTGCGACGAGGCATAAAATGGAACAACGTGGTTACCATGTCGCTTTAATTGCATGAACTTTATATATGTCCAATTATAAAAAGAAGACATTTTCATTATTATAGTGGAAAACAAAAATGTCGTGCTAGTGACGTTAATTGGGTCGTAGTTTAGTTTTTTTTGGGGTGGCGACAGAGCGGAACGGGAAAAAGTTTTGAAAATATTATCAGAGCGAGTAGCGATCTTACCACAATATAGCAACCCTTGAAGGTATCATATGGAAAATTGGAGAGTATTTTTTTCTTTGAATACGTTTTGGTCGAGTTAGTGTTGCCTGAATGTAATTGTACTACAAAAAAAAAGAACAAAGGTTTTATTTTACATTTTAATCTAAAATAAGTATATTTGATCTTTTTCTAAATATTTTGTTAACTTTACTGTGACTGTAAAATAAAATTATTTTATACAATAAAATAAATAACTTTATCTTAATCAAACGATTTCCTTACATATAATATTCAATTTGTTGTTCTTTAAAATTTATATTATCTAGTTTATAGCTAGAAAAAATTAAAGCTAATTTTAAAGTATTATCTGTACTATTATGTATAGTTTTGGTGGTAATTTTTTTTAAGTTTTTCGATAGAGTATAAAAACTTTAAGCTCAGTGAAGAAACTAACGGTAAAGCGATAATTTGGGGCCCGTCAGTCTCCTAACTTGTAGCGATGGTCAACTAACGTCCCCTTTTAAAGTATAATCAAAATGTTTGTTACTTTATCGATAGATGGAATGTTCAAAATGGTATAGAGATTTTGTCTTTCTATGATTTTCCTTTCTTTAAGCCCTGATGTGTGTAAACTTACAATTGATATTCGCACTTTAAGGATATAACTTGAAAAATGATGTCTCATCTGTCAAAATATCCAAGATGGACCACTGTAGTTAACAGAAAAAATGTCCTAGTATAAAATTAAGCATTTCAAAAGGGTGCTCTTTTGAAATGATATACATAATGATGTATTTTGTATGTGCCAACAATATTTTGTTTGATGAGCCAAAAAAAAAGGTCATATGATTTTATAATTCAAAAGGGCCTCCCAAGGATTTTTGCTTTAGGACTTCAAAGTTTAGTTTCATCACCATTTAAACTTGCTACTTGTATTTTTTTAAATAAGCCTTAAATTTGTAAAGCAATGAGAGCAAATATAAAACCTTTTACTAATAAACAAATATTTTATTATATTACGTTATTATGATTTTTCCTGGTAACTTTTTTAATCAAGACATTTGAATGTACATTATGGTTAAAGTAGCAAAGCTCTTTTAAAGACAAATCGCGGTAAAAATGTAAAGAAATTAATTTAATCCCCTACTTTTTCTGTAAAACTCTTCACGTTTTAGCTTCGATGCGAAGCTAAAACGCTTACTAAGATGTGTTTTTTTTTTTTTGTGTCTGTTACCACTTTTTCTCAGCTCTCACCAAACCGATTTTTTTCAATGATACGTCAAAAGATTACAAATTGTATCTAGTCGAAGACATTACCCTCAAAAATTGAAAAAAATTCCCTCGTTCCCCGTAAATGGGGGAAACCTCCAAAAAAATTACGAATTTAAAAATCGCTAATTTTCGAAATTTTTTCAATTTTTTTTACTTAAAAGTGCCATAACTTTTTCAAAAATGAACATATCAATATAATTCTTTTTTATATAGATGCATAATATCATTACCTTTCATTTGGTATATTTTTTTATAAATTGAACCCTTAATCTGCCCACAAGGGGGGATTTTAAATGATAACTTTTTCACAAAAAATTTACTTTTGAAAATGTTCCGGAAGGTCTGACACTTTTATATATATCTTAAATTAAAGCTAATGTAATGTTCTTTATTATGCAAAAAAAAAATTTCGGACTTTATTTTATCTTCACGGTGAAAATGGCTACCGAATGCTATTTTTGTGTGAAAATTTTCGATTTTGTATTTTACATTTTTAACTTTATTATGCTATAACTTNGTGTGAAAATTTTCGATTTTGTATTTTACATTTTTAACTTTATTATGCTATGACATATTGAAAAATGTATAGATCAACATAATTTTTTAATGAAAAATAATATTTTTTAATAATCCCTTTATCATTCGAAATACTTTATCTTATTCAGGATATTAATAAGGAACTAACAGATTATGTAGCTTTTGGAATAATTCACCAATTTTTTAAAATTAAACACTATCTAAAGATTTGCATCGAAGCGTTTTTTTTTTATAGTGATTTTAATCACTGTCAGATATCATTATACTTGATCCAACTATGCCACGTCACCACTGTGCTGGGTTTTTAATTTTATATTTCATATATACAAAGTAGTCCACGATTTAACGATTGACAAATCTAATAACTTTTGATCTACAGAATATTTTCCGTTACTTATCTTAAATTGTTATTATATATAAAACTTTGAAGTTTATAAGAATTTGAATATTTTCATGTTTATATTACCTTTTGAAAAGTTGGTTTATCTAAGAAAAGGCTAGAAGTAAAATATATTAAGACATTATAGCTTAGAGTTATCGAATATTTTTTCATTAAAATTACTAATATTTGAATTAGCGTTTGTAATTCAAATGATAATGATTTTCCTTAAAAATTTACATACTTGTAATCCTAATAATTAGCGGGAAATTAATGCATTTTTTTTTATATTTCATTGTTTAACAACATTAAAATAAGCACATAAAATTTCAAAATTTTACACATTTTTTCTAATTCTATTCTTAAAAATGACTTCCTTATTTTTTTCACGTTATTTTGCTAATTTAAAATGAAATTATTTTTTTAATACTGGAAAAAAAATATATTTCTGATTATATTTTTATAGTTCCAGAGTATAATAATAGTTTAAAAAAAATAAAGTGAAATATTCAATTGATCAAACACTATTAAATTAGTCAAAACCACTATGTATATCAGTAACATAAATCAAAATACCCTTTCTGCGTAAGTTTTTTGTGACAATAGAAACAGAAACTGTAATCTTAAACTGTATTTAATGTATTTTAATGAGAAATTAAAATTTATCCGCTATTTTATACTTAATAATCTATCCGGAAGAGTTCTGTAAATGTATTTGAAATATTTTTCAGTTCCTTCAGCTTCCATTAAAATCAAATGGTGTTTTTACAATCATGCTGTCAAATAGGATTATTTAGTAGAAATAATTAAATACAACACATTGTTAAACATTATGATCAAAATAATAATCTTATTAACACATTAATTTACACAGTGCTAACCTGTTTGACTGATTTCGTTAATTTATTTTCGTAGTAATCAAATTTTTAGTTTTTGATCCGTCCGTTTCATTAAAACATTTCAGTGTTCATCAAAGTCGTCGTTTGTTGAGTCGGTTAACATTAACTAAAAACACATTAAAAGCCGTGAAATTGTATTTGTGTACATACATGAGGGTTTCGCATTCATGTGTGTAACACCAGCGTATGAATGCATAATATTAAGTTTATTTGATGTGACTACTAAACGTGATAAGCGTGTTAGCCGGGCACAAGGTCGACAGTTGTGCAACCCCGTTAAACCGGCTGCTTTAGTAAACAAACGGATATCCCAAGGGAATAGTTTTAAAGGAAACAATAGATGGGTAAAGATTACATTGCATAGCTTAATGCTTTTGGTATTTTTTTTTAAAATTCACACAGTCAGCGTTCGTATTGCAAACATTGCATTATACTGCTACGTACATAGGTACGTCACAACCTTATTTATTTTAATCTTAGAACCAATCAATTTAATGGAATTTATTTACATACTCCGCATTGATAAGTAGTACGTTATTAAAATTTATGCTATCCACTCATCGTACCGAGCTTGTATCAATTTTACTTGCTTAAGCGATTAAAAATATAGGGATGTGTTTGATTATTTTTAGAAAATGTGTTTATCGAAATAATCTCATTTATATTGACAAGCTTAGCGTCCAAATCATTTTGTCAGACAATCGTTTAACACATCACTCCAAGTGAGTACCGTTATTATTTCAAGACGTGTGCAATAAGTTTTGGTCTGTAATCATGAACATGTTAATTTTTTTCAAGAGGAAGGATAGACGCGCTTTTCCGGACAGAAGACTTTTGCAGGTCGAGATTTACCTAACAACTAGACGGCTTTTAAATTCGTATTATATCGATCGTTTGCAGCCGCCGTCGTTGCGTTGTGCTCTTCCCTCGGCCGTAGATGGTCGGCGCGGGTAACAGTGCGGAAAATAAACCTGTCAATGCTTAGGTTTTTAGAATCTCACGGGACCTCGCGTATTAACTCGGACTAGAGCCCGTGTACTTCATTTCCAACGCAGGGAACGATGCGGTGACGACGAGAAGGGATGAGTGTCGTTCAAGGGTATATTATACACGAACTGAGAATATGGAAGGGCAAACGGAGAGGCGCGAGTGACCTGTAACCCTGCCGCATACACTACTGGGCTGCCTTGGTAACCACCCCATCCCTACAACACAATGTGTCACCCGCGTTTCTCTGTCGACACCGGACGCGTCGCATACACTCCAAACAGTATCCTTATTGAACTATTGTAACAAATTCGCATTACAAGAAAGAAACTGACGTTACGACTTTTTTGTGGTTATTATATCTGTAACGTTCCATAATGAATTATTATTTCAAAAAATACCGCTGAGAGTAATATTGTTTTGACGACAACTCGCGCATTTACATGAAGCTTTGATCCATTCATAGTGATGAATCATATACAATATAATTAATATGATATCCAGTGTGGTTTTATGCAAAAAAAAAATTTACTTTTGAATATTTATTAACATCATAAACCGATAATTATTTCTGATACGAGCAGCTGAGGATGATATTTTCTGTTTAATTTAAATTAACCTTTATTAAATATATTAATAAAGTATTCACTTCATGTACCAAATCCAACGATAACGCGAGTATTTATTGTTTTATCAATTAGTGGATAATTACTATCATTAAAAAAAGTTTTTATTATTCAATATTGAAATCTTTTTACATGATTAATTTTAAACATAGTATTTTTTTTTTATGAAAATCAACCTTTCTAGCTATGAACTTCACAATAAAACTAACTATATAGGCTGTATGAATGTTTTTTTTTGTATTTATTTTTTATTCAAGAGCTATGTATAATTCATGTGTATTTTTGTAAACACATACGTAGAACTATAACAAAAACAACTGGTCTATCAAGTTCGGGAGTATCTAAAAATACTAAAAGTATACCATGGCTGATTACATAATTTTGTATTTTTCTAATACAATAGTACATAATTCATAATTTTTTATAATTTATTAGTAAGTGTTTTAACAGTTCTTAAACTATTTTCAGTGAGTTTATTGACAAATCCTAATCGATTTTACAATTCTGATTGCAAAATTCCTTTATAGTTTATATTTAAAGCAATATTATAAACCATTAAGCTTCACATTTTATAGCATAATTGATTTAACAAATTATAAGTAAAAAAAAAATGAGAAATTAATTTAAAAAAAAATACTAATGAATTAATAAATAATATTCAAGTAGGTATGAATATTTATATAAATATATGAAATAATCTCAGGTAGGAGTAACATCATATCTTACATTAGTACAAATTATAAAATTTTAAATCGTATTCATCAGCGAAATAGACACAAGTTAAAAAATTGAAATAGAATCAATAATTCGAGTTTAAAGTTAATACAAATTAAAATTAACGTGATACTGAATCTATATAACTTCAAGCTATTTAGGATCACATGAATGGCGTTACATTTTATTCTTTATATGTAAAGGATTTAAAAAGTTCAATAGTCATTTTTTCGACAGGTAAATGTGCGTTTATGTATAACCTCATACGACCATTTGGTCATAAAAGCATATTACTTAGCATAGGGAGGCATAAAAAATTCCAACTGAGCACACACACTGAGATAACTTAAATGATATACAGGTCGGTGAAACTTGGAAATGTTCTACCCGTAAACGCTATCTAAGCAGACAAATGCGAGCCGGTGCACTTACCTATTTTTATTCGGTACACCCCATCTATTATAAAGCGTATGAGCATAATAAATGGCGTTTTTGCAGATATAATGCGCTTATATGTATTTACAAATACAATGGTTCTACCCGTACATAAGTATTTGGGTATCGATTTGAACATATAGGGCAGATTTGTATCTTTTTCACCAAACGTCAAAAATAAAACAAACGATCCCTTGGCTGTATCATCTATCTTTTGACCACTAAAGTAATTATTTTATTAGGATTGTTTTTTTTATTGCATTCATCAGAGAATTTAAAATAGTACGTCCACTAGGAGAATATATTTACAAAAAGCGGTCCCATGTGTTTTTTCGCAGATTCGTAGAAATTTATGACATCCCTCGTTTCACAGCTTAAAGATAATAATAAATTCTCAGAATAGTAATCATCAAATAATTTGGCATTGTAAGATAAAAAAATAATAAAAGTATATGTGTTTTTTAATGATTATATTACACCTATGACGTAATTAGAATTTTATATTGAAAGGGATTTACATAACAAAATTGATCACTTTCCCTTTAAACAAAAAAAAAACTTTGCCACATAATTACTTTTTTTATAGGTGATATGACAACCACATCCTTACATAATTACGCCAGTGTGTATTAAACTGCAAAAAAATACAACGTGCACAACTCGGGGTTGGCTTAACAAGATTTTGATCTGAAACGTTAGAAAATTAAATCATTTTATTTTGCATTTTTATACAAGGCTTTACAATGCATACTTGATCATCAATAACTTAAGTATTAAACTACAGCGCATAAAGTTACAATTTCTTAAAAAAATCACTTTCTTCAAATCTGTATGATGTCTAAAGAGAATATAAGATAAAAATATAATGTTTTTTAATTTAAACATTATTTATATAAAAAAATTATTACGCATCAATCTAATGAATTACGATTGCCTAAAATTATTTTAATTTATTTTTACGCTTATCAAACATTATTAAATAAACAAAAATAAATATTTAATTTTGAGTAAAACATTATGACCTGATATTAGTTTACCAAAACAGTTTTTTACCAAAACGTAATTAGTTTTTATTTCATATAAATAACAAAGTGCGTGTTATTGTAGGCAGTTGTGTACAAACAAATATTATTTTTTAATTGAAAACTTTTAACTTTATTTAGTTTTGTTTGGAGTAAAAATAAAATGCCAAAATATTCAATAATTAAAAACACTTATACTAAAATATTTCTTTGTTGTATACATTTGCATTTAAAAGTATACATTAGTTTCTAAGAAAAAATATTATAACTTGGTAGTTTAAATCAATCATATAAGATTTATTATATATTATAGAAATTTCATGGGACTTATTTCGTCAATGGCTTCGTCTCAGTTACATTAATGAAATCCATTATTTGAATGTAATACGATTAGCTACTATTCAAAAATAAAAATACACCCAAAGTCTCTTCTAACTTCAAAAGCTCTTCCGGTTTTGGCATTCTGCTTATTGTCAAACGTAATGATTTTCAATAAAATCATATAGAGAACTCAAGTCAAATAACAATATAGCAGCCTTTCTATATTTGTAATTAACAAACTTGTAATGTATTTTCGTGTACACTAATGGCGTAATAAATGAGCACACATATTTTTAATTAATTGGAAAATGCTTTTAGAAGGGTATTTATAAAATCAGATTAAAGATATTAAATTTCCTTTTTAATAATAGATATTTTTGAGCTAAACATTATTTTCTTAATATTAAACCTAGTAAGTAATTAATCCTTTTTTCGTTTTATCGACATTATATATGTGTTACTATAAATTTTAATACAATAATTTCATTTTAGGAAATAAGTTGATCATGAATATTCTAGGGTTCAGTCTTTAAGTAGCATGTGAAAAAATAAACACTGAGATTTAAATGTTGAGAATATTTTTTCTGATGATACCTAAGACTATGAGAAACAATTCGGAAAGGTTTAAAATGGTTGGCTGAGTGATTGATGATGTTTCTCTGATGACAGGAATGTTTGAGTGCCTACGTTTTTGTATTGCCCCTAGTACAGTGTTCATAAAAGTTGATGATAATATCGGTAAACAGTTCCGCACTTTGAATAAGTCATTTAGTTGAGTGTTAATTGTTATCTTTATAATTTTTGAGATGGCGTCATTTTTATATAATTAAGTGTATACATTTTTTATTTTTAATAAGCGATCCGTACAATACGGTCAGTAGTTTCTAAAATAAGCAAACTTCAAAATTTTAGTTTTTTGACTTTTCAATAGTTTATGCTAATGGTAAAAAGGTTTGCATTTCATTACTGAGAGTAATGGGTATAGTTTTAATTTACTATTAAAAATTACATTAGAGATGTTTATACCATAATAGAAGAAATAATCTTTGTAATAATGAAAACATAAATAAATGTTTTTATTATTAAAACTAAAAATATATTTTATTTAATATTCATAAATGGCCACTTTTTAAGTTACCTATAATCTTTTTTGTTCGTTAAAACTAAGTAAATATTTATTTTAAATTCAAAATAAAATATTTCGATTAATAAATGATAATTTAGATATAATTATGATGAAGAACTTGTCTTGATGACAAAAATAGTCAACACTGTTTCTTTAATCATCGTGTATGTAATATGATGTGTTAGAATAATACGCATTGATATGTAAATCTTAAAAATAGCTTTCTTAATTATAAATTACCATTATTTTTATTGATCATTTACGTATGTCGATGATGACTGTTATTTTACTGTATATAAAAATCGTATTTCACTGTTTGAGATATTTGCCAATAAACACTATTTCTGTTGAGTTCAAAATTTTATTTATTCAAGCAGCAATGTGGAAATAATTAATCCGAAAGTACACCCCAGTATTACTATTGGTTGCTATGTAGTGATATGATGGATATACGTCAATTTATACGAAAGGGTAAGAGAAATAGTGTTCATGTAGTATTGCTACTATATTTTGAGTAGGAGGATATTTTAAAGAGAAGGGTCTGGATGTAATTCAACTTGGGGTAACTTTAAATACGAAGAGAAGTAAACGTCGTCACAAATAACCTTTATGGCACGTACTTAAATTTAGTAATATGATGTACAATCTCATTAGTTTTTTGTTTAAATCACATTAATTTTAATGTTTTCAACGCTATTAACCACTCATAATATTAACACACTAAAATTATTCATTATTTTTAGCAAAACTTGTACTCTAATACACAACATACTTTTAATACATTGTCATTATCAGTGTGTATGAACAACATTAACCTTTTTTTTTTTTTAACAGAACTAACAATTATTTTACGGTGTAAATAATTAAAAATTGTCAAAATTTTGGATGAAATAAATTTCAACATGATAAGTATTATTAATTATTAATTGTTGTTTCGAAATTGTTTTCAAACTCACAGAAGCTAAAAAGTCACTGATTAAAAGTAAAATACAACAGTCAAATTTACTTTAAATATTTAATGAATATCGTTCTTTCCCATTGAATATTTAATGAATCAAAAAATATACATTTTTGAGTATTTCATATAATTTCAACGAGTTTCAAAAACATTTATTATATTCCATTATGAACCTATAGCTGTTAAAAAATTCAACGTTAGTAAAGTAATACTTGGAAATCAAATAAATAATCAATTTCGCAAATGATAATTACATCTTCGGTCTTAAATAAATAAAATTAGAAAGTTGTACCAGAAATTCGTAATGGAAAAACACAATTGGGTTTAGGAAAATTTGAACGAACATTAAGTAAATAAAGTAAAAATAACGAGTATTTTATTTCTATTTAATTTAAATTTTCTTTTTCTCAATTGATATTCTTTTACTTTATTGGATACAATAATTTATCGATTGATTTTGTTCAATTAAACACAACTAAATAAATATTATCCGCTTAATTCATCTCGTTTTAATAACATCAGTTTTATTTAATTTTTATCTTTATTATTGTGTACTGAACGACATGCGCGTTGTCAGAATTTTATTTTTATGACAATCCCTTTTTTAAACTTTAAATAACATTTGTTATTTAAGTAGAACTTTTGGATTTGTTAAGTGTCATTTTTTTATGGATGAATAAACAAATATTGTTATATCGTTTCTTGTAGTGAGTTCAATCTCCTAAACTCCAAACACTCAACGTCGCTCACTGTCGTCCAAAATGAGGCTTGGTTAGTCCAAACAACTTCAAAAGCGGCACGTAACGCGTGACTGACAAAGATGATGGTGGATTAAGGCGAGAAACCGCTTTCAGGGTCTCAGGTGCAGGATGTGGAACGATAAGTGCAAAAAAGGAAAGATAGTCGTTGCTTACAGCACAAGTTCCCAAATGAAAAAAGTATTTCACAGGAAATACATTTAAGTACGTCCAAAGTAAGTGAACCGATTTTGTATGATTTAAAGTATAAGTTTTTATATATAACCAAACACGAACACTTGACATCAAGTTCTTAAATACCCGTTGAATTTGAGCAGATTTAATTTACTGTACTCAGCTAAGAGTTCACGTGCGTATCGAAAATGTTAGTAAAACTTACCTGGTAAATTTATTAAGTCTAATATAATAATTCTGGTGTCTTATAATGCAGTGCAGTGTTTTTATATTTAACCGACAAAGATAAAATCTCTATTACATCTGAATCAATGAGTGGGGAAAAGGCAAAATAGATTGTGCTATTAAAAAGAACAAGAGGAAAATTATTTTTTAACACTGATTAAATAGTAGAAATTCAGCAATAGTCTGTATATTGTTCGTACGCCTTTTTTAGTTTTTTTAATGACAATTGTAATTTTATTGTTATTTAGAAATATTAAATTTAATGAGCCCCAGGAACAAAATTCATTTGTCTAATTATCTTAATTCGATTAAATAAGACCGTGTAATTTTGGGTCTGTTTTTAATTAAATGAAAAATTTTTGAACTTCATCATATGGCCATTGTCGTATAATTACCAAAGTAATTTTATCTTTTTTTTCTCCAAAAAGAAAAAAAAACATCGTACAATTACTTCTTCGGAAATATTTTTAATTTAAGTTTTTATGAGCTTTCATAATTCTTATTCTTCAAGATGTAATACTGGAATTAATCCTAATTAAAAAGTATAACGAAAGACTCCATGTAATCAATCTTGTGTACTGCTTTTACATCTTAATGTAATAAATTTTACAAAATACAAAGATATTTCATCCATTAATAAGGTTTAGAAGGTTTTGATTAATTTTCAAAATAAAATTCAATTTTTTAATCCAACATTATAAATTGACAGATTGTTTACTCGAATTAACTACAATAAACCATGTGACTAAAATACACTTGGTGTTTCTTTTAATGAAATAAAAAAAGGTTCATAAAATTATTGAAGCGTATTGTATAGATATACATAAAATACTATATGTGTGTAGTACATTCAATTCTTTAAATCTGATAAAAGGAAACTTGTACAAAATAAACTTGCGAGTAACACTTTCTAAGAATCTTTTATCTAGTATATTTTATTTTTGAAAAGATCTTAACTTTATTTTATTGTCAATTTACATAATGTGTAAATGGTTGCGTCGTTATATTATACAAACTGTATTGAATTGCTTAAAGTTGGTCATTACTATTTACTTTTCTATTTCGTCTTGATAAATAAATCCACATAAAAAGAAGGATCAGCATTAATAAGTATAAAAACTGTTTTTACCAAAATAATTCTTCTTTTTTAATAGATACAGACGATTTTCTTAAAATTTATTTTAGGTAATTCTTTGCAATGTTTTTAACAGTTTTACTTAAGCGATAAAATTATAAATCACAATGAAAATCACTCCGGTAAAAATAGATTACCAGTTGTTTTTAATTTACTATGACTGATATGTTTTATGCCTAAGAATCTTTTTCCGTTTTATTCAAAAAAGGTTTTAATAATTCGTATAATATATGAAGATTAAAAAACGTTAGATTATTCTACTAAATTTCATAATACTTGTTTATGAACATTTTTTTTTTCATTTTTATGTCCATATGTCAAATTTTTAATTCGACTTACTATTTCACACAAATAATGTATACGATTTTTCCCACTGTTTTATTTTCGTTGAGTTACAATGAAGTTTTTAGATATAAATTTAAAATATCTTTTACATATTTAATAAAACGCTTTAATTCTACTATTAAATAAAAAAACCCATTTTATTGTGATATCTGTTTTACTTTTATTATTAAAAAATGATACGAAAAAGTGCATGTTTTTCAATTATAAATTGAATAATATTATCTAAAAAAAAAAAGTTTTTAAAACAAAATACTTTTTATGTATTGATATTTATTTTTACCCTTACCCTGAAAATGAATATAACTAAGTCATTAGTCGTTTTTATTCTGGGGATTATATTTGTCAAAAAATTATATTAACTATTAACAGGTTCTTATTCATCCAAAATAATGAGCCGTTGTCACTCTGAGAGTTGCGTTAAAGAAAATATAATCAAGACAGATTCGTTTTATCGTGAAAACCTAACAAAAAAGTTTTTTTTTTTTTAATTTGTGAACTTGATTTAAATAAATTAGTTTTCATTGGCACGGTTTATTTTGAATGCTAAAATATAATAACTGTTTTGGACGGTTAATTGGGTTAATCTTTTAATTATTATTATTTTCACAATTGATTTAAAAATTGTACAATAAAAACAGGACTAAATAGATTTTAAATAAGCAGGAATATTTATATTACACATATGCAACTTTTGAATAACCAAAAGATTCCGGATAATTTCGCTTTTGTATGATACTTGCAATAAATGTAACATTTATACATAGTAATTTTATAGTCATAATCATAATGTGCTTAATCAACTATGTACAGTTCGCAGAAGCGGTTTGGCCCTTTAAACCCTTGTATTACATATCAAATTATATTTTATACCAATGTCCACATAATTTTGTTTGGCTGTTTTTTAGCAAAGCTCGCTATTAAATACTGACCGTTAATAATGAAATGTACATCGTACAGACTATATACAGTTCAAAAAATAAATCAATTACGACGTGGATTTTGGAACGGAGTTACAATAAAGTGAATTGTAATATTGTAATATTAAATTCAAAATAGCTGCCGTTTTAGTTATACATTATATATTCGTCTCCTATAAATATTCTTCAAATATCCATTCTTTCACAGCCAGTAAATTGAATCACACATTTTTTATGCTTAGTGATGATTTAATTTTAGAGTAAAACTATTAAACTAGTTTTCATTTTTTAAGTTCTTATCTATTCAGTCAGTTCGTGAGCGTTTTAATAGGTATATTTTATATGCAATATTTGGCTTAACGAGTCTATATTTTGCTCATTAATTCCTATTTTCCTAACTTGAACCCTTTAGAATTGTCTTGAACGTTTCGGTCGGTATCCTCTCTTTCCGCAACTTCAACGAGCTTTTACAAGAATTCCTTTCGTCTTATCGCCGTAATTGCCAACGTTCAAGTTAAACATCTTCACGCAGGAAAAGGGTTCAAGAAGTTCTTATAAGTTTTCGGGTCATGTACCAATTAATTATGTTTGTAAACAAATAAAACGTTACTTGTTTTACACGAAGAGATCCTTTTTTGGAAGAATTCCAATGACCCTTGAATTTTCTATGTCTGTGATTCCGAATCGGTTTAACAATGTCATTTTAACGAGCACTTAAATGACAAATAAAGTTCCGTAACGATGAAATGATAATAGATGTCAAACATAAATAGAAATTCAGAGTGACTTAAAGCGACTAGATCATTTGTTATACACTTGTCAGTTGGCGAAAACCAATGTGATAATAACTACTTATGTTTAATTGTAATCAGTAGAAATAAGAAACTTGAAATATTTGTATAATATTAGGAATCGATGTGCGTCGTTAGTTGAGTGTTCAAGTGAAATACATTAATTTCTACCCTCGTGCTTAATGTGTTGTTTTATTGTGTGTGGGTGTGTTTTATACGATGCAATATTATTTAATGATGTGTAACGACATGTAAAGCGTTCAATTTACTGCGAGGTGTATTGCTGTAAAAACGAAGGAATTATTTAGATTATTGATTGTTTTTTGTGTGGTTATACCTCTACCGCAGCACTAGTTGATTATAGAAAACAAAACGAATGAAAGTGAAAATAAATATGGAAGTCTTAGAAGTTGATTGATGACTTTTTTGGTTTTGCGTGAATCTCATTTCAAAGTTTCGCAAAAGGCATCAATTTCACGACCTATTCGATAATAATTGAGTGCAACGAAAAACAAAGAATAAAAGTTTAATATCATTGTGGAGTTGTTGCATGTTTTATAAACGACCATGTCCAATAAATTTCTTATCTGCTAACTCAGAACTGAATTATTCAAAAGTTGTAGTGCGCCATTGTATCACACAAATGGCCCCGCGAAAACTATCCAACGCACTTTTATTCAAACATATTCGCGTGCGTATGTCATTTGTGAATTTGATATTATTTGTGCCAAACACGTGTCTATTCGAATATGTTGGAACGGCCAAAAACATCGACGGGCTAATGTGTTGTTTAAGTAAAACTACTGAATCCTACAAGAAATACTGTGTCCGTAACTGTTGAAGCTTTGACGTTTTACACATTTTTGTTCGTTTACACCGTTTTGTTGAACCTAATGTCATATTTTGTATGCTATTGGTCTTTTTCTTTTTAAATTAAAAAAAAAAACCTATTTAAATATTCAACGCAAAAATGTTTGCAGTTTCGTTTAATTGATTTTAGTACTCACATTTTAATCGTATAGTTTTTATGAAACTGTATTTTTTCATAAAGAGTGTTGTCAAATCTTCTAGCAGAATTTTCATTTGTTTATATTCGAACGTGTTAAAGCTTTCGCGGATTGTCTTATCGCTGGAAATGTTGGAACGGATGTATCCACTCGTTGCAGAGTCCATCTTCAGAGCGACAGTTTAAGGCTCGGCGTTTTTTTTCATTTACTTGATTGACTTTTCTAGGAAAATAATCGGAAAAATCAATTCAATGAATATTTTTTATACTGACAAGCAATAGCGCAAATGCCAATTGGAAAATCTGCATGATGATATAATAAGTACCTAAGTCACCAAGAGAAATTTAACCATCGCAAATCTTCTCGACGCTTAACGGTCGCCCAAATTTAGAATCTTCGATTGTTTAACCGCCACAAACTGATTTGACGGAGAAAATATCAGAACAGTGTTCGGTGGTTACTTAGTTTATAACCAAATCAAAAACGGAATAATAGGTACACATTATCTCGTTCACCGCAACAACATAGTTTTGAAATTCGATTATTTTTCTATAGTGTCCCAAGGGAAGCGTTTGATAATTTCGTTTGAACAAAATGCCGAAGAAAACACCACGGCGATATTGGGATTTTAATAACTCGAGACTGATGGATCGATCGGTTAAGCCGTAACACGTGTGAGCCTAGTAAAAATGAAAAAAATACAACCCTGCCTTTGCAAGTATGTCCGTGTAAACAGTGTACAGGCGTGTGTGAGATGGACGGGTGGAAATTTAATTAAATCCGCGAAACCGCTTAAGCTTTGATTACGGACCGAACAGTCGTGTAAACGCAGAGTTGGAACCGACCAGGGCATCCGTCATAGGAGCGGGCCGCGAGTGAAGAGGACAGGATTGGGAGAGTAACAAAGTGGAGCTTGCGCATGACCCGAAGGGCGCGCAACGCAGTCGCCGGTGACGGCGTACCCGAGAACGCCCCGCTCGCGCGACACATTATGGATTTGCCAGGCCGTCCGACGAGTTGCTCCGTCGTCGCTACCGCCGCCGCCGCCTTTACTGCTGAAGCTGATTCCACCGCCACAGCGCCGTCAGTCAACCCCGCGATATCGTCGGCGTTGGGCATTTAACGTTTCATTGAAAAAACAATAGTAATAGTTTTGCAGTTGACAGATAAATATTTGTTGTTGCGACGCGTTCGAGATGGACGACCGTCGGCGGGACCGAAATTGTACCGTTGACACGACTTCGGCCCATACTAGTGCGGCTCGCCGATGACCCAATCAGAGAAACGATCAGGGTGAGTGCCAAACACATTGTAACCCGTTTAGTATTAGTGACGGTCTCCGTAATGGAATTATGATGTACGTGGCGTGTCTGTGTACGCGATTGCCGAGTTTGCCGGACAGACTTGAAAAGTGCAGTAGTTAATTTTTGCACGGAGACGCGCCGCGTTATTTCCAAAACATCTATTTGATAAATTAGTTAGAAACGACAGTGTGGAAATGTTTGTGGAATACCACCGAAATCATTTATTTTTTTCATTTCAATTGAACATTAGTTCAATATTATAAGCTCTGAATTTTTTATTACGATTTCAAATATTTAGTGTTTTAAGTACCCGCGACCATAGTTTGTATTGTACTGTAGTAATAATAAAACATGAATTCAATTGGTCTTATAAAGTGAACAATTGAAACGGTGGGATTAAAAAACAGGAGCAGTAGGGTCGGCATCTGACTACCACACACCTATGACGGATGCATATTTCTATCAAATTAGACAGGTTGAAAAATAGTTTTCCCGCAAACAAATCGTATTTTTGATTTTGACGCGAACAAATCTCCAATTTTTTTAGTATAATATTTTATTATTGTATTCGTTTGAAATAAATAAATATTGTTTTTCGTTCGAAAACAATCATTTGTTATTGGCGTAATGTATAAAGATTATATAAAATCATACGTTTCAGACTTGGTTTGATGAAATTAATTGGTCTTACAACTATCCATTAAAATGATATGAAATAGACTTGAACCGCCGAGTATTTATGATTTACTGTTATAATCCTATTTCATTATATTAAAGAGGATCATTGAGGATTTTCTAGCGACTACTGTATTTATGAATATTTTTAACTTTATATCCACTAAACATCAAAATAAATTCTTCACTCCTACTCGTGTCTGTGCTAGTTGAAAAAATCCTATTAACTACAATAAAGTTCATTAAATAGTATAATTCATCTCAAGTCGAATTGAATTATTCAAGGAGTTCACTGTAGGTGTAATTTTCCCTTTAATCGCTTGCGCTTCTGCATTCTAGTAATTACTATTGTTATTGTCTCCTAATTAAACCTGTACGCGGCGTTTCAAACAAAGGAGAACCATTCGGTAAACAAGAAATCTCTATGGTTAGGGAGTATAATAAACTAGAGTTTTGTCCCCTTCAGTTTGGAATTTAATTAAAAAGTGTTATTGGATGAATACGTGAATGCAGCCATGCTGATAATGCAGTTGGCCACATTATAGGTGATGACAGGAGGACATCTAGCGAGGGTTACAAAGAATGCATAGAGGAGCGCATGGCACGTGTGCTGATGTAGTTCAAATGCACTCGCATAATATATTTTAATCACAATACACAATGATACCTTTGATAACGGCCAACAAGGGAAAAAATACAGGTGCCATTTATAAAAACCTTTAGTTGTTGACTGGTATTTCGCAAAATTATATATCAATAAAAGTATATATATATATTAAATATAAAATTCAGGGATAATTTATTTATAAACAGTAATTATACAATCACTTTATATCAGACAAAAATCAATAAATACAAATATTACACGGGTTTTGAAAGAGAAATTTTGTTTTTTTATTCAAAAAAAAATATTTCAAAGAAGTTTAATAGATGTTGAATTAATAAGAATTACTGTGATTTTTCTGAATTACGAACTTTACTGTTTGACTATTTTTAAAAAATTACACTTAAATTATTCATAGCAGTGCTCACAGTTGCATCTTATTAATAATTTTACTTGCAACTTATTAAAAAATTATTAATTAATCTAAACGTTTAATGTGATTATCATTTACATTTAATCTTATATTATCTTGAAAATAACCCTACAATAAAACTTCAAGTCTTAAATCACTCGACAATTTATTCAAAGCTATTTTTAGATGATAAATTTCAAAGAAAAAAATTACATTGAAGAGTTAAACGCTTTAATTAAATATTATTTTTGAGTAACTTGTTGAATCAAATCTATCTTTACACTAGAAATTCTAATTTAAGATACATAGTTATCTACATTTAATTTTCAATTCATATGTTTCTTCCTAAAAGCAAGAGAAAGTTGCTTAAAAAAAAAAAAAATTCTTATGAATATTTTCTTGTAAGTTATACCAAAAATATGTGATGTTTAATTATCCGAAAAAATTCAATAGAGTTGAAAGATTAATGTGATTGTCAAGAATAGAACTCTATCAGAAATCTTAATTTTATAACTTATCGTTGAAACATTACTGTACATTTAAGAAGGATGAAAAATAATTAGCATGAACATTTTAAACTTTCTCGAATCTAGATAATAGTTTTTTTTTTTAAATAACAATAATTATTGCTAAGTAATATACCAAATAGTTCCTAATCATGCTTGTATCGAAATATTCAAATAATGATGACTTTTGTTTTTTAATCATTTAATATTTCAATAAAAACAAATAATTTCTTAAAAACTGTGTATTGTTATATATATTATACGAAATTAAAGAATTACATTTTAACAACACTCATTTAATTATTAACCTGTAAATTAAAATTATTTTCTATTGCTCTGACATAAATCACAATTACAGTTCAATGTAAGCTGATGTTTATAGGGTCAAACGTGCGGAAAATGTATCGTACATAGCGACAATATCATACACATTATTCAAACTCGGGGTGCAAAACGTTTTCCAGGTGAATTAGCAAGTTGGAGTTAAATGACCCTGGCATACTATTAATTTCATATCTACTATCGTGTTGCTCTGATCAGAAAATAATATTTCCTTCCCCTTCTCGGCGTAGTTGCACAATTCCTATAACGTTTTACTTATACCATTATTAGGTCTTTGACTGTAAAAATTCAATTCACTTTTTAGCCGCCGCTCTTTGTCAGCCCAACCGAATTATTTCCTAAGTCAATAAGCCACCGTACACGTATTTTTTTGTCATTCATCACTGTCCCTCGCGTCCGATCACCGAGACCATCCATCTTTATTGCATACGGAATGCATTGCCCTCGATATTGGTTGGTATATTTGGTCGTGTGGGCGCGTTATTAAAAGGGCGTCTTCTTGCTATTAGTGTCGTCATCTCGACCAACACTAGTACACACGAGTCACAGAAACAGCCACCAGATGTTTGCAGCCGGTGAAGAGTACACAGACTGTTTTTATTATTAGACCGAATCGCGATAACGGACAAAGATGCGCCGGATAAGTGGCCCCGTCATGTGTTAAATTATTGTTTTAACCGTTTGGCGAAAGACGTCGGGGGAAAGATATCTTCGGGGGATAGTATAAGTCATTTAAAAGCAATACATACATCATTTCAGACTTGAGGAATAGCTATGCCGCACGGTTTTCAGCCTGCGTTTAATTACAATAGTTTCTAAACGTCTACGACGCACTGTTGAGCGAGGGGGCGGGGGTGTATTTTATCCAGCCTTTACCGTCGCATCCCCAGCCGACTTACTCGAATAGGCTTTTATTGATCCCTGTGCCGGTAGCGGCGGTGGCAGCGTCGGCGGCAACCACCGACACCCGTATCATCCCCGTTGGTGTGTACAATAGTATAAATCGTGCAGGTAGGTGCAATAAAATGAAATCGAAACACGGCCGATCGTAAAACTAAGCTGGATTAAGCTTAGCTCGAACAGTATCGGTGTTAAGATTGGGTGTGCCGAGCTAACGGTTGGGTTCGATGGATATTTCCATTAACACGTTGGTCGTAGGTAAGCCATTTATTACGGGAAAGGAAAAAAACACATAACGTATTTTGATAAAACGTGTCAAAAAGAGCGGTAACAATAAAATACGCTTTCAGTTTTTATTTCTACAAATAGAATAAAGTTTGTACTTTCAAATCGCACAATGCCCGTGTTTCTGCACTAACCATTTTCCGAGAGGAAATTCTTGTAATTGCAAGAGTCCGTTAAGCTTGGAAAGTTTTAAGAAACGAAAATAACCGATTAAAGCTAACTGCTGATGAGAATGTTGTCGCGACGTTTAACGGACGTCATAATAATAATAATAATAATCAAATTGCGTTGGCTCCATGAACGTGTTGGATGTTGATGTTTGCAAGACTCGATTGTCTAGATTATCATAATAATAATAATGATAAAATCTTCCAGTTGAGTGTAAACGGATTTTCATTTGATATTTTTATGCATCAACAATTTTTGACCGCCGAAAAAAATTCACGTTGATAGAAACTTAAAGAATAATAAATGAAAGTTATTGTAATAGATTTGGGCGATTTATAGAATAACTTTTCATTATTTTGAATAATTCGTAAGACAATTATTAATGTCTACGTTTTTTGCACAAGAAATCATTTTATTTTTATATATTCTTTTACTAGATATAAAATTGAAAAATGTCTGATTGTATCATAAAATGAATAATATAAATTACTTTTTTGAGTTATATTTAGTCCCGGAACAATATTTCTCTTTTTCCAGAGCTTATTTGAGAATCAAATTTCATTTTTTTTTTCGAGATTTAGTTTTATCCAGAAGATTTCATTTTGTAAAATATTATGTATTATATTTTAAATCGTTTTAATAATTTCTTTGAGATTGAAAGGTCACCTAAAATCTTTGAATATGTTCATGAATTTTTTTTTAAATTTTTAAAGAAAGAATAGATATAAAATAGTTTACACCGAACTGCATAACGTACGACAAGATATAATTTGGCAAAAATAAAAAATTAAAGTATCATTTTAGCTTTGATGAGAAGCTGAGAAGGTATTAATTTTACTATGATGTGTGTGTGTTTTTTTATTTTAATATTTTTTTGTATATGAAAGTTGGCACGTCATTTATTGAATAATGGTTGTTGTGTGTTCCATATTCAATTTAGATTATATCTTAAATTATTCGTGCACTAATGGGTAGGTACAAAAGTGCGTAAATGTAGGTAGGCGTTATCGCATTGCATTTTGCTTAAAAAAACTCGCAGTTTCGTTGGAATTTTTCAGCGTGTTATAGTTGGAAATATAAAAACACCTTCAATGGTGAAAAAAGTCTAGATTGCAATCTCGTTAGCTGATACAACTGGATAAAATATTTTTATTATTATTTTATATTGTACACTTGGCCCCAATATACTAGTCACGAATTTAGTTTTTGAGGTCGTAGTGACGACAGCCACTCGTTCTCCTCATATTATAAGCCCTGAAGGGACACAATTTCGTTATAATATAATAGAATATCTCTATTAGAAGTACTCTTGACGACCACCACGAATGTTTGGCGTGCGCAAACATTAATAATCCCAAACGTTGGTGTATTTGTTTGTTCGTTTCTTATGTTCGCTTTACGCAATAGATTATTGAACCAGAGCTTTTTTTTTGTGGTTAAATACGATAATATTGCATTTACATTATCAGAAACGAAAAATTTGTATATATAAATTTACCTCTGTTGCTCAAGTTTCAATATGATGATTTAAAGTCACAATACTCTTAAGGAGGAGAAATTGTTTTTCTTGTATCGTTTGTGCCACACATTTGATTATGAGACTAAATAGCTTTTGCAATGCTTTTCGACCAGAAAAACTTTGAATTATATTTCTATGACTTTAAACATTTAAAATATTCATAACATTATTGTAACAAACAATCTCACTCTATAATTGTATTCCTTTTATTCCATTATTTTTTTAAGATAAGTTAAAATACCTAACGTTTTTTAAAATGTATTTCACGTCATGTCTCTTAGTCCCCCAGGAATATGCATCAGATACACCGACATCAGAACTTTTTCCATTTCGTTTTAACGCAATAGCGTCTCGAAAGCATACCCGTCAAGTATTCTCCATGAATATGTTAACACTTTTTTATAATGTATATAATAATAGACCATCCAACCAAGTTAATTTCTGTGGAGAATTCGTCGCATAGATTTTTTTTTTTTAATAATAATAACAGGGGCAAAATTTCAAGGGTAATATAAATACAGCATAATATAATTTAAATATTGATCGTGAAAATAAAAACAACTTTGATGCTTGTGAATTATTAAAGAGCCCTTGTCAGGGTACATTTTTATCAAATTGAAAAGCAAACATATAACTTAAGTTGTTTCACTTTCCTATGGCCAACATTAATTCTTATTACATTAATTCAATAAAAATATACAACTTTTTGCATTTTAAAGGAAACGCCCTCCAATTCGAGCTTCCGGACCTAATGTTTCCTGTATGTATATTTACACAATAGAGTAGGGAGCATCAAGCAAGAGTGCCTGCACTTTATTGTTATATTTTAAATAAAGTTAGTCGAAAAGGGATGTCTGTAACAAGTTTTTTTATATTAGCCTTGGGTGCAAAAATAAACTTATCTGAGCATCTATTTGACTTGTTTGATTTATAGAAAGGCTGGTGGCCATAAATGTTTTTTTCTAGTATTTCGACAAGCCGCACATGTCGAAAACCCTTTTCTAACATCGCGTTATATTACAATAGCGTCATCCTTCATCGCGCACTTATTCTTGTCTTGTGAATTTCCAGTGAATAGCGTGAGCATTATGTTACACTCATCATCGAATAACAAACTAAAGGTTAAATATAATGTTAACTTTCGTTACAAACATTTTGAGAGTAAATTCTGTGATCATAGCAAAACCGCACTGAAACTTAATAGTACTGTGTGCTTACAATGCAAAACAAAAAATGAGTTAATGTCGTTAAAATATCGTTTGTTCGGAACATCGAGAGAATATTTGAGAATTGACGTGTGGAGTTTATTGAATTATTCCACTGGCACATCATGTTAAATGTTGTAAATTGAGCCTAAAACTAATAACACTCAGAATTACTTTATAATTTCGTTTGCGTCTTGTTCATTACAATTTTCTGGTAGTAAGCTTTTAAGTAACTATATAAATCAAAACAGTAAACGCAAGAACTAATGGTATTGAAATATTTTTAAATAAAAATAATATACTTATTAATTAATCATCAATACTTTTGCATTACAGTTATCGAACATTATAAAAAATATTAAAGTAATTAACTTCATTTTTCAGATTTATTTTTAAGTTAAAATTTAAATATTTGATAAGCAACTAAAAATTCACTGTCATAGATAATAAGATTAGAAAAGTCTAAGAAATGTAAAATAACATGTAATTAACCTCTCGATATGTTTTATTTATTATTAATTTTTTTTTTTTAAGAAACATTATTATAAAAAGTTAGTAATATAAAATTACTTATTTATTAAATCATATAAAGTTAAGAAACACTGAAATTTAAATGACCACTATAAATGTTAGTTTAAGTTGACCTTAATATTCTAATTATAACGTTACTCCCTTGATATTTTGACAAAGTTATAAACCCTGACGGTAAATAATACTATTTTGATAAAATGATAAATCAGTTATAATGACTAATTTAAAATTTTGTTGATATAGATTATTTTAAATGAAGAATTAGCAATTCCATATAGTTTTTATCGACTAAGGAATTGCGATGATGTTCCCGGGTGACATGAGCACTTCTTCTAGAGGAACTCCTCCAGTTCCAGTGTTCCCACTCAGGTCTACAGGTCACAGTTCGCAATACTCACCATATTCGACTACCAGATTCCAAGACATTCAACAAAAGTGTAATTTTAAATGCTCGTGGAAATGTAGTTTTTTGATATTGTTTATTGTTACGCTCATTGTTACATCATTCCTAATATATTTCATAAGTATGTATCAATTAAATAACCATAATTAAATGTACAAAAATATCTGTATATTTTAATATATTTTTTGTTCAGCAATGAAAAGTTCATGTTCAGACATCAAGGAAAAATGTGTCCTCATGGAAAAGGCTCGATCAATTGCTATGGATTCTGATAGTCCTCTTGGGTTTACCACTGAAAGTATGATAGCATCCATAATTTTGTTGCGTTATTATTTTTAATAAAATTAAATTTATTCTAGTACAATCAATAAGTACTACTACTGTTGCGAACTTTACAATTCATAGTAAGTCAAACATGGACGCCGTATCTGATGATCAAAGTGAGATGCATCGCCATCATACTCGAAATCAGTGGCCCTCATTACTAGAAATAACTAGCTTTAGTACGCCGTATAGTTCTATTGTTCATCCATACCACTTCTGGAATCTAGAGTTTCATAATAAGCAGCCTGTGTTCATGAGACTGAATCTGACACTTCCATGGGGTGCTAACTTTGCTGTTTACGGTCGTAGAAATGTAGCACCAACTATCACTCAACACGACTTTTCTGAGTTCGTAAAAGGTGGTCGATTAGAAAACCGAGTAAATCGAAGATCAATCGATGATCCCATGGAAGAAGATCCAATGGTTGTGAATGTCACACTAATTGAATATTTAGATGCGGGTCGGTGGTTCTTATCAATTTACAATGATGATCTTAGGCCGCATACAGTTATATTAAGACTAGCCGAGGCTGAAGATGTTACAACAACCTGTCCTAATGAATGTTCTGGTCATGGATCCTGTTATCTAGGCAAATGTGATTGTATAGATGGGTATCAAGGAAATGACTGTTCTAAAAGTAATTATTTAAAAATTAAAATTTAAAAAAATGACTAGTTTTTCAAATTTATTTGAAATTTAAAAAATATTTATACGTTTAATTTTTTATTTTATAAAATAATTAGGTGTTTGCCCTATGCTATGTTCCAATCATGGAAAATATGGCGGAGGTTTATGTCACTGTGAAGAAGGCTGGAAAGGTACTGAGTGTGATATACCAGAAACAGACTGTAGAGTGGCTGATTGCTCTGGACATGGTGTATGTAAAAATGGTGTTTGTCAATGTCATCAAGGGTGGAAAGGAGATGAATGTAATCAAGGTAAATGATTTTGGTTTGATATTATTACACATATTAGAATAGCAAATTTTGATTGATTTTATTTTAGCTGATTGTATGGACAAGAGTTGTTCTGGACACGGAATATGTATGTCTGGAAAATGTTACTGTAAAGCAGGGTGGCAAGGTGAAGATTGTTCGCTGATGAACAAACAAGTATTTCAATGTCTTCCTAGTTGTTCAGATCACGGTACTTATGACTTAGAATCAGGAGTTTGTGTTTGTAATAAGTTCTGGACAGGTCCTGATTGTTCACAAGGTTTGGTTTTCTAAAATGTCAATTTTATTTGATTTTATTAATGTAACTGTTTTTGTCAAAGCTTTGTGTAATTTAAACTGTGGGCCTCATGGTAAATGCGATCAAGGTAAGTGTGAGTGTGACGTTGGTTGGACAGGTGACAGGTGTGATCAACTTCCATGTGACGATCGATGCACGGAACATGGCCAATGTAGAAATGGTACTTGCGTTTGTTCGAGAGGCTGGAATGGAAAACACTGTACATTTCGTAAGAAGAAAACTAACTAACTCAAACCATATTAGTTTGAGTAAACTTTGAAAACTATTTTTTTTTTCAGAGGGTTGTAGTAAAGGTTGTGGAAATCACGGAAGTTGCGTAATGACTAACAATATATATGGTTGTGTTTGCAAAGAGGGATGGGCTGGTGAAAGTTGTTCAATTCGTTTGGAAACTGATTGTAGTGATGAAATCGATAACGACGAAGGTATGACTTTTTGAATACCTAAAAAAATATCTTATAACTTCTTTAAACAAAAAATTTATAATAATTTTATCTATGTATAATTACTACTATATATGTTCAATAGACGGCATGACTGATTGTTCGGATAGTGAATGCTGTAATTCACCATCGTGTGCTGAGCACATTATGTGTTTAGCATCAAACGATCCAGTTGACGTTCTTCTCAGAAAACAGCCACCATCAGTGACGGCTTCTTTTTACCAGAGAGTTAAGTTTTTGGTCGAAGAACACAGTGTTCAGAGTTATGCCCATTTGGACGAATATAGTGAAAGGTAAGTTCATTAATAAAACAATAAAATGAAATTTTTATATCTAAAAATTATCATGAACCACTATACACACAAACCCACGCCATTAGAGAAGTAATATCATCAATGCCTGTAACGTCGTATACTATGAAAAATCATTTTTATTGTTGCTTAATGGGGTTAAATAATATTAGCACTGAAATATTGTAAAAACAATCATGTTTAATGAAATCACATAATGTATACTATAGAATTTATAACAATTATATTGTACAGAATAGCACTAAACATTATTTAAATTAAAAAAACAAATAATAATTAAATTTTATTTTATTTTAAATTAAATTTTTTCATTCATTGATCTTAATGATTATATTGTAAAGATTTACCTTAGTAAAAAGTTAAGGACTGTTTTAGTTAATTTTACTAGGACTTCATCAAGATTAAATTTACACTTAATCAACCAGTGATTTAATCGAATTTTATTTTCTACTGTTTGTTTTTACCAAATTTATAAATACGAAGTCATACTGGGAGAGACTCATTTTTTTCCTTAAACTATTATTATACGCTATTGATCAATTTTTCCAATTTTTTTTTTATTTATTTTCAACACTGTGTTGTGTGTGTTATCGCTTTTATATAGATATGTCAAAATTCCATTGTGTACGTCTCAAAAATAATTATTGTGGTTCATTCTATCTTTATATTTTGTAATATTATGTAGCTGCCTGTGTAGTACCCTTCAATATAATTATATATTTATTCCAAAATGGCTTAGCTTTCAGCAAATTAATACACATGACGCCATTTAAGATTATTACTTAAAATAAAATATTATATCATCGTTATTTTGGCAATCTCAATAGCCAATTAAAAAGGTATTGAGAGATGCAGGTGGAGTTCGTTTCATTGCATTCGGTTATATTGTCTGTCCTTAACTAATACATGAATACTTAATTTAAGACAGTTAATGTGGTTTAAACTAGTTAAAACTGTTAATTGTTATTGATCATTAAAAAAAAAACACGCAACACAATTAGAAATTATTGGGGCTAAGCACTTCTTGGCACAAACATAATTCAATATGAATATATCTAAATAAATAATTATACAATAAACATAATTAGCGAAACGCATGAGGTTTAATATAAAATATTTTTAAACATTTAATTTAATTTAGTCGAAATTTTGTTCGTTGCTCTGACCAAAGATAAAAAAACCTTTTATATTATTAAAAATGAGTTATCCATAAACGTTAATAAACGAACTCTGCCACATTACTCCAAAATTCATACAAAAATTCTTTAAACAAGCAAATATTTGAATAAAACTCAATGTTATTCAATTTTCAATATTCAAATTTAATACTGCAATTTAAACTAAAAAAAAGTAAATTTGAAATCAACTAGGAATATTAATTTCTCATATGTTGCGCTTTACATTCTAGCTAAGTAACAAATTATTTTATTGGTCATTAACAAGCAAAATTTCTTCAAATTAACTTTATTTTAGATAGGCATCTTTGAAAACAGTTAGACATTAAGTTTTTAGTTATAAATATAATTATATTGTACAGTATTATTGGTAACACTCCTTCTCTTTTTTCTTTCTCTTTTTCTGTTTTTCTATTGTTCGTACTCGTTCACTCTGAAAATGAATATGTACCATAGTGAATTTTGGAACTCCTTTACACCTGGGTAAGTCTAAAAAGTATAAATTGTAATCATTTTGTATTTGGTTTTTATTTTAATATTTCATAAAGCTTGTATTTGATTTTCTCTGACAGCACATAGTCAGATTGCTCATCATTTTATTCTCATTATGATAAAGAGTAATACTATCTATAATACATTAACTATGAGAAATAAATTTTCTTTCTAAACTTTAACATATTGTTTTTAAAAGTTGTTATTTATTGTTTGCAAACTTGTTTAACCCAAAGTACAAAGTAACATTGATTTATACAATATTTTTATTCCAATGCTGGAATGTGTAGAATTTTGTTGACAAACGTTGTTATACATTTCCTGTACTCCCAAAATCATCTTTATTATTGATTACCGAATTTGATGTTCATATAAAATAAATCTACACATCAAATAAGGTAACAGCATGGGAATATGAATTTAGGGTACTATTGTCATATCCGAAGCCCCAAATTGAGATTAGATAACTGTAATGTTAACTTGGCTCCACCTGCAATGATTAAAAATATTAATTATTAAGAAAAAACGAAGAAAAATTATGAACATGATCGGCCAAAATATGCTGTTTCTTACTAAATTTGACCGATTTATATAAAAATAATAGTAATATACAGATCAACTGTCGCTTTCGCAAATACATTTACCAGTACTTACAGGTATCTACAAATATATAATAAATATATTTTTTTTGTTTTGTGTCTATGTGTCGTCCAGTAGTGTTTTAGCATAGGCATTAGAAGCAAATTATTTAAATAATAATAATCATATTTTTATAGCATTAAAAATGATAATGTATTTTTATAATACGATTACAAATTTGATATTCAATAAAAAACTATTTCAAAACCTGTTATATTTTAATGTTTAAAATTTTTTTTCATAAAAATCTAATATATTTCTTTACGTTATACATATAAAATAATTATTCCACCCGAGCAACACAGTCTACTGTTATGTTCACAATATATTATTCAATATTACCATGCTGCTGCCTTAATGTGATTAAATGTCTATAACGTTTAAAGAAGGCAGCTTACTCGTTTCAGTTTACCGACAAGCATTGTATTATTTTCTAGCAAAACTCAACATATGTAGTAGCTTATTTCAAACTATTATTTTAATAGCTAATTAAAAAAGTTTAATAGTAACATCCGTCTATTATTCAAGCGACATTAAGTTAATATTGTGTATGATAAAGTTTGATATTCGACTTCGAAAATTAACTATATTTATTTAAAACTAATTGTTTGAATGAAATTAATATTTTTATGAGTGCTTATTGATGATTATTTTTATCAGTATTTAGTTTATTAAAAATGATTTGATCCAAAAAGTAACCATTTTCTTTTTTTTATTCATGTCTTTATTTCAAATAATATAACAATTAAATCATGTTTTTGTAAATTTTGAATCCTATCCGAAAAATTCTTTATTTATAATAATTTACCAAAAAATATGATTGTATATGCATGGCTAACAATTTGTAATTTAAATTAATTTACTCTGATTCGTTTGCTTAACTAATAAAAAATGCATGTGCTTGTAAAAATATCGTATAATAATAAATTCGTGAATGATAGTAAATATTAAACTCAAATGTAATAACATACGTTGTAAGACAACACCATCACAATTCGCATGATTGATTTACATTGAAAAAAATTAATGTTTAAGAAAATTAACCATTTTTTTATTCATAATAAATATACATTTTTATTATAAAAATGAAATTATTGTTTTACTCCTAAATTAGAATAAACATTGATGGAAATATAATTTAGTGTAACAATTAATTTTAAAAGCTACAAGACAAATTGGAAATTTATTAAATATTATATAATGCTTGTTTTATTTAAATATTGTGATGTCTTTGAATATTTTGGTATGTCGTCCTTGTTTTTGATAATTCTAAAATTGATTTGCTAGTAATCTCTAACTGTGAAATTTTTACATAAAGTAAGTTTTACATGTACGTAATTTATATTTCTATATTAATGTGACATAAATTATGAGAATTCATAATTACACAAATAAAATTACATATTTTCTAATATAATATTAAATAATTGAATATGTATAATTCATTTCATATTTAGCCACTGACTCTACCTGATAACCCTACTAGACGCTTCAAAGAAAATTGGGTTACGACCTACTTGATTCTTAGAAAATTAATTTCATTAATAGTACTCATTCAATGTCTATAATGTGAGATTTTCTTCCATATAAATTACTTTTAGTAAAAGTAAAAAAAAACTTATTAAAGACATTTGTATATATTGTATTAAATCGAAAGTTTCCATGATTAAAAAAATAATAATAAAGTAGAATGGTACTTAACCTAAGTTAAGTTATTTCAAAACAATGTGTGTTGAACAAATAATTATTAAAAAATTAATTTTTTTCTAGATTTTTGATGAGTTAACGATATTATATATTTTAATCATAATTATATTTTAAAAAATAAATGGTGAATGTATCACCAAATTATTTAAAATCTTTAATAATAAATCGAAAAAATCCTAATCTATATAAAAAAGATTAATTTAATTTTAACTAATATAAAAATGGTTAATTTTCTTATTATTAAATTATCCATTTAAGTGAATTTATTATGTAATATTAATTGATCTAATTAAGATGTTTAGATTATGTAAATTATATTTTGTTATAGACGTGTTTCTGTTGTTCGTGGTCAAGTACTGTCGCCCCAAGGGTTGGGAATCATTGGAATTCGTGTGTCTGTTGATCGTGATTCAAGATTTGGATTTACACTTACTAGAGCTGGTGGATGGTAAAAATTTATATTAGCAATCAATTTCGATAAGTTTTATCTTATTAAATATATAGGTTTGACGTTATGGTTAACGGCGGAGAAGCGGTAACTCTTCAGTTCCAGAGAAGTCCATTTAAACCACAGATAAAGACTTTATTCATTCCGTGGAATCAAATAATATCTTTAACGCCAATCCGAATGACATTAAACGAAGAAATAGACTCTTATAAAGAATCTACAATGGATAATAATGGTACTACAATAATTTTAAAATCCATTCTTTATCGTCCAATGTAAATTTTCAAAAAATTATATTTCAATATAGGCATGCTGTATGATCAGAATCTATTCAATGTCACGCCATGTATAGATCATAGAGAAATCCCTCAAATTGTGTCTACATGGCTTCCAGAGAAAGTTGGTGGAATGCCGGGTAAAAGTGTTATTTTCGCAGAAACTCAGGTAAAAACAATTACACAGTTCAATTTCATTTTATAAACATAAATTACCTTACTTTATTAAAATATTGACAGTTACTTCAAGAGAGTATAAGTATTCCTGGATCAAATCTAAATTTAATATACAGAAGTAGTTGGGCAACTGGTTATTATTCTTATTTAATAATACATCTCACTCAATCCGACATCTCGCCCCATTTAAAAGTTGTTCATATAACCGTTGAAATTGAAGGCTCTGTTTATAATCATAAACTAGAAGCAGATCCAAATTTGAAATATACATTTACCTGGGATAAACGAAATGTTTATAAGCAAAAGGTGAGATTAAAGTAAATAATAATATTTATATATACAATACATTTTTTATTTAATTTTAAGGTTTATGGAATTGCAAAAGCTAAAGTATCTGTAGGCTACGAGTACATTAATTGTAATCAAATTGTATGGGAAGTTCAAATGACTGTTTTACAAGGATTTGACGTTGATATATCCGATATAGGTGGATGGAGTTTAGATGTGCATCATCATTACAATTTCCACGAAGGTTAATCTTGTAGTGATAAATATCATACAGAGATAATTAATAAAACATTTTTTATATTATAGGTATTTTACAAAAAGGTGATGGTTCAATTTTATACTTCAAACATCAATATCCTCATACATTACATGTTGTTACTGGTACTGGACTTCAAAGACCGTTAAATTGCAAAGATTGTAATGGTATTGCGAAAGATACTCGACTCTTATCACCTATTGCGTTAGCTAGTGGTCCTGATGGCAGCTTGTACGTTGGTGACTTTAACCTTATAAGAAAATTAACTCCAGAAGGAAATGTCTTCACAGTTTTACAATTAAGGTAAAATTAATTATAATTTTAATTTTTTTTTTATGTAACCCTTTTATAAAATTTAGTTGTTATTATAATTAAAAAAAACTTATTTTATTATTTTAATAAATTAATACTCATAATTTGTGCACAATTTTTTATTTATTTCAGTGCCACACAAGTATCATATCAATATTACCTTTACCTATCTCCAACTGACGGATATCTTTATGTTTCTGACCCTGAAAGACATCAGATACTTCGTGTAACAAATACTAACTCTGTAGCAGATCCTACTGTAAATTATGAAGTTTATGTGGGCTCCGGAGAACGTTGCATACCTGGAGATCATAATAGTTGTGGCGATGGAGGTTCTGCAATAAACGCAAAACTATCAAATCCAAAAGGTTAATAATTATTATTTTATCAGTTCAAAATAATTATTATTTAACAATTATTAAAAAATTACAAAAACATATTTATTGCTACAAATAAGATTCATCTATCATATATTTTTGTAGGTATTGCTATATCATCAGATGGAACATTGTACATAGCTGATGGCACAAATATCAGAGTAGTAAACAATCAAGGTATCATCAAAACATTAATTGGTCATCATAAACATAACAATATTTGGCAACCCATACCTTGCAAAACTTCATTGCCAACTTCTCAAGTAAGTTAACATTCATAACTAATGTAAAAAAATAATAAAGACTAATGCTTAAAGTATTACTTAATTTGTATGTCATATTTTGTTTTATTTCAGGTACAACTTCAATGGCCTACTAATCTAGCACTGAATCCATTAGATGAGAGTTTACATATAACTGATGATCGGATAGTATTAAAAGTAACCAAAGACAATCGAGTAAAAATAATAGCTGGATCTCCATTACATTGTTACTCAAATAATGATGCCAATAAAGACTCTTTGAAAACAACTGTTAACCAAGATCTTATGTCTGAGTCACAGAAAGCTACTGAAACGGCTCTTGGAACAATAGTTGGAATAACATTTAGTCCTTACGGTGATTTATATGTAGCGCAAAGTGATTCACGAAAAATTAATTCAATTAAAGTTATCAATTCAGCTGGTTATATATCACATTTCGCTGGATACCAACAAAATGAAAATTTACAAAAGTAATTTAAAATAAAAAAATTATTTATTTCTTTAAAACTATGTTTGTTTTGAAATTTAGGCAATGTGATTGCGACAACACCAATACTACTTGCCAGTGTGGTAATGGTTCTCGTGAACACTTGCTCTCAATCACAGCCAAGTTTACTACGATATCAGCTATAATAGCATCTCCAGATGGAGTACTGAACATAGCTGACCAAGTAAAAAAATAATTTTACTAAATTTTTACAATATTTATAAATACCTTAAATTTTATTACTAAAATGTTATGTTTTTTTAGGGTAACCTTCATATACTTGCACTGAAACCGTACCTTCCATCCCATGATTTGAATGGTGAATTTCAAATACCTTATCCCGCAACTGGTGAATTATATGTATTTAATAGATATGGACAGCATATTTCTACTCTAGATTTGATGTCTGGAAAAGTCCGTTATACTTTCTTATACTCTAAAAACACAAGTTTTGGAAAATTGTCTACAGTTACTGATGGCTCTGGTAATAAAATGCTGTTTTTGAGAGACTACAGCAATGTGGTAAGTAATTTAGGAAAATTTATTAACGATATCTTACAAATTTTATATTTAGATAAATCTTCCTACAACACGATATCTTTTAGGTGAGTGCTATTGAAAATTCCCAAGACTATAAATCAGAATTAGTGATATCTGGTGCTGGAAATTTAGTGAAGTTTTCTGAAAAAGGACGTTCTGAAATTACATTTAATTATGATAGCAACTCGGGTCTATTAACCAGCCGTTCTGATTCCACAGCTGAAGTATGTATAAAAAATTGATATTTTTAATTAATAGTTATTAAATTATTTTATCACTAAACTAAACTAAATTATTCCCTAATAATAGGGAAGCTCACTATACATTTATAACTACGATCAACTTGGACGTCTTGTTAATGTTGTTTTACCGACTGGTGAAATATTTGAATTATCTTCGCATATATCTATGGAAGACGATAGCTTTGAAGTGAATGTTTTCACTCCTTTGCACAACCCAATCAGCTTAATGTCATTAGATGGTCATAATGATCAAATAACCATTAAAATGGAAGGCAATGACTATAAAAAACTAATTGTTAAAAATAGTATGAAAATTTAATTCTAAATTATAATGTATAAAACGATTGATGATTATGTTAATTACTAGGTGCATCTTCTATTAACGAGGCCATCAACTTTAAAAATGGTTCATTTATGTTCAGATCAAGATCTGGTGAAGTTGTTCAATGTTTTGCTGAATCAAAGCATCCAATATTAGAATTGTCATTACCTGTTGAAGCTGAAATGTTACCGGTTTTTAATAGACAAGTTTCATCGCGGGGTATTCTATCGAACACAATTTTGTGGACTTACTCTCTTGTTGGTGATGCTGGCTCGTCTAAATCTATAATAAGGAGAAAACTAACTGTATATTTTTCTTTTATTCACATTTTTTAAATTAGTCAACTAAAATAGCCTTTTCATTTTCAGGTCAATAATAGTTCGGTTCTAATCATTGATTATAATCAATATTCAAGAGTAGAAACCATTTTTAGTAGTGAGAGACCTTCTACTTCATTACTTAGTATTTCTTATAGTCCAAATGGTTTACCTCTATCATGGACTATAGGTTCATCAAAACATCATGTGAATTTAACGTATGATAGGCAAGTAAATCATTTCAATTTCATAATTTTTTAATATATACGGTAACTGTATATTAATTAATTTGAAAAAATATTAGATTTAATCGATTAGAATCTTGGAGCTGGGGTGCTATTAATGAACATTATAAATACACCCATCATGGTCTATGCATAGAAAAATTCTTAAGTCACAGAGGGCCTATTAAATATATTTACAATGCATGGAATAGGGTAATTAAAGTATACTGATATATATTTTAACATAATTTATTAAAAATGTTAATGTGTTTTTAGATTTCTGAAATTGAACTTCCAACCAAACGCAAATTTGGTTATTTGTATGATGAATCTGGTGGTTTAAAAAACATAGTCTTACCTTCTGGAACCAAACATACTTTCTCGTCTCAAACATCATTAGGATTTATAAGATTTACCTACACCCCGCCAGGTTCAACAAGATCTTATTTGCAACACTATAGCTATACAGGATGTTTGCTACAAACCGTTTATCCTGGTGACGGTGCTCGTGTTTTATATAGATACCGTAGCTCTGGACAGTTGTCACAGGTGATTAATTTTTTTCTGCATATATTTCTTTTCTTTTTTTATTAATTAGTTATAATTGAAATCTACCTCTCTAACCAATTGATTTTAAATATTTTTGTAGCAAATTTTTGTTATATTTTTATTTTATAGGTTGTTCATGGAGATGGTATAACTAAAGTAAAATATTGGACAAATACTCAACTTCCTAGCCAAGTGCTTAATATTGAAAATGACTTTGAATATCGTTGGGATTATCAGTACAATGATGGTTTATTAATAGAAGAAAGAATTGACTATGGTCCTAAAACAGGATTAAGCAATGCTAAAATTACATATGAATACGATAATAATTTCAGAGTAACATTGATTGAAGGACGTATAGGTGGACAAAGTTTACAAGAATATCGCGTGCAGTATAATCCAATAACAGGAAAAAAACAGATATTTGGACAATTTGAAGTAGAATTAATACTAATATTACAATTTAATAAAAATTTTAATTTATATTCTAATTTTAGATATTAAGCAGTGGTAATATCACTAAAATAACAGATGGTACTGCGACATTTAATCGCATGACCAACGACTACTTCCAAGAAACTTACGTGTCAGTTATAATACACCAAATGGAAGTTTTTCGCATGGAATTTGTATACAATTTAGATAGTCGTATTGTACAATCTCGCACTTACACTCATAATGTAGGAATTAATACTTATACAATAGTTAAAAACTACACTTATGATGCGGATAGTCAACTTTTGTCCGTTGACGCTCAAGAACCTTGGAGTTTTAAGTACGACCAGAATGGAAATATGTTAGCAATGACTTACAGGTATTAAAATAAAATAAAATAATGATAAACACATAATTTACTATAATAAATTACTTGTAGAGGAAATATGATTCCAATGGAACATAGTGTCATGGATCGTATAGAAAAATTCGGTGAAGGACTTTATCGGTATAATAATCGCGGATTAGTTGTACAAAATGCAAGAGAAGAAAAATTCCATTACAACTCTAAAGGATTACTAGTAATAATTATTATTTAAAATTATAGTAGATATTTTTAATATTTTAATTTTTAATACTTTAGGTAAGAGCTGTTAAAAGAGGTCGTTTCGATGTACGATACTACTATGACCATTTGAATAGATTAAGTACTCGCAAAGATAACTTTGGAAACGTAACGCAATTCTTTTATACCAACCATAAAAATCCAAATGAAGTAAGAAGATGGTTTAAAAATTTTTATTTAGGTCACATTAATATTTCTTTTATATATCAGGTCAATCAAATATATAGTCCTCGAGATGGAAAATTAATGTCATTGACTTATGATGATCGTGGCTTTTTAATTTATGCTCAAGTATTCAGACATAAATACTATATAGCTACTGACCACTGTGGTACGCCAGTAATGATATTCAATCAATATGGGGAAGGTATTAGAGAAATGATGAGATCTCCCTATGGTCATATAGTCTATGATTCCAATCCATACTTATACTTACCTATTGACTATTGTGGAGGACTATTAGATCAGGTACAAAACTAAAATTTTAATATTGTTAATTAAAGAAATAAAAAGTAATATATATATATATAGGTTACATCTTTGGTACATATGCCGGATGGTAAAGTTTATGACCCTCTTGTTGGGCAATGGATGTCACCGCAATGGGAAGGAATGTTATCCAAAGCTACTGAACCTCAACAACTTCATCTATATAGATTCAATGGAAATGACCCTATTAATGTTGCTCCTACAAGACAGTATCTTAAAGGTGAATTGACTAATACAGTTTTTTTAGGTTTAATTTAATTTTTATATTCTAATAATTTTGTTGTACAGACGAGAAACATTGGTTATCGTTAGTGGGTTATGATTTAAACTCTGTAATGCCTCAAATGCCACAGTCTATATCAACATTCCCATCGCTATTGCCATCTGTTTCGCCTATTCTAGGTTCGACACCTTTAGATGTAACGTCTGTGTATTTCAATAATTTAAATAAGTTACTAAGCAAACGCAAATTAACATTCTTATCCGAATCGAAAACGCATGCTGAACCTGCAATCAACTCTTTTAAAGAAAAATCAAAATGGCTGGATCCAATGTGGATTACGTTTTATATGAATGAATTAGAAGAACCAAAAAATCGAGGTCCCAAAGCTCATGGTGATGACCCAGGAGCATCTTTGGTGCCCCTTTTTGGAAATGGAATTCTCTTGTCTAGATCCGATGACGGCCGAGTTGTCGTGCAAAGTGTACCTAATGCTAATCCAATCTACAAAGACGTATTCACTTCAGTTTTTAATGATACATTTTTACTACCATTTAGCTTGGTTATGCATGGTGCTCAGCAGGATGCATACTACTTTGTGAAAAAAGACATATGGCATGCCAATGAAGACAAGGTACAATTAAAGAGATTTGGTACACAGATGAATACCACGTTTCATGAAAAAGAATCGGACAATAATTCTGGAAAGGTATGAATATACATAAAATTATACAAATAACATTATTCAATAAATAATTTTGTTGGATTTTTTTTTAGGTAGTCGACGTAAGAATACATTGCACAGACACCGTGATGAATCTACGTTATGGTACAACATTGGATCATGAAAAACAACGATTATTACATCATGCTAAAACAGCAGTGATGCGAAAAGCATGGCACCGCGAACGAGACTTATTGAGATTAGGTTTACCTACTAACAAAGACTGGACCACAGCTGAAGTAGATGAAATACTTAAATCAGGGTATGCTAGTGGATTTGATGGCGAGTATATAAGAGATATCGAAAGATATCCAGAACTATGTGATGACCCTTATAATATAAGATTTATCAAATCCAACTAAATAATTATTAAATAACATCATTGAAATTATCTTTTGTTCAATATTTTTCTGTAAATAAGTTTTTATAGATAAAAACTTAAACAAGATATTAATATATATGTTAAACACACTATACTCTGGAACAATGGATTTCATGAGAAGTATTACCATATTATTGAACGTCCCAATTCGTATTATTTTATACAAAATCAACTTTTCTTTTGTACAAAATTTTACATATTAATTCACTATCTATTACTATAATTTGTAAAAACTTCCAGTAACACATTACGGATTGTAAATAACAATTTTGTTAATAATATTTTTAATATAAATATTTTGATTTTGGCTGAAAAACGAATCAAAAATATCGTTTTGTTAATTTATTTTTATATAAAATGAGCTGAGTACTGGATTTTTTTACTGTTCGTCCATGTTGTTATGATGTGAATACCTCGTGATATTTTTATTTAATTTATGTAAATTTCTGAGCCGTGTTCGTGTAATTATAATATTTTACAAATTATTGGTGTTATTTATCTCATTTGATTTTCGACGTGTCCAGATGTTTATAACATTATGATTTTATTATTAACAATAACATAAAAATATCTATGTAAATTTTTAAAAAATAAACGAACTGCTCTTGTGCAGTAATTATTTACATAAAACAACAAACTAATTTTGTTTTCCTATCCTTTTAAAATTTTAATAAATACATACAAAATTAAATTATTAAAATAAGAAGTCACTATATTAATTAAATAATACAATAAATTAGAAAAAAACTACGTAAACATTAACTATAGTCTGCTAGTTTTTGTTTTAACATTTTTTGGAACATCAGAAACTGAAAAAGGATTTATAATATTTGACAATTTATCTTCTAAATCAATAAATTTCTCACCTAATGATTCGATTTCTCTTTCCTTGTTACAAACAGTGTAAAAAGTATTAGTAAGAAATAATAAAAAAATATGTTTATACTTATACAAAAATTTAACAGGAAATTACTTTTAGAAGTTTGAAAATATCTCGATTATTCCACGGAAGAATTGATGTATTAGTTGATTTTTTTTTTAACAAAATTTTAGGTTTTTCAATTACATCTCCGTGAACTTGTCGCATTAGTTTTAATTGCATATCTCTAGTAGTATCGCTAATATTTGATAATTCTGTTTTAAGAGATTTTCTAGGAACATTAGTATTTTGTGGTTTAATTGAATTGTTTTTTTTAATAAAGTTTTTGTTGAATTTTGGTATTTTGTCTTTATCCCTGTGAATTAAATATTATTTTAAACTTAAATTTTATAACAACACTACGATCAAAAAAAAATCAACACAGTGGGATTGGTGGAACAAGTAAAAAAGATATCTATCAGTGATTAACACCAATGTTATAAAAAACGCTTCAAAGCGAATCTCTTAAATGTTTTGCTAAAATAATACATTTTAAAGTTAAATAACTCATGGGACAAAACATCGCCAAGACGTTTATCCTTTGTTATTAAAAATGTTTAGTTTGACATATATTTCACTTTGTCAGATGCCCAGGAAAATTTACAAAAATTGAGTTGAAAAAAATAATTTGCATGTCTGTGTGGTCTCTTTCAAACTTATCCTCTACTTAAGTTTTTCATTAAATTTTCATGAAAACCATACTAAAAGATAGCTTATTGTTTTTAGTATACTCTATTAAAATTTAATTGGGATTAATTTTTTGAAAAAAACAGTTATAGTAGTATTAAAAAGCAAAAAAGAATTTTAATTTGATATTTTAAGATAACATAATTTATTATTTAAAATTTGAGGTTTTTGAAATTTTCGACAATGATAGATGCAACAAAATTATATCGATTTCTTTTGACTTATAGACAAACAAATTTGTACTAATAATAGATGAGAATTTATTAAAATGGACAGATATAAAAAAAACCCACACCATCACAAATCTATCACTTCAGCTTCGTACCGAGGCTAAAAAAATTATGTTAATTATAATAATATTTTATAAGAAAATATTTCATTTTTACCGTTCTAAGGTAGTAATTTTAGAAGTAGATGTATCATTTGTATAACAACCAGACATACCCCTTACAAAACTTCGTCTTCCTCCATAACTCTTAAACTTCAATATTTCCATCTGTGATTGCAGTTTTTTATATTGATCAGTCATATTCTTAAGTTCTATTTGCAATTTTTTAACTTTATTTGTTTCTTCAGCTAATTGAATCTGGTAGTTCTTTTTCTGATTTTCATTTGCACTCGTTAAAGCCTAACATAAAGTATACGTATATCAATTATAAAATTATTTATCCTTATAATATCAAATAATATATTATATTCTAGTCTAGATAAATTATGTATTTCTTACTAGAATATTTTTATCTAGTTCTTTAATTAATTCTTTGTTTTCTTCTAAATGGCTAGAGAGCTTTTCACGTTCTTCTAATTGCTTATTTTTTGATAAGTCTAACAAATGTTTATAATTTTTTTTTATCTCAAGAAGTTCGGTATTTTGTTGTTTATAGTCGTCTTGAGATTTTCTCAATTTGTTTTTCAATTTTTGCATGTAATAATGCATCATTTTTAAATCATCCGTATAAGTTATTAAAATTTGCTGCATGTCAACTGATGTCTGACCATATCGAAATAATGTGTTTTCATGTTGTCTTTGTAAAATTTTTAACTGGCGGTTTTCATTCTTTAACTTCTGGATAAAATTATTTTTTTTTAATAAAACTTAAAAGACTATCTACATAGTGATCGATTTATCATATACCACTCGATTACTAGCAAAATAAATACAATATTGGAGAACAATTTTTTATTTGTTTTAGTTACCTACAATTCTTGATTTATCATTAATAATTACTCATTAGAATCAACGCTTATAACTTAAAGTGGTATCAACTTTATTATTTTAAATGGGAATATACATATTCAATTAACTGAATAGTCACTAAAATAAAATAACTAGACAGAGTTATAATTTATGAACAAATGTTTCAAAAGTTTTTAACAATCTAAAGTAAGGTAGGTAAGTAAGTAGGTGCTCCTATTTTTATCACTACTTATATTCCGAGCGTACTCTTCAGCGCGCATAGGTATGCAAATGAAAATAACACACAAAATACTGGTTAAAAAGTTGTTATCGATCAGTCATTTTCTTAATTAGATAATTTTATATTCTATAAGTTAATTAAATATAATGTTACCATTTAATAAATAGTTAACCCTCATTTTAAGTTATATGGGATGATACTAAAAAGTTATTATTAGCTGATAAATCAAAATAAATTAAAAATGGTTTTTACAAAATTATATATTAGTTTACGATAAACCGATCACCGTGTATATCAATATCAAATTCTTTTTAAGTTCATAGCACGTATATATTCTTATTTTAGAGGTTTTTTAATTTTTATTTCTCATTTTTCAATAGGAGCTATCATAAAAAAAAATTGTGACTTATTATAGGTTTGATAAAAAGGTTTATCAATGGGAGAATGCACAGCCCTTACGGTCCCTCTAGAGTCATTATGTCTGCCTTTATTGATAATACTGCCAAAAAAATTTCTTCAGAAAATTTAATTTTAAACTATACTATATATTGTACTGTTCTTGCGATTAAAAATAATCTAAGACATATTTATCTGAATTCCATAAATAGATTCATTTTTATTCAACAATTATTTAAAATTTTATTGGTATTAGATGGGTATCATTACTAGCATTTCTTTTTTATAACATATATTAATATTATAAAGCATAATATATTTTTACTTACTTTAATTTGAAGTTGGTACTCGGATCTTTCTTCACGTTTTGAACGCAACATTATTTTAATTTTTAGCTATTATTCGTTTAAACCAAAATTAAATAAAATAAAAATTTTAATGGCTTACTGTAACATATATATTTTTAGCCGATTTAAAAAAAAATAGTGGTAATGGAAGAAGCACTAATATCGTGAGAGACAAGTATTACCTTCTCTGTTACTAAGGGAACTATTCTAAAACAAAATTAAGAGAATAATAAAATCGATAAAGTTCTGAACTATCGTAAAACATACCTTAAATAGCAAAATATAAGTAAAGAAAAACTATCAATAAATTATAAACAGTGCAATAAAAATGACATTATTATCTTATTCGTAAATATTAATATAAACATACATAAAAAATCATTTATATCTACTGCATATTTGTTTCTTATTCCCTTATAGTCATACAGAACCATTAAAATTTAACAAACCTTTAATTTAATAAAATATTTTAATAATATTGATATTTTTTTTTCTTTTAGTTACATATTTTTCTCGACTTATCAATTAATTTATTCATCTCTTATACCATATAAGACGTTAAATTTATTTGTTCAAATAGCAACATACCAAATTAACTCACTTATTTATCAATAATTATCAAATTAAGAAATCATAAAGGAAAATGTTTCAACTTATGATAATTGTTATTAAACAGTCAATGTTGATATTTGTATTTTTTAATTTATATTGAAATAACATTTTGGATACTGGTTAGATATATCCAATTTTTTTATTGATAATACTTCAAAATATGATTCCACAAAACTTGACTTCTAAATTAAAGCTAATGCATTGTATTTAAAGATAATTAATAAAAAACTCACTGAAATCTTATTTTCCAGAAATTATCAAGCATTAACAATAGTATTTTAGTTTTAACAATACCAAAAATCATACAATTTCAGCATGACATTTTTTCTTTGTCATGTACTCGGTGTTCTTAAAGACCTAAGTACGTAGAACATTCGTTATAAAATATTTTGATTAATTTGTTTATATTTTTAACTTGAGATACCATTGATAATGATTGTATATATATATATATATAATTTTCATGATATTGAGTAATGTAGATGACTGTAGTATTTCATCAATAAGTGAATTACATAAGTACACCATTCAATATTTGTAAATGTAAATCAAACATAAGTGTGATTATTATGTGGATTACATCATTAATAATTTGTTGCAATATTAGTAATACATTATAATTATGTAAATTATATTTTTATTCACACTGATAATTTTTGATGTTATGCTTTGAGTTGTCTTTCTAAAAAAAAACATGATTAATAAGGAATCTTATTATATAAAAATTATTTATATCACGTTTGATTTTAGCTTCGATGCGAAGCGGAGAAGGTATTATTAATTTTACTGTGTTTTTTTTTTTTTTTTTTTTTTTTTTTTTTTTTTTTTTTTTTTTCAAATATGAAACGATAAAGGCTTTTATAATTCATTTTGTTTGCTATTCACAACCATTTTTATGTACATTTTATATTAATACTTTAAAATCAAAATACAGTTCATTACAAAACAATAACATATGCTGAGTGATTTATTAACCATTCTATCCTATATTTTTGGTCAGACAATAATTATTTCATAAAAATTTGTTGATTAATACTTAATTTAATTTTATAAGCCATAGTAAATATCAATNATCAATTTTTTTTTTTAAAACTTCCATAACTTTTTCAAAAATCAACAAATCAACATAATTTTTTTTTTATACTAAAACCTTAGATATTTACCTTTCATTTGATATCATTTTTTTGAAAATCTAACACTTAACCTGCTCATTGAGGGGAATTTAAAATAGCAACTTTTTTACAAAAATTAACTTTTTCAACATAATTTTTGAAAATATTCCGGAAATACTGCGTTCTTCAAACATATATTAAATTAAAGCTTTTTTTATTTACTATAAAATGAAAAAAAAAACATTTGTCCCGACACTTTTTCTTCTACATTTAAACGGCTGCCGTAGTTAAAAAAACACTATTTTTGTGTTAAAATTTTCGATTTTAAATTTTCAACTTAAAAATGCTATAACTTTTTGAAAAATGTATATATCAGCACAAATTTTTTTTTTCTAAATACATTATAAGTACATCTTTCATTTGACATACTTTTTATTAAAATTGGACAATTTCTCCTTATATAGGGGGCGTTCAAAACTTAAAATATTGTAAAAAACATAGAT